AATCAAGGGTGAGATGCTCACCCTCCGGAATCCCTTTGTCACGGGTGATGCTTCTCCCCGTCCAATCAGCGACGGTCCTGTGAGTCCGTTCCCAAACTGAGAGTGCCATAGGGCACCACGGAGAATCTTGCATAGAATTGGATCATTTAATGATCGCATAAGGATGCAGGTTGTAAGAATGCAAGCAGAAGTGCTCAGTCCCGGCACGTACCCAGATCCATCCGTCGGAATATTTTCGCAGTTGTTCCGATGGACACCCTGCAGGACGGACCGCCTCGATGCGGCTTTTGTTCAGCCTGACACCGGTTCGGCCCCTTTGCTCGGTCTGTGCAGCAGCGGGTTTTCGGGCTCAGGTGCTTGTGGGTCTTCCACAGGCCCAACACGGGGTTCTCGCAAACACAGCGCACGAAAGGATAACGTTAGAACCGCACCCTGAAGATCCTCACTGGTTGATGAGGGGAGGGAGGGCGCTGAGGTGTGGCAGGAACGGACGAGGATCCTAAGTACGCCGACCGTATGAGGTTTAGGGCATTTCCCTGCACCCGTTTGGGGTTACCCGTGTTTGGCCTGTCGAGGATCTTGTTTGAGATTCCTGCAGGGTGCTGTTGTTTCTCTCCGGGTGGTGCAAGCCCATCTTGGAGGAAGCCTAGCGGCAGGCGTTGTTGTTAGGGACCAATGCTTGGCTGACGGACAGCCAGAGGCACCAGATTGTGGAGGTTAAAGGCTGTGGCTCGGTGCCTGAAAGCCTGCCCAACTGAGCTGCCCAAATCAACCAAGCCCTCCCTGCGTGCAAGTGGTATGGGCTCCTTGGAGCCGCTGAGGTTGAGCCAGTTAGTAAGAGCGAGAAAGCTGGTTCCCCTCCCTGGTGAGTAAGTGCGAGAAAGCCAGGTCAGCAAACGGGGCTAACAGGAGCTCAGTGCTGCTGCGGCATGAGTTCCTGGGGCCTAGGTTAGTAAGGGCGAGAAAGCCTAGGCCTGTGCCGGAGGTTGGCGACTTTGCCAAGCCACTTGCGTTCAGTTTAGTACAGGCATTGCCCATGTATCGGTTCCAGACCTTCTGCCTTTTCTGAGTGAGCCGGAAGTGGGTGAGTTTCTCCCCTGTACTGGCAGGGCTGATAGGGTAGGCAGTACAGACCAGGCAGTTCAACCTGCAGAACATTTTGCCTAGGGCTTTGTACAGTGCCAAACCAGTGAGTAGCCGTAGGCCGCCGAGCTTCTCGCGGTACTGGTTAGGCCCTTTTTCTTCTCTCGGTGCTCCCTGCACATAGTACGGCCGTGTCAAGCAGGCCAAGGACACCTCGAGAGTCCCTTTTCCGTGCATAGTTAATACCTACCGGAACTCCGGTTCCGAAGAGCCTAACCTGGCTAGCGACTCAGCCCGCTTTCGAGTAAAATTCACCTTTTTGTTCGCACCAGCAAATCCGGCAAAACAGTCCGAGCCGGACCTTGTGGGCAATGGAGATGCATGGAAGACCCAGCAGAGCTCCACGGGGGAACGGGAGGCGACCCGCCCGTGCAGTGGCTTCGCCTTTTGAACTTCAATTGCACTGGCTGTGGCAACATTCCAACCCATAACCTCAACTTCGTGCCTGGTCCTGGGGAAAGGCAACCAGCGATCTTGTATGGAGAGGATGGAAGACGCATCGAGCTCCAATGTGCCCTTTGTCTTGAAAACTTCCTGGAGTGCACGTGGAGCTGGCCGAGCTTCGATCAAGCAGTCAGGAGACAGGTGTTTCTGGACGATGCCTCCCTGGCTGACTTGCGTCAGTTAGGTCACCAAGGTACGGAGCCCGTAGAATCTTCGCTGGCGCCGCTGTCTTCTGCAGCCAGCGCACATGGCTGGACCTTCCTTGAGGAAGGGTGTTCTCAGGATCTAGACTCCCCAGAAGAAGCATGCAGCAGTGAATGGCTTGAGTGTGGCTTTGAAGACTTGGAAGACATCCCCTGGGAGGTCTGACCTAATACGGCCCCAACCCACTCAAATTGCAGGAGCTATGCCCTGCCAGAATCAAGGGTGAGACTCTCCCCTCCGGAATCCAATGTCATAGAGGAGACTCTCCTTTTCAAGCAAGGATGTACAAATCAAAGCGAAACTGCTTGCAATGATTGCATAAGGAAGCAGGTTAGAGCGAAAGCAGTTCAGTGCCCAGTCCCGGCACCCCCTTTTCCATCCAACGGAATAGGTTCGCAGTTGTTCCGTTGGACACCCGGCAGGACTGGCCGCCATGATGCGGCCTGTGTTCAGCCTGACACCGGTTCGGCACCCTTGCTCGGTCTGTCAAGCAGACCGCTGGACCGGGTTTTCGGGCTCAGGTGCTTGCGGGTACTTTCAGGCCCAACACGGGGTTCTCGCAAACGCAGCGCACGCACGGAAAACGTCAGTACCGGTCCCTGTAGATCCTCACTGGTTGATGAGGGGAGGGTTGCGCGCTGAGATGTTGAGGAACGGACGAGGATCCAAGTACACCGGCAGGTTGAGGCCGAGGGCATGATGCCCTGCATCAGTTTGGGGTTACCCGTGTTTGGCCTTTGAGTATTTCCTTTGCTGTCCCTGCAGGGTGTGTTGTTTTCTCCTGGTGGTGCAAGCCCAGCCAGGAGGAGCCTAGCGGCAGGCGTTGTTTGTTAGGGACCAAAACCTAGGCTGACGGACAGCCTGAGGCACCAGATTGCGGAGGTTAAAGGCTGTGGCTCGGTGCCCGAAAGCCTGCCCAGCTGAGATGCCCAAATCAACCAAGCCCTCCCTGCGTGCAAGTGGTGTGGGTTCCTCTGGAGCCGCTGAGGTTGAATCAGTGAGTAAGAGCGAGAAAGTTGGTTCTTCCTCCCTGGTGAGTAAGTGCGAGAAAACCAGGTCAGCATACGGGGCAAACAGGAGCTCAGTGCTGCTGCGGCATGAGTTTCTGGGGCCTAGGTTAGTAAGTGCGAGAAAGCTTAGGCCTGTTCCGGAGGTTGGCGACTTTTGCCAATCCACTTGTTTGCAGTTTGTACAGGCATTGCCCATGTGTCGGTTCCGGACCTTCTGCCTTTTCTGAGTGAGCCGAATGTGGGTGAGTTTCTCCCCTGTACAGGCAGGGCTTATAGGGTAGGCAGTACAGACCAGGCAGTTCAACCTGCAGAACATTTGCCTAGGGCTTTGTATAGAGCCAAACCAGTGAGTAGCCGTAGGCCGCCGAGCTTCTCGCGGAACTGGTTAAGCCCTCAATGCTTTCTCTCGGTGTTCCCTGCACATAGTTCGGCCGTGTTAAGCAGGCCAAGGACACCTCGAGAGTTTTTCCTTTTCTGTGCATAGTTAATGTTTTCCGGAACTTCGGTTCCGAAGAGCCTAACCTGGCTAGCGACGCAGCCCGCTTTCGTGTGTAAAATTCACCTTCAGAAATGCCCACAAGGACCAAGCATGCAGCTAACCCGTGGTCGCAGTGGGCCTCACTTCGGTTGAGGGTAATCGACTCCCAAGTGAGAGTATGGAGTTTTGGTGGCAAACAAGAGAGCCAGCCGACTGTCTTTGGAACAATGGCTACGGCTGGATTGGAGAATGTCAAGTCTCACAATGGATAGCGGCCTCGTACATAATATCCTCACAGGCAGGGTGGGTTTGACCTGGTAGTCGGCACCTTGCCCGGCCCCCTGTCAGGCGCCTGTACCGGCCACCTGTTGAAGGTGTGTGGCGTGGGGTCACCGGTGCGTAGCGGCGATTTCGGTCGCTTAGCGTCCTCCGGCCTAAAAAGGGGTATGTTTGGGCAGGTACTTCACCTGTTCCTCCTGCTTGGCTCGTGTTGGAGATGTGTGAATCGAGGGCATGGATCCGTCAAGGTGAGATGACGAGAAAGTGCAGAATTGGGCCTCAATCAATATGGAACGGTCTATGGGGATTGACCACCCCGCTGGTAGAGGGATAGCGGCCTCTGAGAATCGGAGGGCATGGATCACCTCCCGGCAAAAGCCACAGGAAGTATGCCCTGTGCATGCAAGAGGCAGCCACCGTAACCAGAGTCCATGAAGCCTCGGGCCATGACCTGGTTTGAAGACATGTCCGGCCTCACTACGGTTGAGGGGTGTGGATGGAAGCACTCAGGACATGCAATGAGACTCGTAGAACGAGCATCTGGGTCTACAGGAATTGACCTCCATTCGGTTGAGGGATAGCGGCCTCCACGAACGAGGGCATGGATCACCTCCCGAATAGACAACACAGAGAATGTGCAAGCATACAGGCAATTTGCCTTGGCCAAAGTCTTCAAGCCAATGGCAACGACTTGGTCAAAACGACATTCCGGCCTCACTTCGGTTGAGGGTAGCGGTACGTCAAAACCGAGGACAAGGAATGAGAGGGGGAACTTACCGGCAGTTTCACCCCACAGTTTTAGTAAGCTTTTGTTTCACTTGAACCCACAGCCCCTTCGGGTGGCTACGCCTCGCAGCGTGCAGACGTAAAATTCACCTGGCTCAAGTTTCGGCTCAACCCCGGTGGGGTGCTCAGGTAGGGAGTGCTGTTGCCTGGAGACTGTACCTAAGGGTGGGCTCCAACAGGACTCAAACCGAAACCACTGTGTTTGCTTGGTAGTCGGCTGCCAGCAACATAGCTGCCTGAGTACGGCCTCGCCAAGTGCTGAGGGAACTTTTTGGCCTCGCATCGGCAGAGGGTGTGTTTTCGGCCTCGCTTCGGCAGAGGGAGGGGCAAGTTTCGGCCTCGCTCCGGCTGAGGACACATAAAGTTCGGCCTCACTACGGTTGAGGGGATCTTCAGGCCTCGCATTGCTGAGGTGCTGGTGGGACTGGCATCAGGCTGCAGCAGTCATGGGGAAGCATTGTACTGTGTGTGCCCACTGTGAGGTGGGTTGGGTCTGGAATGAAGACTTGTACTAGTACCCGAACTGCTGGCATTGCGGAAAGGCGTGGAAAAAGGCCACCTACCGTGAGCGAGCATGGTCAAGCCAGCGTAAGAAGTGGCAATGGCCAAAGGACGACGCTACATGGTGGACAAGACAGGCCAAGAACAAAGAAGGGATGGCCGACCAAGCCCTCACGAAGGCGTGGGGTACGCTTTCTATGGAGGCAAAGAAGGCCATCGAAGAAGCAGGATGGAAGCCGCGGACGATGGAGCCGGGGCCCATTTGGCCCCCGGGACTACCAGGCAGTGGATCGCAAACCGAAAGCATGACGCAAAAGGAGTACCACGAGGCCATTGAAACGGTGTGGCAGGGAGCTGAGCCCGCAGTGCAAAGGCTGCTCAGAGCAGCGGGTATTCCCCCGCCAGGGGACTACAAGCCTGAGGACGAGACGCCAAAGCAGGAGCTCAGCCGCCATGTTGGTACATACAGAAGGACGACAAACAAGCTGAGATCACTCATTGAGAAGAAGGTCCGGCTTCAAGACAAAACGGAGAAGATCAAGAGTGAGTTCGAGCAGGCCATGAAGCAGCTTGCGCAAGTCAGCCAGGCCATCCAGGCCACGGAGCTGGAGGTAGCGGAAGCACAGAAGAAGGTACAAGCCTGTGTGAAAGATGAAGAGGACTCGCCATACAAGGACGTCGCGTCCTACCTGGAAAAGGAAGGGATCATCCTGTCCGAGGAGCAAGCGGAGGCGCTCAAAACGAGGATGGCGGTCAAGGTCGTGGAGACAGATTGGACGGGAGTCTTGGGACAAAGAGAGCCGGGCATGCCAGCCGAACTAGGCATCTATGGGCCGATGCGCATGTCTCGAGATGTGTCAGTCAGGGCAACGCCGACGGGGCGCGAACGCTCGCCGGCGCGTGCCCATGGCGAGTGAAACCTCAGGCTGGGACAGGAGCGGAGGGGCCGACACCTCAGGGCAGCTCCTGGTCCGAACAGCCGAAATATGAAGGCAAGACAAGTAGAGGAGTCTCAATGGGGAGACTCTGTTATCTCTTTTGATGGTGGCCGGAAGCAGTGTTACGGGGACATTGTATGGTCACAGGCACATGGGGAAGGCAGTCAAGCTGTGTTTAGTACCCAGGTGCCTAGTACAAACAGCACAGTGGAAGACAGCCAAGAGAGCTGGAGTCCAGTTACGAGGGGTCCGGAGCCTGTCCGAGCTGTGGACAGCAGTTGGGCGGTCACAGGGCCCAGATACTTCCATATAACAAGGGAAGACATCGAAGAGGAATGTGAGCATTCGGCCTCGCGAGAAGCTGAGGGAAGCCAAATACAGATGAGAGACCATGCAGCGGTTAGAGGGGAGAACATGAAGGCCTCGCAGGAAGCTGAGGAAACACGATTCTCGGCCTCGCCGTGTGCTGAGGGTCGCAGAGGAAAACAAAAGCCCAAGAAGCGGAAAGCAAAACCCACGGAACCACCAAAAGATTTGCCACAGGAGTGGCAAACGCTATGCCAAGTGGTGGGTAGATATGATGCTTCCAGTGAGGCTGCTGCACTCGAAGCCATTGAGAAGCTGGAAGAGCAGGAACTCAACCCGCTACAACAACGAGCATGCCACGAAGTGCTTCGTTCCTTTGTGGAGCAGGACGCACAATATGCCAAATGGATCTTGGCAGATGTGGCAAGTGGGTATCGCCAAGATGATAAGGCCGAATGCATCAAAATCACAGCGGCTAACATCACCAGCTGGAGGAAACCCATAGCGGCATGGATACACGAACTAGGACCGGACCTGGTGGTGCTGCAGGAAACCCATCTCAAGACGGAGGGTATCCAGCAAGCCATGAGCCATTGCCAAGATATGGGATACACCTTCATTGGCATGCCAGGCAGTACAAAAATTAAGGGTGTACAAGGAGGCCTGGCAGTTGGCACCCCGACATAGGAACCTGCGATACCTTACCGAGTATGGGTCAGGACCGGCGGGCTTCCTGGCATGTGCCATGAGAAACAAAGGCTGGGATTTGATCATCGTCAGTCTGTATTTGGAGAGCGGGGTCGGATTCCAGGCTCCAAACAATATCCAAGTACTGGCGAGACTGATAGCCTTTCTCAAGGGCTGCAAAGTGCCATATATGGTGCTGGGTGATTGGAATGAAGCCCAGAATACCATGAGGGGCACAACTCTGGCGACAGAAGTTGGTGGTGCATTTGTTGGAGTGGGGGAACCAACGGCCCAAGGATCGGACGAAATCGATTACGGGCTGGTTGCGAAATGCTTGGTGCCCATCCTGCAAGTGAAAACGGATTGGGAAACCCCTTTTCGGCCTCATGCTGCGATGCATTGGAGGGTAGCCCAACCGTGCAGTAGCCCTGATGTTCCCCAGATGAAGAAGGCGGGAGCACTGGTGACGGAGACTGTGGAATACGAACCAGTTCAAAACACACAGAGCATCAACATCCTGGATGAACCCAAGATGGAAGATGAGCTCAGTGAGACATTCGCTCACCTGAGTGCCGGTGTGGAGAGGTCGATCACAGGCCGAATCGAAGGTATGGGTGTTAAATCGGAGATTGTCCGGAAGAAGTTGGTGGTCAACAACCCGGAGAACGTTGTCTGGACAGGCAAGAGGGCGGCCTTTTGGAACCGGGTCCAACAATGGGTCAAACAAGGCAGACATCATGGCGATGCGCATCCGGTGGCGCGTCTGGTCCAACGCAGGCTCGGCGAGTATTACGAGGGTGATGCGCAGAACCAGGAGGATATGCTCGTGAGTATCCTGGGCCGGGGTACGGACGCTAGACTTGTTCTGAAGCGCATCGACGAACAGCAATGCTACGCGAGAAAGGCGGATATGGAGGAGACAGCCCACCAGTACAAGCAATGGCTCAGCAAGGCCATGGAAAAGGGCATGCGACCATTATACAATGCCTTGCGAAAAGAAGAACAAGTGGTACAAAGACCCTACATGGAATATGACATGCTGGAACGGCCACACATTCGCCGAGACCACTGGGCGGCAGTGTGGACGACGGGCCAGCCGTTGGCAAAATCGGCCTCGCTCATGACGGAGCTTGAGGATGCAGCCAAAAAACAAGCGGCCAGCGTGGAGCCGCTGAACCCTGTCGAGGTCAAGGCAAGGATCAAAAAACTGGCACTAAAGAGCCCGGGGCCGGATGGCTGGAGGATTGACCATTTGCAGGCCATGGACGACAAAGCAGTTGAAGCCGTTGTGTCCTTCTACCATGAATGTGAGGCCAAGGCAGCATGGCCGCAGCAAATGACAGTCTCCCTTATAGCAATGCTGCCGAAGAATCTGACCCGGGAAAGACCAATCGCCTTGCTACACATCCTGTACAGGACCTGGGTCCGTTTGCGATGGGATTTGGTAAGTACTTGGCAGGCAGGCTATGCCCAAACTGCCACGTACGACAAGGCAGTCCCAGGCAGTTGCTGCTTGGACGTGGCCGTAGGCAGACTACTGCGAAATGAGGTGGCGAAGACAAATGGTGTGCATGTGGTGTCACTCTTTGTGGACCTCGAGTCCTTTTTCGATACCATCCAATTTCAGCAATTGATCACGGCAGCAACGGCCCTGCAATATCCACCGCTAATCCTGAAGATGGCACTGGAAGTGTACATGGGTGCCAGATATTTGGTGGCGGATGGGGTGCTGTCGGCAGGCATCAGAGCTACGAATGGCGTGCAAGCGGGTTGCCCAGCGGCGCCATCGTTGGCAAAGGTGGCATTGCACCCGGTGATAGATAAGATCCAAAGGCGACGAGATGTGGCAAACGTGGATTGTTGGTTGGATGATGTCTCAATTGACATCCAGCATAAGTCCTTTAAACAAGTGGCGGATAGTGCGATACGAGTCTACCGCAGCTTAAAGGACGGGATGGACGCTAATGGTTTCACGATTTCATCCAAGAAGACAGGGTTTGTGGCCAGCAGTACCCAGGCGAGCAAGCACCTGCGAGAACTCCTGTTGCCTCATGAGCCACAGGTGTACGACGTGATGCGTGACTTGGGCGTCGACAGTACAGGGGGGCGAAAGCGTCGCTTGGTGACGTCGGCAACGCGGGCCAAGAAAGCCCATGCGAGACATAGCAAACTGTCCAGGCTGGGGCCGCCGCCCAGCACTAAACTCCGAGTGGTCAAGGCAGCGATCACATCCGTTGCTTTGTGGGGGCACCCCTCTGTGGGGGTATCACCAAAAGAATGAAATGGCTCCGAACAGTGGTAGGAAAACACCTGGGTAAATACAAGCTTGGGAGTTTGGAAACCATCTTGGACATGGGAGCCAAGAAATGCCAGGATCCAAAGCGCACAATCCACAAGCAGCATTTCAAGGTGGTGGCCAAAGTTTTCCGTGCATGGATTGGTGGCGGAAAAGCCCACTTTGACTTGGCCTGGAAAACCACTTGGAAGAGGTTGAGTGCGGCCAAACACCACTGGCCACTGGTCACGGGGCCGATGGCAGCAACCATGGCGTACTTAATGGATCTGAAGGTGGATGCCAGTGACCCAGGCAAATGGAAGAGAGGAAGTGTCCTCAACGTTGATTGGACCCAGCCACGCATGGGTAGCCTCGCCTACAAATGGCTTGAGGGATTCCTGGAGGAACAGAAACGGGCTGCAATAGCGCGACAGGCAGGTGGCGCTGGTGCCCAAGAGGGGCTGGATTGGACGCCGCATCACAAGCTGACGAAGCTGGGAGGCCTAAGCCCAGGCCTTATGGAAGGTATAAAGTCAGTGTGGCACGCGGGCGTCATCACGGAGTCCAAGCCAGGATGGTGCAAGAAGTGCCAAATGCCAGCAACTCTGGAGCATGTCCTCAAGGAATGTCCTTACTGGCGTGAACAAGGGTTCAAAGAACCCAAGCTCCAGGAATACTTGCGTCACAAATACCCATGGGAGTGTCTGTGGACAAGGGCACTCCTGCCAAAGCCGGCGGTGTGGCACCCGAAGCCGCCGGAACACCTTTTAGGTCTGCGCTACCAAGGATGCTTCGCAGCTGATGCAAAAGTGGAAGCGGAAGGCTTGATCTTCGCCACTGACGCAAGTGGAGGTCCAGGAGGAATAGACCCACGTGTACAAACATCAGCCCTCGCAGTGGTGGCTATGTCCTGGACAAAAGGTGTCCTGGTGGAAGTCGGACGGATTACAGAGCTGGTCTACCCGTGGCAGCCGGTGGTGGACATGGAGCGCCGTGCACTTTTCCGACTAATGGAGCACACGGAGGATCTGATTGATGTCACTATGGATTGCAAGCCGGCAGTCCAAGTGCTACAAAAAACACAACCGCCGGAGGATGACCTGGAATGGAGCAAAGTGTGGAATGACAGGAAACGTATCAAGGCAACATGGGTCCCGTCCCACAAAACTGAAGAGGAATTCCTGGCGAAGATGGGGCCGGGTACGTTGTGGCGACGTGCAGCGAATGACATGGCAGACAAAGTATGTGGAGCAGTGGCGGCGGCTGCTTACAGCCCAGCGCACAAGAGGCGTGTCAAAGAATTGGACAATGTGGTGCGCACACTTTCCCTGGCGTACGGTGCACGCGCAGCCCACATATTGCGGAAGCGCAAAGAAGAAGACTTCCCCTTCATCCTGGACCATGCGCATTACAAAGAGAAGATGGAAGCCTCGCAGAAAGCTGAGGGATGCAAAAAAGAGCAGGGCAGCGCCAAACTCAACAAACGCCAGCGGCTTTGGCAGTTGCTTAAAAACCCGGAGCGCGGGCATCAATGGGAGAAGGGCAGCGAACACCCCCGGAATTTAACACTGAAATGTCAACTGTGCGGGTTGTATGTACAACAAACCCTCACGAACTTGGAGGTGGTCTTGGAGCAGTACTGCGTCAACCAGCCGGAGGCGCGAGTGCGTGAAGAGTGGGGTATCCACCCCTCCCATAATATGGTGAATTTGGGAATCCGTTGGGTTTGCACAAAGTGTGACAGAACACATGCACCGGTCAGCCAGAAGTGCAATAAAAGCCTGGCGGGTGAGTGCAAATCGCGGACTTCTCAAGGCAAGCTGGCTACCCAAGCGCAAACCCTTGTCAATGGTGGAAGTATGAGCAACGTCCAGTTTCAACAGCCTCGCGTTCAGTTTGGTGGGAAACACGCCAAAGCTAAGCCCCAAGCCAGCGCACAGCAGAAGATGTCATTGTTTGTTAGGCCTCGCCAAGCTGAGGGAACGCAGTAATTCCGCAGCCGTTTGGTGCAAGGAGACAGGGTTTTTCGGCCTCGTAGCTGAGGGTGAGGGCCTCGCAACGGGGAATTGCGATTGGTGTTTACGGCCTCGCTTTGCTGAGGGAGTGTAATTCGGCCTCGCGGTGCCGCGTGCTTGCGACATCGCTGAGGGTAAAGAGAGGAGGCCTCGGCCTCGCAGAGCTGAGGGTGAAACAACGGCGTCCTCATCCTCAAAAGACCGGCCGGACGAGCAGCCGGAGAAATTGACCCTCCAGGTGCGAATCAAATTGGAGGATTCGTGGAAACCAATTTTGGAGGAGCAGTTCCTGGAAACAGACCCCAAGAGGGCAAACTACACTCACCTAAAAGCGGCGTGTCGCAGTCTCGCTCGCTGCAGCACAAGGAACGATTGGGTCTACCAAGCGGAGACCTACCTCAGCGAAGAGCGGAAGCAACTGTGGGCTTCTAAATTGCACAAGGCGGGCCTGTAGCAATGAGGCAATGGAAGACGGATGCTACGATGAGAAGACAAGGGTCCCGACTGCCATCCTGGTTAAGGAATCGGCCGGACAAAGGCAAGGGCAAAAGCAAGAACAAGCAGAAGGATCAGCCCCGTGAACGTTCCCCGCTTCGACAGGCCAGACACCCGGAGCAGCCTTGGGATAGTGAAGAGGAGAGAGCTTCGGAATCCCCGGTGGGTCCGGTACGCCTACGGGAGAGAGGAGAAGACAGTACGGCCTCGCATCAAGCTGAGGGTGTCAATGAAGAGCAAGAGGCAAGCCAGCCTCGTACAGTCACGCTGGCGGAAGGGCCAGGTGCCCACAATATGGCCTCGCAGGAAGCTGAGGGAAAGGAGAAAAAGGAAGCCATGGGGCAAGTCAAGCCTGCGCACCTTTTGGTGCATAAACTGCAGAACCAGCAAAGGCCAAGGACAGCGCTCCATTGGCTTGGGGAGGTCCAATTGGTCCGCAACCCAACGACAGGGCAAAGCTTACAGCCTAGGGTGCTTCCCTTTATAGGTGCGGGGCGCACTCGACGGGGATATGCTCTGGATCGGCTATGGGTCATGAAACTAGCGATGGAACCCCAGAGCTTTGGCAACGAAGCAGGGTATGGGGAACAATTCCCCACCCTGGTCACCAGGACCCTGTGGGCAGGATGGATTGGAGTCCTTTTCGACGAAGCGGTGGAGGGTTACTGCCACCACTACTTCTATGGAAGTATCATCCGCAGGGCAGAGCTGTTCAACACATGGTGGCAGGAACATCGCCATGAAGCCGGGGTCCTCAGACAGTCCCTGTTTTACCTGGTGGCTATAACGTCATGGCTGACCATGCAAGGAGTTGCTCTATCGGATATCACGGTGAGCAACGTTGGGCGCGACCCAATGTCAGGATCGCTACCACGGGCAGTGTTCTTTGACACGGCGGAATGGACGACGCTGCAGGAGGAGAGATACAAGATATCATGCGGCCTCGTACGCCTCCTGGAGAAATATGATGAGGAGCTACTGGCAACCATACGTGGATTGGTCAGAACGTACGACGGCAAGGCCAGCGCGCTTTGGATGGCGTGCGTAGGCAATGTCGGGCCATTTGCCCAGCACCTGCTGGATGCCGGGATTGCAAAACGAGGATGGGATGGAACCCTACTTTCGGTTCCGGCAACAGAGATCCAGAAAATCACGTTGGGCATGCCGTATGACGAAGCTGATGAGTGAGCAGCGCAGAACAGACAAGTAACATGGATAGTGGTCAGAGAGGCACCAACAAACCGAATCAAAATACCGCCTCGGCGTGCTGCCTGAGGAGTTTCGGCCTCGACTTCGGTCTGAGGGGTGCAAGAGAGGGAAGTTCGGCCTCGGCATGACCTGAGGGAATTTCGGCCTCGACCACGGTCTGAGGGAATGGATTTCGGCCTCGACAAATGTCTGAGGGAAGTGAGGGCTAGTACCGGTAGTCTCACTGTGCAGAGTTTGTAAGTTTCACCCTGATACCCCAGCCCCTTCGGGTGGCTACGCCAAGCAGCGTGCAGACGTAAAATTCACCTGGCTCAAGGTTTCGGCTCAACCCCGGTGGGGTGCTCAGGTAGGGAGTGCTGTTGCCTGGAGACTGTACCTAAGGGTGGGCTCCAACAGGACTCAAACCGAAACCACTGTGTTTGCTTGGTAGTTGGCTGCAAGCAACATAGCTGCCTGAGTACGGCCTCGCCAAGTGCTGAGGGAACTTTCCGGCCTCGCTTCGGCAGAGGGTGTGTTTTCGGCCTCGCTTCGGCAGAGGGAGTGGCCAGCTTCGGCCTCGCCCCGGCTGAGGACACATAAAGTTCGGCCTCACTGCGGTTGAGGGAATTTCCGGCCTCGCTTCGCTGAGGTGCTGGTGGGACTGGCATCAGGCGTGCAGCAGTCATGGGGAAGCATTGCACTGTGTGTGCCCACTGTGAGGTGGGCTGGGTCTGGAATGCAGAACTGTACTACAACCCGAACTGCTGGCATTGCGGAAAGGCGTGAAAAAAGACCAACCACCGCGAGAAGGCATGGCCAAGCCAGCGTAAGAGGTGGCAATGGCCCAAAGAAGACGCTGCATGGTGGACAAGACAGGCCAAGAACAAAGAAGGGATGGCCGACCAGGCCCTCACGAAGGCGTGGGGAACGCTTTCTATGGAGGCAAAGAAGGCCATCGAAGAAGCAGGATGGAAGCCGCAGACGATGGAGCCGGGGCCCATATGGCCCCCGGGACTACCAGGCAGTGGATCGCAAGTTGAAAGCATGACGCAAAAGGAGTACCACGCGGCCATTGAAACGGTGTGGCAAGGAGCTGAGCCCGCAGTGCAAAGGCTGCTCAGAGCAGCGGGTATTCCCCCGCCAGGGGACTACAAGCCTGAGGACGAGACGCCAAAGCAGGAGCTCAGCCGCCATGTTGGTACATACAGACAGAAGGACGACAAACAAGCTGAGATCACTCATTGAGAAGAAGGTCCGGCTTCAAGACAAAACGGAAAAGATCAAGAGCGAGTTCGAGCAGGCCATGAAGCAGCTTGCGCAAGTCAGCCAGGCCATCCAGGCCACGGAGCTTGAGGTTGCGGAAGCACAGAGGAAGGTACAAGCCTGTGTGAAAGATGAAGAGGACTCGCCGTACAAGGACGTCGCGTCATACCTGGAAAAGGAAGGGATCATCCTGTCCGAGGAGCAAGCGGAGGCGCTCAAAACGAAGATGGCAGTCAAGGTCGTGGAGACAGACTGGAGTGGAGTCTTGGGACCAAGAGAGCCAGGCATGCCAGTCGAAATTGGCATGTATGGTCCGATGCGCATGTCTCGAGATGTGTCAGTCAGGGCAACGCCGACGGGGCGCGAGCGCTCGCCGGCGCGTGCCCACGGCGAATGAAACCTCGGGCTGGGACAGGAGCGGAGGGGCCGACACCTCAGAGCAGCTTCTGGTCCGAACAGCCTAAAGAAGAAAGGAAAACCCGAGGAGTCTCAAGGGGGAGACTCTGTTTACACTTTTGGAGGTGGCCAGAAGCAGTGTCACGGGGACATTGTATGGCCACAGGCGCATGGGGAAGGCAGTCAAGCTGTGTCTAGTACCCATGTGCCTAGTACAAACAGCACAGTGGAGGACAGCCAAGAGCGCTGGAGTCCAGTTACGAAAGGTCCTACTCCTGTCCGAGCTGTAGAAAGCAGTTGGGCGGTCACAGGGCCCAGATACTTCCATATGACAAAGGAAGACATCGAAGAGGAATGTGAGCATTCGGCCTCGCGAGAAGCTGAGGGAAGCCAAACACAGATGAGAGACCATGCAGCGGTTAGAGGGGAGAACATGAAGGCCTCGCAGGAAGCTGAGGAAATACGGTTTTCGGCCTCGCCGTGTGCTGAGGGTCGCAGAGGAAAACAAAAGCCCAAGAAGCGGAAAGCAAAACCCAAGGAACCACCAAAAGATCTGCCACAGGAGTGGCAAACGCTATGCCAAGTGGTGGGTAGATATGATGCTTCCAGTGAGGCTGCCGCACTCGAAGCCATTGAGAAGCTGGAAGAGCAGGAACTCAACCCGCTACAACAACGAGCATGCCACGAAGTGCTTCGTTCCTTTGTGGAGCAGGACGCACAATATGCCAAATGGATCTTGGAGGATGTGGCAAGTGGGTATCGCCAAGATGATAAGGCCGAATGTATCAAAATCACAGCGGCTAACATCACCAGCTGGAGGAAACCCATAGCGGCATGGATACACGAACTAGGACCGGACCTGGTGGTGCTGCAGGAAACCCATCTCAAGACGGAGGGTATCCAGCAAGCCATGAGCCATTGCCAAGATATGGGATATACCTTCATTGGCATGCCTGGCAGTACCAAAATTAAGGGTGTACAAGGAGGCCTGGCAGTGGTGGCACCCCGACATAGGAACCTGCGATACCTTACCGAGTATGGTTCAGGACCGGCGGGCTTCCTGGCATGTGCCATGAGAAACAAAGGCTGGGATTTGATCATCGTCAGTCTGTATTTGGAGAGCGGGGTCGGATTCCAGGCTCCAAACAATACCCAAGTACTGGCGAGACTGATAGCCTTTCTCAAGGGCTGCAAAGTGCCATATATGGTGCTGGGTGATTGGAATGAAACCCAGGATACCATGAGGGGCACAACTCTGGCGACAGAAGTTGGTGGTGCACTTGTGGGAGTGGGGGAACCAACGGCCCAAGGATCGGACGAAATCGATTATGGGCTGGTTGCGAAATGCTTGGTGCCCATCCTGCAAGTGAAAACGGATTGGGAAACCCCTTTTCGGCCTCATGCTGCGATGCATTGGAGGATAGCCCAACCGTGCAGTAGCCCTGATGTTCCCCAAATGAAGAAGGCGGGAGCACTGGTAACGGAAACCGTGGAATACACACCGGTTAAAAACACACAGACCATCCACATCTTGGATGAACCCAGGATGGAAGATGAACTCAGTGAGAAATTCGCTCACCTGAGTGTAAGTGTGGAGAGGTCGATCACAGGACGAATCGACGGTATGGGTGTCAAAGCTGAAATCGTCCGGAAGAAATTGGTGGTCCACAACCCGGAGAACGTTGTCTGGACAGGCAAGAGGGCAGCTTTTTGGAACCGTGTCCAACAATGGGTCAAGCAAGGCAGACATCATGGAGACGCGCATCCGGTGGCGCGCCTAGTCCAAAGTAGACTCAATGTGTACTATGAGGGCGATGCGCAGAGCCGGGAGGATATGCTTGTGAGTATCCTGGGACGAGGCACAGACGCCAGACTTGTCCTAAAGCGCATTGATGAACAGCAATGCTACGCGAGAAAGGCAGACATAGAGGAGACGGCCCACCAGTACAAGCAATGGCTCAGCAAGGCCATGGAAAAGGGCATGCGACCGCTGTACAATGCCTTGCGGAAAGACGAACAAGTGGTACAGAGACCCTACATGGAATATGACATGCTGGAACGGCCACACATTCGACGTGACCACTGGGCGGCGGTGTGGACGAAGGGCACACCGATGGCACAAACGGCCTCGCTCATGCTGGAGCTTGAGGATGCAGCCAAAAAACAGGCGGCCAGCGTGGAGCCGCTGAATCCTGAAGAGGTCAAGGCAAGGATCAAGAAATTGGCCCTAAAGAGCCCGGGGCCGGATGGATGGCGGATCGACCATTGGCAGGCCATGGACGACAAAGCGGTCGAAGCAGTAGTGGCTTTCTACCATGAGTGTGAGGCCAAAGCAACATGGCCGAAACAAATGACAGTCTCACTTATTGCAATGCTGCCTAAGAATCTGACCCGGGAGAGACCAATCGCCTTGTTGCACATCCTGTACCGAACCTGGGTCCGATTGCGATGGGATTTGGTAAGTACTTGGCAGGTGAGTTACGCAAAAAATGCCAAGTACGACAAGGCGGTCCCAGGCAGTTGCTGCCTGGACGTGGCTGTAGGCAGACTGTTGCGAAACGAGGTGGCGAAGACAAATGGTGTGCATGTGGTGTCGCTATTTGTGGACCTTGAGTCCTTTTTCGATACCATCCAGTTTCAGCAACTGATAGCGGCAGCAACGGACCTGCAATATCCACCGCTAATCCTGAAAATGGCACTGGAAGTGTACATGGGTGCCAGATACTTGGCAGCAGATGGGGTGCTATCGGCAGGCATCAGAGCTACGAATGGAGTGCAAGCGGGGTGCCCTGCGGCGCCGTCATTAGCGAAAGTGGCATTGCATCAGACGATTGACAAGATCCAAAAGCGCAAAGATGTGGCAAATGTGGACTGCTGGTTGGATGATGTCTCAATTGACGTCCAGCATAAATCCTTCAAACAAGCGGCAGACAGTGCGATCCGAGTCTACCGCAGCTTAAAGGACGGGATGGACGCAAATGGGTTCACGATTTCATCCAAGAAGACAGGGTTTGTAGCCAGCAGTACCCAGGCGAGCAAGCACCTGCGAGAACTACTGTTACCGCATGAGCCACAAGTGTACGACGTGATGCGGGACTTGGGCGTCGACAGTACCGGTGGGCGAAAGCGTCGTTTGGTGACGTCGGCCACACGGGCAAAAAAAGCACATGCCCGACAGAGCAAGCTGTCCAGGCTGGGGCCGCCGCCCAGCACTAAACTCCGCGTAGTCAAGGCCGCGATCACATCCGTTGCTTTGTGGGGGCACCCATCCGTGGGGGTATCGCCCAAAAGAATGAAGTGGCTCCGAACAGTGGTGGGCAAACACCTGGGCAAATACAAGCTTGGTAGTTTGGAAACCATACTGGATATGGGAGCCAAGAAATGTCAGGACCCGAAGCGCACAATCCACAAGCAGCATTTCAAGGTGGTGGCAAAAGTTTTCAGCGCATGGATTGGTGGAGGCAAAGCCCACTTTGAACTGGCCTGGAAAGCCACTTGGAGGAGGTTAAGTGCGGCCAAACACCACTGGCCACTGGTCACGGGACCGATGGCAGCAACCATGGCGTACTTAATGGATTTGAAGGTGGATGCAAGTGACCCGGGCAAATGGAAGAGAGGAAATGTCCTCAACGTCGATTGGACCCAGCCACGCATGGGAGGCCTCGCCTACAAATGGCTTGAGGGATTCCTCGAGGAACAAAAAAGGGTTGCAATAACGCGACAAGCAGGTGGAAAGGGGGCCCAGGAGGGGTTGGATTGGACGCCGCATCACAAGCTGACGAAGCTGGGAGGCTTAAGCCCGGGCCTTATGGAAGGGATGAAGTCAGTGTGGCATGCGGGCGTTATCACGGAGTCCAAGCCTGGCTGGTGCAAGAAGTGCCAAGTGCCAGCCACTCTGGAGCATGTCCTCAAAGAATGACCTTACTGGCGAGACCAAGGGTTCAAAGAGCCCAAGCTCCAGGAATACCTGCGCCACAAATACCCATGGGAGTGCCTGTGGACAAGGGCACTCCTGCCCAAGCCGGCGGTGTGGCACCCCAAGCCGCCGGAGCATCTTTTGGGACTGCGCTACCAAGGATGCTTTGCAGCAGACGCTACAGTGGAAGCAGAAGGCTTGATCTTCGCCACTGACGCCAGCGGAGGTCCAGGAGGAATAGACCCACGTGTACAAACATCAGCCCTCGCAGTGGTGGCTATGACCTGGAAAGATGGTGAGTTGGTGAAAGTCGGACAAATTACGGAGCTGGTCTACCCGTGGCAGCCGGTAGTGGACATGGAGCGCCGTGCACTTTTCAGACTAATGGAGCACACGGAGGATCTGATTGACGTCACAATGGACTGCAAGCCGGCAGTCCAAGCGCTGCAAAAAATACAACCGCCGGACGATGACCTGGAATGGAGCAAAGTGTGGAATGGAAAGAAACGAATCAAAGCAACATGGGTCCCGTCCCACAAAACAGAAGAAGCATTCCTGGAAAAAATGGGCCCGGGCACGTTGTGGAGACGTACAGCGAACGACATGGCGGACAAAGTATGTGGCGAAGTAGCGGCGGCTGCTTACAGCCCAGCGCACAAGAGGCGTGTCAAAGAGCTGGACAATGTGGTGCGTACACTTTCACTGGCTTACGGAGAACGCGCAGCCCACATATTGCGGAGGCGCAACGAAGCAGATTTCCCCTTCATCCTGGACCATGCGCATTACAAGGAGAAGATGGAAGCCTCGCAGAAAGCTGAGGGATGCAGAAAAGAGCATGGCAGGGCCAAACTCAACAAACGCCAGCGGCTTTGGCAGTTGCTCGAAAACCCGGAGCGAGGGCACCAATGGGAGAAGGGCAGTGAACACCCCCGGAATTTAACACTGAAATGCCAACTGTGCGGTTTGTATGTACAACAAACCCTCACGAACTTGGAGGTGGTATTGGAGCAGTACTGCGTCAACCAGCCGGAGGCGCGAGTGCGGGAAGAGTGGGGTATCCACCCCTCCCATAATATGGTGAATTTGGGAATCCGATGGGTTTGCACAAAGTGTGACAGAACACATGCACCGGTCAGCCAGAAGTGCAATAAAAGCCTGGCGGGTGAGTGCAAATCGCGAACTTCTCAGGGCAAGCTGGCAACCCAAGCGCAAACCCTTGTCAACGGTGGAAATATGAGCAACGTCCAGTTTCAACAGCCTCGCGTTCAGTTTGGTGGGAAACACGCCAAAGCTAAGCCCCAAGCCAGTGCACAGCAGAAGATGTCATTGTTTGTTAGGCCTCGCCAAGCTGAGGGAACGCAGTAATTCCGTAGCCGTTTGGTGCAAGGAGACAGGGTTTTCGGCCTCGTAGCTGAGGGTGAGGGCCTCGCAACGGGGAATAGCGATTGGTGTTACGGCCTCGCCTTGCTGAGGGAGTGTAATTCGGCCTCGCGGTGCCGCGTGCTTGCGACATCGCTGAGGGTAAAGAGAGAGGCCTCGGCCTCGCAGAGCTGAGGGTGGAACAACGGCGTCCTCATCCTCACAAGACCGGCCGGAGGACGAGCAGCCGGAGAAATTGACCCTCCAGGTGCGAATCAAACTTGAGGATTCGTGGAAACCAATTTTGGAGGAGCAGTTCCTGGAAACAGACCCCAGGAGGGCAAACTACACTCACCTACAAGCGGCGTGTCGCAGCCTCGCTCGCTGCCGCACAAGGAACGATTGGGTCTACCAAGCGGAGACCTACCTCAGTGAAGAGCGGAAGCAGCTGTGGGCTTCTAAATTGCACAAGGCGGGTCTGTAGAAATGAGGCAATGGAAGACGGATGCGACGATGAGGAGACAAGGGTCCCGACTGCCATCCTGGCTAAGGAATCGGCCGGGCAAAGGCAAGGGTAAAAGCAAGAACAAGCAGCAGGATCAGCCCCGAGACCGTTCCCCGCTTCGACAGGCCAAACACCCGGAGCAGACTTGGGATAGGGATGAGGAGAGTGCTTCAGAATCTCCGGTGGGTCCGGTACGCCTACGGGAGAGAGGAGAAGACAGTGCGGCCTCGCACCAAGCTGAGGGTGTCAATGAAGAGCAAGAGGCAAGCCAGCCTCGCACAGTCACGCTGGCGGAAGGACCAGGTGCCCACAATATGGCCTCGCACGAAGCTGAGGGACAGGAGCAAAAGGAAGCAATGGGGCAAGTCAAGCCTGTGCACCTTTTGGTGCATAAGCTGCAGAACCAGCAGAGGCCAAGGACAGCGCTCCACTGGCTTGGGGAGGTCCAATTGGTCCGCAACCCAACGACAGGGCAAAGCTTACAGCCTAGGGTGCTTCCCTTTATAGGTGCGGGGCGCACTCGACGAGGATATGCTCTGGATCGGCTATGGGTTATGAAACTAGCGATGGAACCCCAGAGCTTTGGCAACGAAGCAGGGTACGGGGAACAATTCCCCACCCTGGTCACCAGGACCCTGTGGGCAGGATGGATCGGAGTCCTTTTCGACGAGGCGGTGGAGGGGTACTGCCACCACTACTTCTATGGAAGTATCATCCGCAGGGCAGAGCTGTTCAACACATGGTGGCAGGAACATCGCCAAGAAGCCGGGGTCCTCAGACAGTCCCTGTTTTACCTGGTGGCTATAACGTCATGGCTGACCAACCCGATGTCAGGAACGCTACCACGGGCAGTGTTCTTTGACACGGCAGAGTGGTCGACGCTGCAGGAGGAGAGATACAAGTTATCAAGCGGCCTCGTACGCCTCCTGGAGAAATATGACGAGGAGCTACTGGCAACCATACGTGGATTGGTCAGAACGTACGACGGCAAAGCCAGCGCGCTTTGGATGGCGTGCGTAGGCAATGTCGGGCCTTTTGCCCAGCACCTACTGGATGCCGGGATTGCAAAACGAGGATGGGATGGAACCCTACTTCCGGTCCCGGCCACAGAGATCCAGAAAATCACGTTGGGCATGCCATATGACGAAGCTGATGAGTGACCAGCGCAGCCCAGACAAGAAACATGGCTAGTGGTCTGAGAGGCACCCAAACCAAATCAAGGAATACCGCCTCGGCGTGCTGCCTGAGGGAGTTTCGGCCTCGACTCCGGTCTGAGGGGTGCAAGTGAGGGAAATTCGGCCTCGGCATGACCTGAGGGAATTTCGGCCTCGACCACGGTCTGAGGGAATGGATTTCGGCCTCGACAAATGTCTGAGGGAAGTGAGGGCTAGTACCGGTAGTCTCACTGTGCAGAGTTTGTAAGTTTCACCCTGATACCCCAGCCCCTTCGGGTGGCTACGCCAAGCAGCGTGCAGACGTAAAATTCACCTGTAGTGTTTGCCCAGTTGGTGCCATGTGGTGTTTGACCATACAGAGAGAAGCATGAGAGTTTTTCTGCTGCATGACTTGGCATGAGCATGTTTGGTTTGTCCCAAAGCCCTTAAGCATGTGTGGCATGTCTTGCTTGACTTTGGCATGTTCTTGTCTTGTTGGCATGGCCAGGATGAGTTTTGAAGCACTTGGAACTGCTTGAGAGCAGTAGTGAAGAAGTGCGTGTCAGAACTCTGAGGTTCTGTCTTGTTGTGACTCACTCCGTGTCCCCGCCACTTCGTTCGTTGCCGTTGGACGTGTAGGATGGGAGTAGGAGTGCAGAGTGGACTCTGAAGCTTCGCTGTTTTGCTGTTCGGAAGTGACCTGAAGTCCCCGAGGTGTAGACCAAAGCAGTTGCATTGCTCTTTTGCTTTACCTCCTTTGTAGAACAAAGTTGAGATGGAATTCGTAGCTTTTGGAGCCCTTAGCTCTTGGAGAGAGCTTGCTGCAAGAACTGAAGCTTGCTGAACACTTTGGTGTTTGGCTCAAGTGCGAAGTGAAAAAGAGACTGCTGCGCGAGCTCTGCTTTTCACAACTTTTAGGAAGATACATACATGAAGTTGCGTGGAAAGCGGCCGACCTCACTACTGGCCGGCCAGAGCCAGACATCCAGTTTGGCGCCTCCAGTCAGGCAGATCAGAGGGGTCAAAACATGGGGACAAGGCCCGTATGAACAGGGATTTCTTCCCTTGCTCAGGGGTTACGGCGGCTCGCACTTCCGTTTGGCAATCCTACCTGGTTCTGACTTATTCATGGCGAACCGATACGCCAAGGTTATACCCCCTCCTTTTGTGCATGGATATGGTGCCAAAGGCAAAAACATCTTGCCGCAGTGGGAGAGTGTGGTACGGCTGCCCACTCTGCCCGAGTCGGTCTGGGGCAACGGGGATACCGTCCCTCTGTGGGCCTCTGTTGGGAAAAAGGGCAGTGGACCAGTGCGGCTCCAGCTCTTCCCTGGAGTCCTCATGTTTTGGAAGAAAGATGCCCTATCTTCCTGCAGGGCCACCCCGAAATGGCGCAGTCGACCCAATAACTGGGCCGCTTGCTCTTCTTGCTGCCGCTGCGCATGCTTGGCTGGCCCAGGCGGATCTGCCGTGGCCTCTCTTTGCTGCAGACATAAAGGTCACGCCGTTGGGCCTCAGTCAATACTGGGATGATGGACTCGCCATGCGTGTGCAACAAGCCCTGGCAGCCTTTGCCTTTCCTGCCTACCAGTACCCGCCCCCAAAGCCTCACCTAACCCCCTCAGGGGAATGTCGGTCGCTCTTCACAGCGGGATGCATGGGAAGGTCGAGAACAATTCCTATGCACTCACTGGCTTAGAAATGGAAACAGTCCGGGACAACCAGGGCAAAAAAGTCCGATATAAGGACACACAACGCCCGTTGTTGCTTTCGACCAGCGGTAATGCCGCACATGCATTGCTGCTCCTGCCCCAAGCCGCCCAGCTGTGGGCACGTGCTCTGTACCTCAGGTCGAAGGATGCGGTCTGCTAGCGGCGGTTCGTGCTGGAATCAGCTCGGTAGAAGCCTCCCTGACAATGTGCCCTGCCCTAGCTCACTTGCACATGCCACATACTGCTGCGCTGACCGCTCTGCATGTGGGCCTCGCCGCGGGGAGAGCTGGCAAGTGCAAACTGTGCGTTACGGGTTTCTCTGCTGGGTCGTATACGGGCGCTGCTGTGGCTATCGCTTGGCATGAGCGCCAAAAGCTTCCTGACTGCAAGGGCGATTTTGTCCACATCAAGGCACGTTTGGGCGGCATTGCCATGCCACGGACCATGCTGCAATATATCCTGGGTTCGGAATTGCGGCACGCTGTTAGTCTTGTCCATCATGAGAGCGACCAGCTTTGTATCTTCCGGCCCACAGGCAGCAAGAACGCAAGCGATTGGCGCTGTCCGGGTGATGTGGCTCGCGGCCCAAACCTCAATGACAAGATACAGAGGTATCCCCATTCCGGACGGCATCCCTGAGTGGGGGGTTGATGAGCAAGAGCTGCCTCCAATGCAGGTCATGCCCAGCCGTACGCGTTCCCATACCACCTCAGATGGCCATCGCTCCCGGCGTCCGGACTGGGATGGCTCCTGGCAATAGACAGCAAGCTGTCATCTGAGGGCTCCTACTGACGCCATGAACGCGCCATTGAGTCCTTTCATGGCATGCTGCCTAGCGTGATGTGAGCCCTCACATCTCCTCGCCGATACATGCCGCAAGACTACCTCGGGATATTCTTGGTTTGGCAACCCTCTCGTGGTCTATGCCACGGATTGGATCGTGCTTGTCTTCTGTGTGCTCACTGCCTGCAGCTGTGAACACCCTTTTGTGTCGGCCCCGCGGTGTGCCGATGGTGACGGGGGGCCTTTCTTTCGTGGTTGCTCCACTGGCCATCTGCCACGGACTGCCCTGGACCGGTCCTGCCTGGATGTTCTAGCTCAGTCATCGGTAAAACGGCCAATCTTCCTTTCCTCTGCCCCCTCTAGGTGGGCAGGTTGCCTGCTTCTATGTGCTACGACCGAGTGTGAACCCCTCGGACTAGAGTGTTGACCATCTCTCGTCTGGAAGGTGACACCCCCTTGTCGTACAACGGCGTCATGCCTATTGGGAGAGACCAGCTAGGGGATGCTGCTTCCGGGTTGTGGACACTCCTATGCGGAGATCAGGTTTCCACTTCCCTGGCAATGTGCCATCGAGCACCTGTGGACAACCTGGCCTTCACGAGAGCCATTCTCGCCTGTGCTTGGGTTGCTACGGGGTTCCCTGCCTGCTTGGTGTCTATCTCTGCTTGCGTCAAAGCAGCCATACAGGACTACCTCCCCAACGGTAGGTGGCCAAGCGTGATGTGAGCCCTCACATCTCCTCGCCGACGTCTGTCAGTTTGGGCATGGACGGTCTGATTCTGGGTATTGAACCCTCAACCCTCACCGGCCAAGGAGATAGTTGCTTGGCCTTGAGTGCGAAGTTTCGACTGGGGGACTCTCCCGCTTCCTGCGGGGCAGGTGGGGTCCCCGCCTGCTTTGGTTTACCTGATGGCTCTGATTGGAACGAAGCAGTCAAGCCTGCTTTGGCCGGCGGACGAGCTCTTGTGAGTCAAAAGAACGTTGCGCCTTGTGCTCGGAGAGGCTCCACTGGCTGACCACCATGGAGTACTCTGGGCTGGTCCTACCCCTTTGTTCTTGCCGTTAAGTCCCCACTGGCTGACCACCATGGGGCAACTTTACACTTCGGAACACGAAGGTTGACACCTACAACGTTCCGTGCTAAGGCACGACTTTGCTCCACCTGTGATGGCGGACTTGTGAACCTTCTCGTGAACGGCCTTGGCTGGTGCTGAATGTATTCGCATCGGTGGCTGCATGATGGTGGTTTTGTGAATCTGGCAACGTCGCAATTTGCGACGCACCTGCGCGCTCGGTGCCACATGTGTGCTCCCGGCCTCTTCGACGATTTCGAGTACTGAGTGCACAGGGTGACCTAGCAGTTCGGCGCGCTGGCTGTGGACACTCCTGCGTGGAGATTATGCACCCGCTGACTTGGCAGGGAGCCACTCCCCACTTGTAGAACAACCTGACCCTCTTGAGACTCTTGAGGGTCACCCTCGTCTGAGCTTGGCCTGCGGCAGGGCAAGTGGGCTCCCCGCCCGCGTGGATGTTGCCTGAAGACTCTGATTGGATCAATGTAGCAATATCATGGAGATCCTTGCACTTCGGCACCAATGTGATGTGAGCCCTCCCATCTCCTTACCGACGTACCTCGCGGGTTTGGGTTTGGAGGGACCTGATGCGTGCCGATGCGCAGGCCAGCGCCAAAGTGGCGTAGCCTTGTGTGAGATGCCTGGACTGGGAGGTCCCTCGGTGTCATTATAAACCCTGTGGCGTTAAGGGTTTGGTAACTCGCTGTGGACTCTCCCCGTGGAATCGGTAGCTGCTGCTACTCTCGCCCCCCCTCTGGCCGTGCGCGGGCACCTCTGAGGGTGGGCCCTTGTGCGCCAGGTAATCGGTAGCTGCTGCTACTCTCGCCCCCCCCTCTGGCCGTGCGCGGGCACCTCTGAGGGTGGACACTTGTGCGCCAGGTTGACTGGTGAACCCTGTGCTCGGAGCTACTCCACTGGCTGACCACCATGGAGTGCCCTGGGCCGGTCTTGCCTGGATTGTTCTTGCTGTTAAGTCCCCACTGGCTGACCACCATGGGGCATATGCACATCTTTCATCCCCCCTAGGGAGTCTGACTTGCAACATCCTTTCGCCATTGAGTGTCGGTTGTCTTTCCTTGACAACGATTAAGTGATCCGAACCTCGTCTGATGACCTCGGTTTGACTAACCGCTGTCGCACCAGTGGCTACATGATGGTGATTTTGAGAATCTGGCAATGTCGCATTTTGCGAATCCCCCACAAGCTCTGTGCTTCCTTGTGAACCGGGACTTCATTGACGACCTCGAGTACTGAGTCCGTGGGGTATCTAGTAGTTTAGCGCGATTGCTCGCTTTGTTTCTTCGGTGTCTGTTCTTTGGTGGTTTCGTGTTGTGTCTTGCGGGTTGTGTGCGCTGACTCTGTTTCACCCTTTACGTCGAGCCCAACAAGACCGGCCTACTGTGCTACTGATGTAGTAAAGAGGCGCCAGTCCAAAAAAAAAATTTCAGTGCGCACCATCTGAGCCGCTTTGCGCAAAGACTCGAACTGCATTTTGGTCTTCCAAAGTTCAGACAAAATCCCTAGGGGAAGGTCTGAGAAGCTGAGACTGACACGATGCTGTGCTGAAAAGGGGGTGAAAACTTCATTAGTGAGCTGATCTGCCAAAACGTTCTTATCCCGAGGCTTCCAATTCAGTGACAACGTCAACCCGGCTGCCATCAGCAGGTCGGAAAGCTGATGTTCACACCGGGCTCCGCCCTGTTGAGCTGTACGGAGGGGGACGACTGAGGGGGGGGTGGGCTGGTTGTGATTTACTTCTTGTCATGCTGGCTTTTATGCCTCGGTGATGTTTGTCGGTTTTCTGATATTCCGATTTTTGTTTTTCAGTATCTGTGAGTTTGCACAATTTCTTTCTTGTGATGGTTCATGCTTGCTCCGCGCTCGCTTCTCAGTCTTAGTGGTCAGCCCCGTTAGATTTTCAGTTACTCACCCACCCGACCCATTTAATTTGTACAGTAGTTTATGCCCACTTTCTTGGAGGCGCAATTTTATGCACGTTTTGGTGCCGCGCAATTTGGAACGTGAGTAATGTGTTCCATAATGGAGAAGCGCGTTCCACGAGTACAGCAAAAGTTGACTTTCCAGCCACGGAAGCTCCGGCGTCCCCGGCGTACTACATTTGTACTACAAAAGTCGACTTTCCAGCCACGGAAGCTCCGGGCGTACTACGTCTGTACTACACAAGTCGGAAAAAAAAACGCAAAAACACTACGGTTTTAGCACCGCGACCGCACGAAAACCTTACGTTTTGCATGTTAAGAAACGCAAAAACACGATTGTTTTGGCACCGCGCCAACGCCGAAACCCGCAGAGGGGTTACGTTTGTATGTCAAAAAACGCAAAAGCACGACGGTTCTGGCACCGCGCCAAAGTCGAAACCCGCAGAGGGTTGTCTGCGGCCACAAAAAAAAGTTCCAAACACGACGGTTTTAGCGCCGCGACCCGGCGATTACCTGCAGAGGGTTGTCCGCGGCCAGAAAGAAACGTAAAAAACGACGGTTTTATAGCACCGCGACCCGGCGATTACCCGCAGAGGGTTGTCCGCGCAAATCAAGAAACGTAAAAAAACGACGGTTTTAGCACCGCGACCACGCCGAAACCCGCAGAGGGTTGTCCGCGCACATCGAGAAACGTAAAAAAAACGACGGCTTTAGCGCCGCGACCCGGCGATGACCCGCAGAGGGTTGTCCGCGGCCAGAAAGAAACGTAAAAAAAACGACGGTTTTAGCACCGCGACCACGCCGAAACCCGCAGAGGGTTGCAATCCCGATTGGCGATGTCAACCCAGCCCGCCGCCTTAGAAAGAGTAATTTTAATTTAGAAAGCTAGGACGAAATTTCTATTAACTTCTATTCTGTTTCTATTAACTTCTACTTCACTCTATGCAATTCACTCCATGCACTTCACTTATGCACTTGACTCTATGCAATTCACTCTATGCACTTCACTCTATGCACTTCACTCTATGCACTCGACTCTATGCAATTCACTCTATGCACTTGACTCTATGCACTTCACTCTATGCACTTCACTCTATGCAATTCACTCTATGCAATTCACTCCATGCACTTCACTCTATGCAATTCACTCTATGCACTTCACTCTATGCACTTCACTCCATGCACTTCACTCTATGCACTTCACTCTATGCACTTCACTCATGCACTTCACTCTATGCACTTGACTCTATGCACTTCACTCTATGCACTTGACTCTATGCACTTCACTCTATGCTCTTCAGTCTATGTTGCTGGGTCAGAGGGCTCCGCACGGAAGAACCCTTCGCGATGCTTTCGGGAATAAAGAGATACTTAGTCCCTTTGTTCCTTTTATGAAAAAAGAGGGGAGGGAGGGAGAGAGAGAGAGAGAGAGAGAGAGAGAGAGAGAGAGAGAGAGAGAGAGAGAGAGAGAGAGAGAGAGAGAGAGAGAGAGAGAGAGAGAGAGAGAGAGAGAGAGAGAGAGAGAGAGATAGAGAGAGAGAGAGAGAGAGAGAGGAGGGAGAAGAGAGAGAGAGAGAGAGAGAGAGAGAGAGAGAGAGAGAGAAATAAATAACGGATGCTTTGCAGAGGTGCCAGTGGTCCATTTCATCCTTACCTTGGACTTGAAGGGCAAGCCTGGAGTCTAGAGTCTACCCCTGCCCCGTCTACAAGGCGAGGTTCTGCAGAGGGCGTTGGAGGAAAACTATCTCCCTTCAAAAAGCATTGGCAGGTGAGCAGGAAGGGTACTTTGTCCACCACCGGGCACAGTACGAATTGTGTTCGGGATATGATCCTTCCCACAGTTGACAATCCAGATGCCAGGAGCCCTCTGATTTCAGAGCTTTTGTGATGTTCGCTGTGCTTTCTTCAGGACTTCAGCCTTTAAGGTGTGGATCCGCGCGGGGGTTGCGGCTTTCCTGGCATAGAAATATTGAGCGTGCAAGAACGAGAAAAAAGCCTTTTTCTCCTTTGAGAAAAGAGAAGTGCACACACATAATGCAAGAAAAGAAGATCCACAACAGAGCAACAGCTCTCACAGAAGAGAGGGGGGAAGAAGGAAGGAGAGAGAAGGAGAGTGAGTGAATCAGCGTGTGCTTGAAAAGAGCGCGCCTTGAATCTGTACAGATGGCTGCTGGCACATGGCTTCCTACATGTGATTCTCATGAGAGAGAGCGAGAGAGATCTCAGAGAAGTCGAAGGTGTAGCCTTAGAGAGAAGTGTTGTTCCCAAGTGTTTCACCCAAGCATCTCCAAATGAATAGCAGTTGAACACCTCAAACAAAAAGCCCCAGTGCTTTCAAAGCATATGTCCACCATTCTTTGTCTCCCTTCTCTCTATGAAGTCTTGCGCGCTTGTCGCATCTGTTCCAATACATCTCTCGCAATGATTTTAGTGAGCTTGTATACGCGGTGCAAAAGCCGAGCAAGCTCAGCCACTTCCATGCCATTGCGACATGAAAGTGTCAGCTGCCAAGAGCTAAGCCGTGGGCAAAATGCAACGACTCTCAGAGACTTGCAGTGCAGCCTACCCGGTCAGTGGCTAATATCAGCTGGTTTGCCCAACGGAGATCCAGTAAAGATCATTCTGACAGTAGCTGCATCACCAGGTTGCGATGGACACCCGTTCGAAGAATCTACACAAGCTGCTCCCCTGACAAAGTTAGCAGGACACTTGCCCACTTGGGGTACTAGTACCACCAGCCCTCCCTGCCCCTCCGACCCCATTTACCAATCCATGTCAGCCACCATGTGTCATGTGATCCATCTGAGTCTTACGTGCCAAGTTGATCTGCAACGTTGTCTAAGCATCACAAGCACAAGTCGACCTTCCCTGCGTAGCCGACTTTACCTGAGGATGCAAACCCTTTGGGCCATCCCTATGTCACATCACCTGTGTTCTGTGTCTTTTGTGCTCGTAGATAGGTTGTCAGCTTTCAAAAGAAGGATGCGGGGAGTTCAAGGACAAAAGTGCAGCTCAAGCACGATATAAGAGCAGCACACCAGGTCTAGCGCAGCATTGCAAGCACCAACCATGCACCGCCGTGGGTCAGCCACCATGCCGGCCGGTTCGAGCCTCACAAGGTGAGACTATGGCCGTGCACCGTAACAGTCGGGCAAGATCCAGTCGCCGTGCATCATCAAGAAGGGCGAGAAGGAGTCGCGCAAGGTCAGAGACATCTCGGTCGAGAAGCCCGCGGCACCAAGCATGCACGCCTCCAACCCCGCCTATGACAACAAGATGTCCGCCTAGAACCCCATCTAGAGCCCCTAAAAGAAAAGCAGGCACGGAGATGAGCCCAGGCGGAGGCCAGAAGGTCCGGAAGACTGTGAGGCAATCCGAGTCCGAGCTGGAGAAGTCCAGCCGAGGCATCCTCATGTACTGGCGGCCTGCAAATTCTGTCACTGAAGATCAGTTGGCCATAGCGTACTTGAACAAGTTGAAGAAAGAACAAGTTTTGAAAGGTCCAAATCTGACTAATGGCGTCCTGCGTGTGGGAGATGATGTGGAAGTGAAGGACAATGTCTTGACTCGGCTGGAGAATTGCCAGGCCCAGGGCGGTTTTTGTTCAGCTTCATTGTTTTGCTGATCTTTGCTGTAAAGATACAGGGCTATACAGGATTGGAGTACGTTAGAATATGTTGGAATGGTATCGTTTCAATAGCTTGCTTTCTTCTTGGTGTCCATGTGTTTCGAGCAAGTATGTGCCTTTTCAGCATGGTCAGTATGGCAAGTCAACCCAGAAACTTTGGGCTTTCAGACCAAGCTCGGCCAAGTCTGCCACAGGACACAAAGAAGTTACATGCTGGAGACGATGTGTGGATATATGACTTGAAAGTCAGCCGAGAAGGATTCAAATTCCCTTTGCGTGGAAAGCTCCTCAATTGTCCGACTGGCACGCCCCTCTCTTCAGAAGTGAAGAAGGTGGGGGCCATAGGCCAGATTCTGTTTTTTTTTTGGAATTTCTGGTTTGGGGGGGGTCGAAAAGTGCAACTTTCAGTTTTGAACCCCCCTGCTTCCAGGCGCATGGCGGATCACCTGGCACAGTCGTGGTCAATGCAACGTTCAGTCCGTTGCCCAAAGTGGTCAATGCTACGTTCAGTCCGTTGACTAAAGCAGACAAGGTTACAGAAAGCCATGTGATGGTCAGCGTACGCGCTGTTCGGAAGGCGGGGTTGGTGTTAGTGCTGTGCATGAGCCTTTCCATTCCTCCAGCACAAGATGAGACAACCTCGTGCTGTAAATGCTTGGCTTCATCTCGCATTAGTTCTTCATTGATCCGGTCGTGTAGCATGATTGCAGCCATGTGTAATTTTGTGCCCACACAATGAAACCCACAACTCTCAGGATGAACACCCCATCATGCCCATTTGCTCGAGGCCGAAGAGCAAGAGACGGCAAGCCCGAAGCTCGAGAAGAGTTCGGAATACATGCGAGAGCTGGAGCAGGCTTTCTCAGGCATGGAAAACCAGACGCATGAGCTTTTCGGCGACATAGTGAATTATCTGAAACACTTGCCCGCACGGGATGTTGGCGGCAAAAGCCTGAAGCTGTACGAGCTGCTGTTTTGCTGCAGAAGCAGGCAACTACAAAGTTTGTGCACTGACTTGTTGCAGGCCTCTCATTTGAAGAGATCACCGGTCAAGTTCATTGTGGCACCTACACACAGTGGCAAGACAGCTTGCATCTTGCCTGCTTTTCTACAGATGCGACGGGACAGGTCCATGACCCACTACATATATCTGCCTTTTCACAATTGCGACCTTCATCACGAGCCACCCATCATTCCAGAGGGGATGTTCAACAACATGAGCCCCTCCGATGTTGAGGAAATTGGCTTTGCCTACCTGATTCACTGCTTGCGATGCACGTTAGCCTCAACATGTGCACGGACGCATCTTCGCTTTGATGCCAGATCTGCGCGATGGCGCCAACTGATCTGTGATCGCAGCAATGTGACCTATGCAGACCAACTCAGAAAGGATTATGCGCAATTGATCCAGGGTATATTGGGGAATCGTGGGGTTAAGCTTCTGCTTCATGTCGATGAGCATGGCAAAATGGAGAAGAACCCAGTTTTTCGAAGAGGCGCCCTTGTGAGGGCAGCGAAGAATGAAAGAGTTGCTGTGATCGCCACGTTTACTGAAATGCCGCCTGCGCTTAACGTGAACAGCGAATCCTCAGAGTGGTGTGGTGTCCCGTGCACACTGCCCCGGCCGGACATGGAGATGCTCACATCAAAGGAGTTTCAAGGCTACCCAAACAGGCAGCACAATCCCCTGCTGGTGCCACCTGACATTTTGGAGAGCAAGAACAATGAAGTCAAGCGCTATTTGGCATCACTAAGGATTTCATTGGGAATAGCGCTGGAAGGAGATGGCTCGCCGCCAAAGGATGTCGCTCTATTTGGTGTGATAGCTGTTAGCTAGATAATAGCTCTTTACAGATGTGTTTGATCGCTTCGATGCAGAAGCACCCGAGTAAAAAAAAAAAAGAAAGCAGGATCTTCTGTCCTGCCATTTTACTCATTCATGTTTCTTCAGCGTGCATGCTATTTCTTCGTGAGATGGTTTTCCATGCTCACCCACGCCTTGATTTTCATGGGGCTTTTATGATACTTGTGCATGCGCGAATTTCCCTTCTCAGTTGCAGGTGTGGCAACATGACATGTGTGCAAATGTGGCAACAGTTCTATACATTCATAATGAACATATGAAGACAGCAGAATACACGTTCATGTCTTCATGCTTTGCTAGTTTCAGCTTCTAGGCTTTCTTTCTCGAGCCATCTTGCAGCTGGCACCTGGGTGTGCCAGCGGATGGGCAGCTTTTCCACCAAGGCAGCCGCCTTCCGAGCTTCTTGCACCTGCACAACGCCCACTGCCTGGGCCTTCTTCCCATGCGTTTCGGGCTTGCCCCTCTCTTTTGTGCCCTGCTTGCGCTTCCTGCTTCCTACGGCATGTCCTCTTCCGAGCAGACAGGGGATGATACAGCATGTGCATCTTCGTCTTCATTAAGTGCTCATGTTCGCAATTGCTGGCTGTCAAACACCTCGAGTGCTTTCACCATGCCGTGGGACCGTCGGATGGAGCCGATCTGGGAGTCCAATAAAAGGTTCAAGGTTCAGATCAAAGGTGCATTATTGCCTCCCATTCCGCTGGAAGCCCCACCTCTTGAGCCATCTTTGCGCACTCCTGACACACGCCCCGCCCTCGATGCCTTTTCGGAGGCGGGTTTGAAGCCTGCCAAAGCCTCAGAAGTTCTTTATACCGAGAAACTTCGTATGAGCGTAAGGCAGCTTGCAAGAAGTGGGTGGCCATCATAGCTGTATGCCCTTCTGTTTGGCAGATAGTCCAGTTTGGTTTCGGTGCACCCGCTTTGCGATATGCACAAGGCGGCCTTGTTGAGCATGTGAAAGATGCCCTCGCCTCAAGGGCCACGAGCACCCTGCACACCCGGGCTGGCCCTATGCTCAGATACATTCAATTTTCGCTGCAAGAGGGTCTGACGCCCTTCCCTGTCACCGAGCCCTTGATCTATAACTACGTTAAGGCCATGACATCAGCGGCCCCCACGTATCCCAAGTCTTTCTTGATCGCACTAAGCTTTGCAGGCCATGTCCTGGGACTGAAGGGAGTGTCTGAGGTCTTGACATCGGGGAGGATCAGCGGGGCAGCTGACTCCCACTACATCAACCGTGCTAAGGTGCGCCAGAGGCCACCGCTGACCGTTGTTCAGGTCCTGTTGCTCGAGGAGATAGTCGCCGACCCTCGTCGGCTCCCCTACGGTCGGTTGCGGTTCAGCGATGCCCAGAATGTGACGTGCCTGCAGCTGGATGAGATCGCCTGCAACGGCGACCCTCGAGGTTTCCTTGAATGTTTGGCCGAACGGACTAAGGTCAGCTTGGCTCGCAAGGTCAGGGCACTCCCCATCGTCATCCCGCTGCTGTGTCTGGGCGAGGCCCCTTGGATTCCCGTCTGGCTTGAGGTGCGAAAGAGCGAGGGGCTCTTCTCGGAGGGACACGTCCCCCCAGGAACCTCATTTCTGCTTCCTGCTCCTGCCCACGGAGGTGGCTGGTCGACGCATCCCATTGGAGTTGGATCGGCTGCTCTTTGGCTTCGGAATCTCTTGAAGAACACCGTCACACGGGGCGATGTGGCCCTAGGTTCCCGGGTTCCGGGGTTCCGGGTTTCGGGTTTCGGGTTTCGGGTTCGGGTTCGGGGGGCATCTTTTGTTTTGAGGAGGGGGGGGGGTTCGGGTTCGGGTTCGGGTTCGGGTTCGGGTTCGGGTTCGGGTTCGGGTTCGGGTTCGGGGTTTGGGGGGCATTCTGTTTTGAGGGGGGGGGTTGGGGTTCGGGTTCGGGTTCGGGTTCGGGTTCGGGCTCGGGTTCGGGCTCGGGTTCGGGTTCGGCTCGTAATGTGTGGCCATGGCCTCTTCCTCTGCTTCTCAAACAGATCGCTAGCTGCCTTGTGCTCTCCTTCTAGATCCTCCATCTCCTGCCACAGTGACCCTCGAGTGACATGCTGTGACGCCTATGCAGAGCTCTGCTCTTGTGGCTATGGCACCATGGGCTCAGCTGAGTTGACTCAGAAGCATACTCAAATCAGGCAACTCTCGTCCTTCTGCATTCTGGCTTTCTCCTCCTTCATCTTATCTGCTGGCATCTCTTTAATCTCCTGGAACTGACAAACATGATGCGGCAAGAGCAAGCCCAGGTCACATGATCCTGTCATCCTGTCAGGCATCACAAATCTAAATAATGCCCGCCCTGTTCACCCTTCCATGCAGCAGCTCCCTATGCCAACTAATCTGTGTTCAAATTTCAAATTGGCCTCGACGCACAAGTCATTCAATACACAGATTCACCATATATTCCTTAGCGTAAGAAGAATGTTATTGAAGAAATCAGCACTTACGCAGTGTGCCCGAGCCCGTTTTGCCCCAAAGCCTCAGCAACACAATCTGCTCCAACTCCAAAACTCCTCAAATCCGGATGTCACCCTTAAACCTCCAGCCTTATTGCAATCAAACCGCGTTAGCCTGCCTGCCGCAGCCGATGCCTTGCTGTCTTATGGATTGCGGTCCGGGTGGGACGCAGGGCTTTACCAGTGCTTCAGCCCAAATACACCCCGAGTCTCAAACTTTCAGGAACTCCACTCTGACTCGCTAGACAGGAGCTGAGCCCCTGGTTTCAAGTACTGAAAAGCCTCGGCCGGAAAGAGCGCGCTAAAATTTTCGGCTCTTGATGGTTCGGAAGCCCGGAAGCCCGGAAGCCCGGAAGCCCAGAAGCCCGGAAGCCCGGAAGCCCGGAACCCCGGAAGCCCGGAAGCCCCCCGGAAGCCCCCCGGAAGCCCCCCGGAAGCCTCCCGGAAGCCCCCCGGAAGCCTCCCGGAAGCCGCCCGGAAGCCCGGAAGCCCGGAAGCCCGGAAGCCCGGAAGCCCGGAAGCCCGGAAGCCCGGAAGCCCGGAAGCCCGGAAGCCCGGAAGCCCGGGAAGCCCGGGAAGCCCAGCCCGGGAAGCCCGGAAGCCCGGAAGCCCGGAAGCCCGGAAGCCCGGAAGCCCGGAAGCCCGGAAGCCCGGAAGCCCGGAAGCCCGGAAGCCCGGAAGCCCGGAAGCCCGGAAGCCCGCAAGCCCGGAAGCCCGGAAGCCCCGAAGCCCCGAAGCCCCGAAGCCCCGAAGCCCGCCCCGAAGCCCCGAAGCCCCGAAGCCCCGAAGCCCCGAAGCCCCGAAACCCCGAAACCCCGAAACCCCGAAACCCCGAAACCCCGAAACCCCGAAACCCCGAAACCCCGAAACCCCGAAACCCCGAAACCCCGAAACCCCGAAACCCCGAAACCCCGAAACCCCGAAACCCCGAAACCCCGCAACCCCGAAACCCCGAAACCCCGAAACCCCGAAACCCCGAAACCCCGAAACCCCGAAACCCCGAAACCCCGAAACCCCGAAACCCCGAAACCCGAAACCCGAACCCGAGCCCGAATCACTACGAGCTGTGCGCAACTGGCCTAAGGAAGTCTTTGGGCAAGCTCAAAGACAAGACAAACTACAAGATTGCCATTCTCAAGGGAAGTTCTGGCGATAAAGACGAGCTCTAGCGACTTACAGCGAACTTGTCGCCGACATTTTAGGTAGTTCAGGGAAGCGTTGCATGAGTCTCACGTGGTGAAGTGCCGTCAATTTCCAGCCAAGCAGCCTGCAGAGGGAACTTGTGAAGCCGCCCATTGATGAGTCTCTCTTTGTTCTCTTTTCTTTTGGCTTGACGTAAATAGGTCATTAGACGAATATCCATTAGTTGCACCTTGCAGCCCGGGGCTTGCCCCTTGCTTCAGGAGAGCCGGTTGAGGGAGTCAAAGCGCTAAGTGTAGTTGAATTTCGGGGGCATTTTTCGAGGGTGATGACTGCAGGGTCTAAGGGGACTTGGATTTCAAAAGGGCCCGTGTGGCTTCGAGGTGTAGCTTCGAAGAGCTAGGCGTCTTCAGGAGTTGTGTTTTCAGGGTTCGGCCTCTTTTGAGCCCGGGAGGAGGCCTGACCCTGAGAACTCAACAAGATGGGTACGGGTAAAAAAAAATGTGGTTCTCATCTGTGGGGGGGTGGGGGGGTGGGGGGGTGGGGGGGTGGTTCCACAAATTAAGGTTTGTGGTAGGAACGGCTAATTACATTATACGGGTGGGGACCCTAACTTAATTCTTTCAACCATTATATCTGGATCCTTTGTTTGAATGCCCTCCCAAAACTCGGCCAACGATCTTACTGCACCCGAATATATCGGTGCATGATTCTAGCCTTCAACCATAAATTGGTGCCTAAGCCTTTCACCTGAACGATTGCAGCAAAGGGGTGGGCTCGCTCGCCGTTTGCGGCGGGCTCTCACAAAGGCCACCGAGAACGAATCGGGGAGTAGGGCGCAAAGTTGCTAACTCTGATGTTAGGGATGTGGTAGGTTGTTTCTCGAGGCTCCTGCAATGTTGGTGATTGTCGCGACCCATGGGGCATATCGCTTTGCTTGTTAAGGGTATCGTCTGCTTACAGTTCGGAGGGTGGCCAATTCCGCCGTGCTGGTGTCTGGGGCTGTCCCTGCCAGTGCAGGTGTCTTGACTGTATCCATTCAAGGGTGCAGTTGCTCGAAGTCTTGCTTCGTGAGACTTGTTGTTGCTCTACCGTGTTAAGAAAAGCATGCCGCTTCCAACGCAGATGGGGCATGATGGGGCCCAGCAGTCCGGGTGCACTTATTGATGGGAGCCTTTTGACCGACTAACCAATAGGCTTAGGAACTGATTTCGGTGGGGCAGGGGTGAAGCCATAATGATCGCGACTCATACCCCCGCTAGTACAATGTAGCGCAAGACTCTCTGCGAACTATCTAGGCTCCTACGAAGCGAAACAGATCCCGTGTCCAAGTGCTTCTCCGGATCAAGGATCCTTTTGTGGGATGAAGTGCAGCACCGGGCCTCCCAAATCCCTTAGACCCCACAGGCTCATCCTTTGACCTGCGCTCGGCGCTCGGCCTTGGAGAATCCAATGCTCTGGTCTCGGTCGTGCTGAATAAGGTTTGGGGTGCACGCGGGTTCATAGCGTGTAGCCATGGTATTGCGGGGCTTACGGGCTTATGACGCTCCCGGGGCGTGCACGATTCCTGTCAACATTGCAAGTACCACGTGGGGACACAGGGCTCCGAACGGTTTCTTCGAGATCCCATTCTTGTCCCCTTCATTCGTGCTCAAGCCCCGATGTTTGTAGAAACCCGCAAGCCGGCACAGCATGGCACAGCCAGCACTGCGGGGGCAGATCGGACTCGAGAGTCTATGTAACCCGACACTCTCTGTGTGTGCCTAGCTCAAGATTCGCACGCATTGAGATTCGCGCGGAAACCTGCAACCTGCGAAGGTGCGGAGAACCCTTGAGAGTGGCCTTTGCGTGCCGAAGACAGGCGCTCTGGCATGATGCAGCCCAAAGTGGTTGTGGGGCAGGAATTCCCTAGGCCCTAGACCGAAACCCTTAACCTTAAACCCTAAACCGTAGAGCCGTTTCAATATGGAGGGCTGTCACAAAGACGTGCGGCCCTTCCTTCCGCTCATGGGTGGCCAGCCAACTCGTTTCCATTCCAGTAGTATAGAAGCAATTATTGCGATTATTCCTTAGTGTTCCGCTTTTTATCTATACTATGATATACCCTAGAACCCTTTTCTCATCATTTTCTCAGGCCCCGATGGTGCTTTAGCTGGCTGCCCAGTCAACGCCCGCGAAGCACGCGGCATCGAGATGATGTGAAGCGATTTCACCACCTCGTTCACAAAAGTTGTCACTCCTTGTCAGTGTAGTTCAGACTGCTGTGAGAAGAAAAGGAAAGGAGCGAGTTGGGTACTGAAACATGTGGACATTTTCCGGAGGCTTTTGCAACGCCATCTGCCAGGAGATCATAACTTTGAAGCGGTTCTTGCTGTTTTATTGAACCTTGGAAGATTTCGACGCAAGGACGAGGGTACTGCTCCAACCCATGGACAGCTCACACCGGGATTCCAAAGCCAGTCGCTCTTGGACTCTTGGACGATTTTAGCATGAAAAAACATTGAAGACATGCAAGGTTGCAAGCCGACCAGTTTAAGTGACCCTTGAGTGATAAAGTCAAGCTTTCTCATCAACATCTTCAACAATTCTTCACCCTGGCTTCACAAAGTCTTCAACCGCAGACCGTTTTGGTTGCTGAGAGGGTGCGGGACATGGTATGGACATGACCGCGCGGCTTGAGGCCAAGTTTTCCTTTGCCCTTAGATTTGCAGCCACATAGCGTTAGGGTTGATTTAGAGTAGTATCGATGTCTTGCATCGATTCAACCCAGAAGCTTGAATCTCGACCTCCCTGAAACCTTGCGTTGCGAAACCTGGAACCTTCTTCTGCCCCAGCCCTGGTGCCTGGTTACCCTGAAAACGAAAGGTGGCGTTTGGTTGCTGGCGATGTCCTTGCTGACGCCGCGGTTGGATTGGATCCTTGGGTGCCGCCGTCCACTTTTGCCGAGTTGTGTGCCCATCTACTTTGTCGGGCTTTCGGGCTTTCGGTTGGCTTGCAGAGTTTTGCATTCCGCCGATGCGAGGTGCTGCACAGCAGGAGGCTGCGAAGCCCACGGCCAGACAGAGTTCCAGGCAGTCGTTTTCGCGGAGCCCGTACGTTCAGGGCCGCTATGGCTGATTTTTACATGTTGCACTTTGGAGTAAACCAGTTCCGGGATTCCAGCAAAGTGTTTGAGCTGGACAGCGATTGCGCACTGCAGCGGAAAGGTTCAGCTCAGCTCGGAGCCCGCCCCGGCGCATAGTGTCTGGAGCTCGGCATGTTGACGACCAGATATCTTGCCAACCACACCATCACAAGTTCTCTCTGTGAAGATTTGCGCGCCCATGCCCTGGCATCCTACGTGCTGGCTTCTCCTCTCAGGCGAAGCACCTCCTCACATCTGGGGACCGGGTTTTTGCTGCTAACCTCATTGGATCGAGTCATTAAAGGGCTGTTCCTTCCAAACAAGCCTTCATGTCTTTCCCAAGATCTTCCTAACGTTGCGAAGCGCCCCCATCTGAAATAAAGAATGATTCAAAGGTTTACGCTTTGCAGAATGAGTAACGTGAGGGGTTAAGCGTTTGTAACTTTCATGTTTCCCCCCCTTGCTGAGAATCATTGTTCCGGGACACTGGGCAGAATCGATGGCCGAGGAATAACAAAGTCTGCCGCCAGCCAGACATAGGTGCAACGCCTGAATCGCTGAACCTTTCGGAGGCCTCCAAAAGCCTGTGCACCCCCAAAGCCTAGAAAATCCAACCCCCTGCAGCTTCCTGAAGACTTTCGAACCTTCAAGGGAAAAAACTATAAGATCAAAAGCATACTCTCGAAGAGAGGACTCCTTTGACATCACCTTCACGCCGCGCCTATTCGGCACGCAGGGGCTCAGCAGAGCGCCCGGGGCCCCACTCTTCAAAAGACACCACAAACCCGGGATGCGGTTCAACATGCTGGTCAAAGATGTTCAACATCGCCCTGGAGACGTAAGTGATGTAAGCCGCTGCAGGCAGCCCCTTGTGCTTTCCTGAAATTTCCTGAAGCCCAAGGTCAAATGCTCCGTTCACGCCCCGGCAGCGAGATCTGCCGCTCGGTCATCGATCTCCAGAAGGTTTGAGGGGCTGAAACTATGAGTTTTCGAACCAGTCAAGCCAGCCAAACCAGTGTTCTGCTGGGCTGCGGGGATCGCAACTTGAAGCCACAGCCTTCGAACATATTGCGTGCCCAATCAGCTTGCCAATCGAAAACACAACATGAAAAGTCGGCCTTGATGCAAAACCCATAAAACCCTGAACCCGAGACCTCGTGCCTTTGTGGAGCTTCGTAGCGTCGTAGAACTTCGGAGAACCAGAACCATGAGGCGGGCGCAGCTGGAGCTCCCGTCCCTTCAGACGCAGCCTGGCGTGTTTGGAAGTTCGTCTATGGTCAGAACCTACATGTCAAAGAGCTCCGTGGTTCTGGCGGATTCCAGCAATAGTCAAAAATAGCCCTTCTCTCTGAAGCCAAAAAGGTATCCGGTGCCACCGAATCTGGGGCCCGAGGCCGCTGAGGAGGCAGAGAAACGGGTGGGTGCAAAAGTGCAGAAGGGTGCGGAGGTGTATTTTGGTTGATGTTGCTTGGATTGCAGGAATTTGGCCTTAGAATGTCGGATGAGAGTGGAAAGTGAAGGTTTCTGTTTCACTGTTTGCTTTCACAAAAATCAAAGGGGGTGGCAGTGCAGTGAGGTACGAAAGGAGCGGCTCTTGGAGATGTACCGGGAGTTCGCCCTTGACCTGCACACAGGCGAGAGACGGCGACGGTGACATGCGGTGACCTTTTTTTCTTTTTCTTCTTTCTTTTTTCTTTTCAACATTTCGTTTCTGTCACAGCTCCTGCGTTCAGAAATGCTTTGGGCGTCCCGCCTTGGCTGTGGAGGTGCTGTAGGTGTGTCGCGGGTCGCAGGCAGCAGGCTGCAGCCCTTTCGGTTTTACCTCTCCATCACTGGCCCCAGGGACAGGAGCCTCTGAGGCAGCCCGAAGAAGGTTATCCACCGCCACAGCCAACACAAGCGAATGCACATGGACACACCGCGGTGTTGCATGGGCACTCCAAAGCTACAAGAGCCCGCTCCGGTGCTACACGAGCCGCGTTGTGGCGCGAGGGTTCCGTGCTCGGGGATCACGTGGGTGGATGTGGGCGGAGTTGCTTGTGAGACCGCGGTGCCCAGAGTCGCGCAGGCAGTGTTTCTGAGCTGTTCGCAGACAAGGCCCCTGCTCCGTTACATGGCCAGACGATCTCGAGCTGAAGTGGGAGACATCGCTTCCTCTGCCTTCGCCTTTGGGAGCTCGCTGCTCCAGATCTGACGGCCGCTGTGGCAGTTTTCCGTGCCTGGAAGCCGTTGGAAACCCCGCTAATGCATGTTGTTGGCACTTCAAGTTGTTGCGCCGCCCTCCGAAGTAGGTGCGGCAGCAGTTTCCTAGTCCAAGAGCATGCTCTCAGCAGCATGCAGCATGCTCTCTGCAGTCTTGTCCCAGGGCTCTCCAGCTCCCAGGGGTCGCAGGAGGTCTTAAGACAGCATAAGACAGCTATGGGGAGCAGGACGGCTGTCAGGCGGAGGCTGAGGCATGTTTGCTGTGGAGGCTTTATTTGATCATTTTTTTTGTATCTCTTTCGCTCTGTGTCTCTCTGTTCCTCTCAGTTTTGCACCGAGTGTAGGCGATGAGAGCTCCAAGCAGACACAGCGCGGTTAACGGCAAAAATACGAGAGCAAAGAGAACTCCTCATGGCCTTCCATAGCTTTGAAGCAGCAAAACTGCTCGTACGCAAGACACAGGCTCAGCGACTTGTCCCTTGCTGGACAGTCAAGCAGAGTGTAACAGTCCAGTTGCCGGGCAATCTTATACTCTCAGTGCTGCAGGCATGTACCTCACACAGCTGACGTCTAACCGAGACTATGCGGACATCCACGTCCAGCTAATGGAGGACCTTGCTTGCAGCTCCACCACCCTCTTATTTGATCTTATTTGGTGGCCTTTGTTTTTTTTTTTTTACAAAAGTGCTTGCGTTGTGCCTGTCAGAACTGGTTTAGACATGGTTCTGAGCCCTTTGGGGAACGCAAGAAACTTACGACTTACAACTGCTAAACCCTTGTATGCTGTTGCGTGAGCATGGCTGAGACCGCACTTTTTAAAGGGTGGTGTTCAGTTCCGGATGTTGTCTGAGAGGGTTGGGGGTTAGGCTTTAAGTTTCAGTGAACTTGTTTTGGAAGGATCTGACCACCCTCAAGCTGGACCAAAGCAACGGCCATTGCCCAAGTTGTCGTCGAAAGTGAACATAGCGAAGGGACGGGAGAGGGGACACCCACTGTCGAGCATCTAAAAAGCTCTGTCCCCTTGTCTTCTCAGAAGCATTCAGAACCCTACTGTTTGTGGTGTTTGTGGTGTTTGTGGCGTTTGTTGTGTTTGTGGGTTTTGTGGCGTTGTCGGTGTTTGTTGTGTCCCTGCATCATTTCGCTGAGCCTGGAGCCGGAGGCCGCATCATCGAGTTCCCGCTCACAAATGTGTCCAAAGTGTACCGTATCGTCAAGAATGACGACAAGTGGTGCCCTTTGTGGAGCATGGGCTTTCTAGGAAGCTTGGCGTGCGGAACAATGCAGCGCCCCTAACCTTTTCAAACCCTGTCCGTCCATTGACCTAAGCACCTCCAGGTACGCTGCTGGGACGCCACTACCGAACTCCTCCACAAACACGGAGGAGAGCAACCCCCGCCGTCAGAGGAATGGAACAATACTCTCTGCGAACTCCTTGAACTCCTTGAGAGAAGCATCTTGAAGCATCTTGAAGCCTTTTGTATTTGTGTTGTATTTGTTGCATTTTGTGGCCCTCACCGAAGCCTTGTGCAGCAAATCGTGGTCGTGGAGTTCATGCGGCGGAAGCTCGCCTTCGTCTTCAAGGAGCTGCAGGCAACAAAGGGTGAAGGGAAAAAAGTCACCTCTTTTTCCACTGCGGCGGATTCACAGGCTTGCAGTGTTTTGAAAGGGCTGGGCCAGAACAACGACCGAACGAGGATGAAAGAAGGCATCCCCCGACAATTCTGCACGTGATTCTAAGATTTGCGGCCGCACCAGCACCGAAGGACGTCCTAAAGCACCCACCAGGCCCACTCCACTCGACCTTGACACTCACTTCGCATCGGATCAAATTAGCTTTGAGGCATGGTTCTATCTTGAAGCCGAAAGGGCATAGGCTGCGATCTGTATAGCAAAGAGTACCTAGCAGCCGACATGCGCCCTGTACTTTGGTGCTCTAAAACCCCAGCGATGCACAGGGCATGTGGCAGCATTGAAATTGATTGATTTTTCGTTGCCATGTGGCCTGAGGTGTCGCAGCGCTTCTTGATTTGCATGGAGCTTCTGATTCGACGGGCGCAACAAAAGCAGGCCACCTCGCCCCAACATCCAACAACGCCCTAAATGGCCCTAAATTCTACACCATTCCACAGTCTACACCTCAACCCTTGCCATTCCTTTCTCAAGCCCGGAACAGCTTGAACCCTACACGCAGCAGCGAGTCTATGTGTTTGTCGTGGAGTTTAGGAACGGTTACAAGGCAGCTTTCTCGACCGGACAACGCGTGTGCTTAAGAAATTGGAAGCTAATATGCTTTGCCCCGTCAGCACACGGAAGGGACGAATGTTCCGCAGTCGTGGCTAACCATCAAAACTGCTCTGTCTAGCAGGACGAAAGTCCTTAACTAGGGTTCCTTGTTCCAAGGAAAGCGTGCCTGGCTCAGGGCTTCGGGTCTTGAAAGCGTAGGCATGGCAAACTCTGTCACGCAGTCGCCTAATCATCGCAACAAGTCCCAAATCCTTGCCACACGAGGCGCTGCGGTCGCTCACGCCGACCTTTCCCCCCCAGCATGCGCAGAGCAGGCATCCACTTTAAGACGGGTTGTTTTTTCGGGCTTCGCTGGTCTGCACGCTGCCTGTGATGTGGGGTTTACTGTGAGCTTCAAGTTGTGAGACTGATAGGGTTTTAGTGCAGCTTTCTGTAGCCATGCGAAGACCTGATGCAGTTTTGAGCAAACATACTAGTATGGCTGCCCTTAGAGTTCGGATATGTTCGGAGCTTTGCTGGGCTACTTGCATGTATTGCCAATGCATGATTCGAGAACGTCCATGCCGGCTAGATGACAACAGCCACTGCCTTCAGTGGCAAGGGGTGTAGGCGCATCACCATGGCTCGCGGGCGACGGCGAGCGATCAGTGACAAAATCAGAAACCAGGCAACATGAGGCATCCAACTCGAGCTCTTTCAACCGCCGGGCCCCTAAGACATCTAAGACATCTAAAGTCTCTCATTCATGTACGTCCCCTGAGTTTTTTTCCTTTGGGTGCAGGCAATGTCCGACGCCGCGCCTCGTCCACGCCATGAACTGAGCTCGACCGGGCTTACATGGGGGGCTTGGGGTGCACACGGGCGAGCGGTAAGTGGGTTCGCAGCTAACTGCTCCAATGTTGTTTCGGACGTTTCCGACAAGACTCAGAACCCACATTCAGCAAACCACTGCAAAACCTTTCAAGATGAAGGGTTTCCTGAAGCATCACCACGAAACCCTTTCACTCGAGACGTGGTCCACCTTACCAAGTCAAAGGGAAGCAGAAATCATGTCCATCTTGTGCCACTTTACACTACCCCTCCCCAAAATCAGTTGAGCATTTTGTTCTGAGGACGCGATGGCCAGACCGATCCCGAACCCGCCAGAGAACTTGAAATGAGCTGTTTCACTGCAGGTCCGCCTGGAGGTTCAATGAAGTTTAATGAGTTGTCAGGAGCGTTGCAATGAGCTGATTTCGGATGGAAGGGTTTTGTGAGTGGGTACTGTGTGGAATCTTGGGCATCTAAGAATCCAGGAATGTCGTAGTTGTGACACGTTGTGACATCCTGGTATGTTGTTATTCACCGGGCGTATGACGTGTGTGCCATTGTTTCTCCGGCGGCCGGCATATCGAGAATCTCGTAGTAGTCTCACTGTGGAGCGGAGATCTCATTGCGATGTGCGACGCCAAACTCTCGCAACTGGCATCGACTCGAGACGTCCTGGGCCCGCAAGATCCAAGGCACAGCATTTTGGCAGCAGCCCACCACAGATGCCGCTGACAGCTCTCTCGCTCCCAACTGTGACTAAATCTGCAGGCCCCTGTTCCTTGGAAGTCCTGGGATCCGGCCTTGGTTTCGCTTCTACTGTGCAGTGCTTTTTATTTTGGGAGGGGTCCCGGGAACTCCAAGGAAGGGACTTCGCGTTCAGGCAACAAAGCTTGCTGCGTCAATGGACCCCCCATTGGACGCCCAGAGCACTTCAGCAGGGCTCGGGCGCCGATGGTGTCATGGCAGCTGCAAAAGCATTCTCACAGCATTCTCACAGCATTCTCACAGCACTCCTCGGACTCTCAGACTTGTTGGACTTCGTGCCCGGGCGACGTCTCGGGGCTTTGATCACGGCTACAACGAAACCAGCAACGCAACAGTTCGCGTGGCACAGTACGGACGCAGAATGTTCTACGGCCTAGGTTTTTTTGTGACTGAGGAGCTTGAGGCGTTTTGGATAGAATTCCACTCTCATGATGCACACTGCAACCCGCTTCAGACTCCAGTCCTGACTTTGTGCCTTCGCTCCTTCAAGACTGAGGGAAGTTCTCTTCCAGTGTGGGAAGAGGGGGGAGCGCATTGAATGCATCCATTGAATCAGTTGGCATTTGGCTTCATGGCGCCCAGGTCGCCGAATTTGGACTTGGACCCTACTCCAACCCACCTCACGTGACACGAGTCACTCCACACTCCACACCCCGACACTCCCAAAGACGTGATGATAAATTGGGGCCCTCTGAAACCCTGGGAGCCCTAGGAGCCCTTTAGATCTGACGGGGGAGCGCATCCCCGACCATGTGGCGATCCCCCTTTCGCTTGGATTGGCACTACAAGTACTGGCAGAGGTCCCCGACAGATTCTTCTTTGTCGGTGTTTGAAAAGAGGCTCTAAGCCTTATAAGCACTCCAAGGGTGGGCCACAGGGCGCGCTACACAGCATGTCCAACGTTGACATGGCTGAGTTTCGGAGTTGCTGGGGTGGAGCGATTTGTGACAATGGTTGTGGGTTGGCTTTGGGTTTGCTGCTTCATGTATTGAAGCCTGATCTCTCGGATGCTGACAAGCGTAGTCACGACGTGTTGTGCAGAGTGTACAGGCAGACGGCCGGGTACCTGCGAACGTTCGAGAAGAACAACAAGCTACCGAACAATGAGATGATAGGCGGTGGGATAGGAAGACCCCAGATTACACAAGCTAGAGCTCGCAGATGTTCAGTGTTTGTCGGCACGGAGATGGTGGATTCAGGTGTCGGAGGACCGTAGCAGGTAGCATGCGTGGGAGTGCATTCTGATTCTTGGTCGCCAGGCTACGTCGTCAACGACAAGCACCCAAAATCGATCCGGGTAGCTTGCGACAGGCTCGATGGTAAGTGTTGCTGCGGCATCAACCTACATCGTCCATCCAAGATCTAGTCTGGGATTAGGGGTTGGTCCTCAAGTACTAAGGTCCAGGGCTTGAGCTGAAGTCTTTGTGCACTCCCACTCGAGGTACATGTGGGTGATGCGGTACAAGAAAGCTTTCCGCTTCACCAAGAAGGTCCGGTCCCAGTCAGAGCGCGCCGCCTCACCATCTGCGAGCCAATCAGTCTTAGAGGGGAGAGGGCTTGAAGTCAGCTGCTACTCGTAGAAGACAAGCTGGCTGCACGAAGCTAGCTGCACGAAGCTAGCTGCACGTAGCTGCACGTGTCTGAATGATGTTGGAAGGTCTGGGCTCATGATGAGCATTCTGAGCCGCAGCCCTAGCCGCCTGAAGGCCCGTTTCCTGGGGTCCAGTTCTGAAAAAGCCGAAGCCCCTTTCAGAGCCTGCAGTATTACAAGCCGCTACAAGATTCCAAGTTCAAACCCCAAGGCCAAAACCGGCCCTAACCCCCTTCAATCCCAAGCCCCAGTCCCTTTAGTCTTGGTCGCTTCAGTCCTTCGTGCTCGGGTTTGCATGTGAGCCCGGGCTCACATCGGGCTTGTGCTTCATGGATGGGGATCCTCTTTTCTTATACTGGCTAGACAGACTGAATGTAGATTCCCAGAGCAAAGTTTCACAAAGTCAGAGCTGTCAGAACCCTCAAAACTGAAGCTCTAAACACGTCTTCACATCACAAACCTTCAAAGCTCAGGTGCCGTCTGGGGGATGTCGTGCGTGTGCAACCCCTCGGCTACCGGCTGGGGCCATGGAAGACGTGCGCCCGAAGACTGGATGAAAAAACGAGCAGAAACTTGCCGGTTGAATCTTCCACCGGCGCTGGACCGTTATTGGCTCGTTGACCCCCTTGAGCAGCACCCCGCGCAGCCTGGAAGGCACGAGATCCCCTGCAAGCCCCACGTCACAGCAGTCATGCGATGGCTTCTGTACTCGCCACTGTGCAGACTGTACAAGTGTCACGGGCCTTTGCAAGGACTGTAGGAATCAGATTTCAATCAGCTGCCTCCGAATTGAGCAACCCTTTGAATTGAGCAACGTATTGACAGGGTTACATGTGGAGGAACCCTATGAAGACAGGGTTCTGGGATGTTTTGGAAAGATTCTGGGTTCATACTCTTCAACTGGGCCACCGTTTTCCCGGGGAGAGGTACGTACTGGTGCGGATTCTGCACCGCGAGCCACGTGATGCCAGCGCCTGAGGTGGTGACTCTTCCACTGGAGGTTGAGGCAGATGCAGATGTTTGCAACCTCAGTTTGTGTTCATCTTGGAGGTCTCTGCGTTTCGCCAGCCTTGCTTTGTAAGGGCATGCTGCGAAGGAACAGCGCAGTGAAGACGGAATGCAGGCTGTAAAAGACATGGGGTCGAGACTTGAGCAGAGGCTCCCCACTTAGACACCCTCGAACCAGTAAGAGTCATTAAGGTGCCTTTGGCGCGGTTTCTATGGGTTGAAGAAACTCATGATAATATGAGTGCATTGAAGATAGGACATCGCCCGATGACAGCCAGCCCTCCTTTGCAAAAACCCCTTCAGACCTTCCAGGCACATGTGTGAGCCCGAAACGCGCCAGGACGTCTTGGCACCGAGGGGCTCGGAGAAGCGAAACCTGCTGCTCCCAAGCAGGCTGGCGAAAGGGGGAGAGCTCCAGAGCGCTCGAGTCCGACATGCCAATTGCTTGAAGGCTTGAGGTTGTAGGATGGCACGAACGCCCTGTGATATTTCACCGTCCCAGGGTTTAGTCAAAGATCCTCACAGCACGCCCAGGACGGAAGCCGATGACTCTCTGCCGCAAACAGAGTAGCGGCAGCGGAAAAAGACAGCGAAAGGGATTGGGTTTCATGGAAGTGCTATCTTGTGTTTTACAACTTTTTTGTCAGAAGGTGTGAGCCAAATTTTTAGAATGAGGCTTTCCAAGCCATGCAGCCATGCGTTGTCTTTCTGGTCCAAGCATGTGGCTCAGCAAGTTTGCAGCTGCAGCCTTCAACCCACACATGGTGACTCAACTTCAATGCCTTCAAAGTCGATTAGTTCCGAAGCCCTCAGCACCGAGAGCCTTGGCTTTGGGGCAAAGCCTCCCCATGCCGGGCTCTTTGGGCCATGGCTTGTGCTATCTGCCGAGTGGCTGGGACGCGATGACTTTTGAGCGGGAGTGCAGGGCATCACTTCCCTGAGCGTCCCGTAAGCTTCCGCTGCTGAGCTTCCCCAGGTGACATGGAACACGCGGCCTTCCAGGCGTGGGTGCCCGCGCCGCGGAGGGCCACGGCCTTCCAGATGGACACTCGGGTCCTCATTTGTGGCATGTTCGTAGGCAGATACAGGTGAAATGCTGCCCCCCTCATGTGCCTACCGCTTTTTTTGAAGACTGGTTTGGAACCAACGGCCCTCATTGTTTCGGTTTCATGTCTGGGCGAGCTGGGCCGGCAAGAAATTATCAGATGTCCATTGAGTCTATTTCAAATTCCCGATATGCCAATCTACGACCTAGACGTTCCTTCCAGGTTTCTGTACTGCAGGGAGAACTCAGACATTGCAGAGTTCCAAGACTCTGGTCCTTGTTCCATCCTCGGAAGAAGTGAGAGAATTAACAAACGGCTTTCGTTTCTTCAGAAGTAAATACCATAGGAACCATGTCTAGTACCCCCCCCCCCCCATTCTGATTTCTCATTCGCAAAAGTTCTTCCGAAAATGGCTGAAACACCCATGCAGTATCTAAACCTTCATGTACCAGGCTTGAAGCCCCAAGCGCCGTTCAACTTGGAAGGGCCGCGTATTCCTTTGAAAAGTTGTGTTGCCCACGCGTAGAATAGGGGTTGGCAGTCTAGCATGAGGCCAAGGGCTACTTCGATGACATGGCTGAGCTCAACAAGCTACTTGGACTCTGAGAGACTGGTGTCATATGACTTGGAGAAGTTTCTTAGCGGGGTTCGGGCTCTGTGTGGGGCTTTGGGGTTTAGGAACTATGCTGAAGCTTCTTTCTCCAGAGTGCCTCAGACCTACGCAACTCAGAAGGAATCATTGGCACCTCCCGACCCCCAAGACAGGTTCGGCCACGAGATCAGCAAACCAAAGCTGCGTCCCGGCGGCGCAGACACGACGCCAGACTGCCAGAAGGTGCCTCTCAGTCTCTCAGTGCTCAGTGTACGAAGGGCCCCAAAGGAGTGTAGCAGCGTAGCTTAGTACGCCGAAGATGGTGCCGTACTGCTGCGCTTCCACGAGCCCTGTGCCTATTTCCGGAATGATCGTACCAGGAATCAGGGGTAACAGGCTTAACTCCAACAATTGCAACCTGCAAGCTGTTTTCGCTGATGTGGTAGGATGGTGGTGTCAGTGGTGTCTGAAGACAGACATGAGCATGGTCTGAAAGAGAACGCGAATCGGATCTTCCGGAGGAGGACCGGCTCCTCACGAAGCGGCAGCAGAGACTGGACAGAGACTTGGTGGCTTGGCCTGCAACCGGCCTGGACAAGCCGCACCAAACCCTGAAAGCCCCTTAACTGCCTTACACCTCGAGAAACCAATCCAGTGTAATCCTTCAACCCAACTGCAGTGAAAGCCCCTCAACCCTCCCATAACCCACCCGCACTCATTGCTCCTGTGCCTTGAACAACCGACGCAAGCGAAACGAATTGGCGAAACCATTACGCCCGAAATCGATCCTTCGATTCCCGTCGCGAACACTACTGTGCCATGTGAGAATTTTACGGCTCATGATCCTAGGCGATTTAGCTTGTGGGCGGTTTCGATCTGAAGCTTTCGTATCTCCATGTTCTACAGGTCTGGGACTTAAAAATGGCTTAGTCAAGTCAAATCCCTGAAAACTGCGCTCAAGAACCGGGGCTTCAACAAGCCCAGGAGAACTTGCGCAAGCAGTTTGAGCCGAAGCTTATCACTTCAGCGGACGCTTGTCTATTGGTCGTCCGCGCTCGGAGCCTCGGGGCAGGGGTAGTGGTAGCAGCTTGTCTCGCATGGTTCCAGCTTATGACCTATGGCATGGACATCCTAATGGCTCCAGCTAGCCTCAGCCTCGCCCCATCTTAGCACCAGTAAAGATTGAAAGGCTAGATCGGCTAAATCCCCCCATTCTCTGAGGAGATCGATGGCGAAGATCCGTTCAAGGCCGCCATCGTGGAGCCTCCAAACTTTTTCAAGGCCAGCGCTCCGCGAAGAGAAAAGAGCGAAGAGAGGGAGGAGGCTTCAGGGCCGAACTGAGCGAAGCCGAGCAGATGAACACATGGAAACACCAAGGTCCACGAGCCACAGTGTTCTGTGTGGCTTATGATGGCTTATGCCTTTTGTCCTTTTTGCAAGGGCTAAGCGAACCTGCCGCGCATTGTGTGGCATAGGACTCGGAGCAGAAATGTGGAAGTTAAATGCAACATGGTGAAACCCGCAAGAACACGAGAAAGGGGCACGAAATGGACCACAACTAGTGACTAGTGCAGCACGAGAGAATTGCAACAAGTCGAGGCACGCAAGCTGCCTGCCGAAAGTAAAAAACAAAAGTATGAGTGAGAACCCAATTAGCTTCTCCGGCACGCTTCATTCTTTTCATCTTCTTCGTGTTCTTCAGTTTTGTTCAGTGTTTTTGTTTTCACGTTCTTCGATGTTTTCAGTGTCATCCACTCTTTCTCTTGTTTCCCGTTATCTGTGTTTTTCAGGCATTCGGCATGTACATGGAGTTTTGATGGTTCCACTTCAAAACATACAGGTGTCACTGCCCTGCACCCTCCCCCCCCCTCAAAACTACGCGAGGCCGGGGCCAACGTGGACATCCTGAACCCGGAGAGGCCCAACTCCGAGCTCCTGGCGTGCCTGAAGGCCTCGGTCTCGGGAGAGCAGAGCCGCACAGGTCTACTTCACAGAAGCCTCGGGGAGAGGGTGTCAAGGGGAAGCCGGAAGCCCCCGGAAGCCCCGATGTTTCCGGGCCTCGTCCCAAAACCCGGGGTCCAAAGCTGGAGGGGTTTCAATAGGCTCGGCAAGCCCCTGTCCAATCCGCCCCAGCAGGAGGAGGGTGGCAAGTTCGAGCTGTGCGAACAGAAGGAGCCGAGGGCTTCTGGTGGAGTTTGGGAGTGTGTGTTTGCGAGAGGTGCTTGCAAACTGCATGTCTTCGCTGTGCCCTGCACGCTTAGGTGCTTTTTTTTTGTTTTCTCTCGAAAGACATCCCAGAAGCCTGAAACCACGTTCCACAGCCGGGTTGAAGCCGAACCCGAATCTCAAAGATGGCACTCAACAGAACTGCGAAGGAGCTCGGCGAGGATGGCCAGGACTTCACCTGCGACGCCAAGCGCGCAGAGGACTTCCACTGGCGGGAGGCCCCCGAGGTTTCTGGTCAAAGCGGGTTTATACACAGGGGTTGAGATTCTGACTTTGGAGGTCTGGGCGACAGGACCTTAAGCGCAACAAAAAGGGGCTCGGTTTCTGGGTCTCTGCTTTGATCATGTTGGAGGGCTCTGGGCTCTAAACCGATACATCAAAGGGTGATACATCAAAGGGCCTGAAGGCCCTGAAGGCCTGAGGGCCCTGAGCCTTGACGCAAGGGCGACACGGTCAAGTTCCTGGGCACCTGCATTGAGCCGAAGCCGCTGAAGAAGGCATCCGTGTCGTCGTTGAGATGCGGGTTCTTGGGGCTTCGGCGTTCGGGTTCGCTTGGGTGCTGCTTTTCTAAACTGGATGCGCAGTTGCCATATTTGCCATAGCTTGTTGCAGGTATGTCGGAGCTCGACAAAGCTTTTTTAAACCCGAAGCTCGGATCTGCTTCCAGGCGCTGCTCTCTGCCGAGACGCCCTACCTTCACTGCGTGTACCCCGATGGCGAGGTGCCAGGGGAGACACCGCCTCAGGAGGGTGCCGAGGGCGCCGGTGGCGCACCTGCCGAGGGCTCCGCGGCCGAGGGCGCCCCTGCCGCTGAGCCGGCCGCTGGCAGTGTTCCCGGTGTTCCCCCTGTGTGACAGCTCGCGAAGGGGCACAAAGGTGAGCGGGTTGTGCACGGGGATTGATCTTGCCAGCTACGGAAACTTGCTTTCTGAAGTGAGATTCTTCAAACACATCCGTGGCTCAGGATCTGTGTCTGCCACATGTTCTGCGACAAGGCTCCAACCACCTGCTCACAAACGTTCTCCTCCACTATATATGTCCTCCAAACACTTCTCAAGACAGGTTTCGACCCACCCAAACGCCAAACCCACCCCAAGCCCTCAGCCTCCCAACCCATAACCCTGGAATTGCTCCCTGCCGAAGCTGCGGGGGCGATGCGCGCTGTCGCCTGCGCGCTTGTGCTTGCGACATGTGGAGAGGCGTTAGGGGGGTCGGATTCGCCTTGGGATCTGTTTGCGACCGTTTCCAGGATGGACTTGAAAGTTCCCAGCAGAAGGGCCGAACTCAACTGTCAACCTACAAGGTGGCGGCAGGAGACAAGCTCCCAAAGTTTGCCAAGAAGTGGTGGGTCCTGGGCCCCTTTGCCTCCGGCAAAGTTGAGTATGAGGCAGTGACCTAGCTGGACAAAAAACGCATCAGTGGACCCGTCATCTCCCAAGTCAGACTTTTCACAAGTCCGATGTTGGTGTGTTTTTTTAAGGACCCCGTGGCCCGCCACGGTGGTGCTTGGCAGCTCTTCTCCCGACGCTTGGCAATGTTCCTGATTGGCCTGATGGAGGCACTGGGGCCACCGACGCGTCACCTGCTAATACTAAGGAAAGGCGGGTGCTGGGCTGCTGGCCGAGCACGCGCGGGGAGGTGCCTGGCTTTGTGCCCTGCGGGGTGTAAAATGTGGTCAGAGAATTTGATTGGGGGGAAGTGGAAACCCTGCTGTCAGGGTTTGTATAGTGGCAGAGTGCTTGCATATTCACAAGTTCAGTTCTCGTGAGAATTTGAGATTCTGGATTGTCGTGAAATCCGTAGAAAGCTCAAAGCTCCCGATCCTTTGTGTGAAGCCCTGATGACAATCGCCTGTAGGATCTGTAGGGTTTCATGTCTAGCGAAGTCTAAAGTCGGGCGGGTTTGCGCAGGGTCAGCACAAGTGTGGAGACGTGAGTGCGATGGCCAAGCATCGCTAATCATGGGGCCTCAACACAGAAACCCCAAACCCCCAGTCCACGAGGTCGCGTGTCATGGAGATCCACCGATATGGTGAGCAGCGCGATGGCGAAGCCTCAACCCCAAGATAAGTTTCGGAGCGCAAAGCGTGTGAGGCTCTTTTTGAATCTTTGTCTACAATATATGTGATGGGGGTGCCAGGGCCTGAGGTTTGAGGGAATTTTCAACAACTTCAGTCTTGCCATCGGCATCGGAGAGACGGGATCTTCAGGGTTGAAAAATGGTGCCCGGGCCCGTGCGCTTAGGCAGTGACGGGTGGGGTCAGATCCAGCCACCTGGCTTGAAGCTGTGACATTTCGTAGGCTCTTGCCCCGCAGGTCCTGCTTAGGTTTGTGTTTCGGACGGGCATCGGAAGTGTTTTTGAGCCTGTGTCAGCCGTGCCCTCTGGAAAATCAGCATCCGAAATCCCCAGATCTGAGCCACTCGTCACTGGCAAAGAAAGCCCACGAAAGCCATGTAGTGCCCACGAGGTTGCCTCACGACCATGTCCCCTTCCAGCAGCTGTTACAGAGCCCTCCGTTGGGTTCCGGGACCGACGTGCTTCATGTTCAGTCGCGGCCCTGGAAAGAATGTCGGGATGCAGTGCAAATGCGGGGGAGAAGGGTAGCCACAGGGGAGGATTTAAATGCCAGTTCTGAGAACCTCAGCTTTCAGCCGTGGTTATTTGTGCCGTTGGCACACCCGAAACTTCCAGAGCTGCAAAGACCCGCTTGTAAGCTTCTACATTGCATCACGCCGCACCGGAAGACGCCAGTACATCATCCCGTCACTTCATCACTACATCGTTTCATCATTAAATCGACAAGAACGCGGTCGGATGTCAGCTTGTTGGAGCACCCTTGAGCCCGCAAGACTCATGAGAACAATGCCGAGCAGAAACTCGCGAATATCTCCAAATTGCATAGTCACTAAACACCCCCTAAACCCGGAGCCCCAAAGCCGAAGGTACTGGGTCGTCGGGGTGTTGAAGGTGAAGACACCGGGGCGCTTCGGTGTGAGCTGCCGCGGGAGCTTCGGTTGCGCTCAGAAGCTTAAAGTCTGAAATCGTCATTGATGTCCATTCAACACCAGAACTTACCCCGCCCCCCTCTCTAGACGCCCGGGCGCCCGGATGCCAACTTTCAGATCGTTATTGGGGGCAAGGCTTCACACCTTCGAGCTGGTCGCGCCCGGGAACAAGGCTGGAGAGAGGGGTCGCAGTTAATGCAGCATGTCAAGACCACGTAAAGCACGAGGTCGCAATTGCGCCACTGCCTACCATTGGAACGCCCTTGGTTTTAGACCTTCAAAGCATCTCAAGGCCTTGACTACGCCCTGCTGCAGGTGCTGGGACCATTTGCGGGCAACATATACGGCAACACGCCCTTCACCGTGCCTTTTCACTTCGAGGTGACTTTGATACAGCACATGCGGACCCCAAACAGCTCCCACAGCCCCCACAGGCTACCATCCTACCTGTACTTTCCGAGGCAACAGGGACCTACCACCTGCTCTCGCGGGTGCGCGGGAAGGTGGGATCGGCATCAGCAGCCACAATATAGCCGTAAGAAGCCCTCAGAGTTTTTACGTGCCGGCATTCTCCGGCACCCGATTTAGCCAGGTGCCCCTGCGATTCGGCTGCCGTTTGGAGGCCCTGAAGGCGTTGCGACTTGCCTGGCCTTTGGTTAAGACCATATCTGGGAATGTGGCGAATTTCCGGGTCTTCTTGTCCCAGGGCTCTTCCAGCAATGGCACTCAAGAGAGTCAGGAAGGGCATCATCCACGCCAAGAGCCTTCCCGACGTGGTGGAGGGGAAGCTGATTGCCAGCCCTGCGCCCATCGATCTGCGGGTGCAGAATGCAGGTGCCCTGGGCGTGGTTCCCCCAAGCCTTTGGGCCTTGTCATCTTTCATGATATGATATCACAGATCTCTTCGAGGCCCGAGACCTCAGAAGGCCCAACAAACCTTTAGCACGAAGTGAAGTACTGAAGCGAAGTCCGAAGCTGCCGCGCAGACCCTGAACCGAGGTGCCTCTTGGCTGGATGTGAGGGCCGAGGTGTCGAGCTCGTCGCGAGTCAGCAATGGTCAGCACGCGGCGCTAACCATGCTATGGCAGCCCGTTGAATGCTCAGAAACTGAAATACATACCACTCCACTACGCAACTACTCCGCTACCCTCTCATTGGTCCCTTTCATCAGTGCGGGACTTGCAGCCAAGTCCCTGATGTCCCCGCAAAAGGGCCTAAATAGTGGGTCAGACTTTTGGTTGTTTAGGCTTTGCTTTGGGCGAGGTCTTCAGTGACCGGCTCTTCTTCGTCCGTGCGCTTGGCACCAGGGGCCATGGCGCAGGCTGCAACCAGGAACAAGCTTGGTGTCTGGCCGCCTCTAGCAGAGGCTCCTTGTTGATCGAACTATGTGGGACATTGTCGAATTTGACAGGTGCCCGTGCTTGTCACCGTGAATGGGCCAGCGGTGGAGAAGGCTAGGTTTTAGCATGATTTCGCGTTTCTTGATGAAGGGTTTGCGGTTTGATCATGCGCTTCAACATTCCGCTGTGGGTCGCCGGATCTCTCTGCTTCTTGCAGTTTCCTGCTGAAGTACAGTAATGTAGAGCCGCGCTTGCATACGCGTCTGGCCTATTCATGCAGCACTCTGCTAGACATGCGTACGGCAAGGACGCGCCCGCCTGTCTACAGTTCAACCTTCGCCTGATCGGCACCGGCGAAGATCAGGTGGAGGAGGCGGGATGCTTCAACAAAGCGCCCAAGCACAGGGGAGTACCCGGACCCAGGCTCCTGCACAAAGCTCCTTTCAGTTCAAAGTTTGGGCAAGTCAGTCCCGCCGCGTGTGCCACCGACTTCAATGCCTTTGCTTGCGTGAATTGTTTAAGTTTAGAGTCTCTCCCGAGGCAGAGGCCCCCGAGTAAGTAAAATCACGTCCTAGGTACAGTCGGGCCCTACAAGGTCACGTATGCGTAGTTTGCCTGGTGGTTTGGTGTGCCAAGGTTGTTCGTGAAAGCTGGAAATACTGCAATATGCAGGGGTTTAGGCTTGGTAAGAATGTGCAATGAGGGGCTTGAAATGCTGTAACTTACGATGTTTGCGGACGTGCACGAAGAAGAGGGCTGGGAGTGTAGAAAGTAAGTGTGGCAGGAAAGTGCGCGGCCGACTCTTTTTTCAGCAAGATGTTTTCATCCTTTGGCAGGTTGAACCTGCTTGCGCCATGTGTTGTGCCAAGAGGCAAAAACACAGCAAATACTAGTGGGGCATGTTCGCAAGAGGCATGTATGCTCGTGACAGCGCGTCAAGAATCCTCTGGCGTTATGTTGTGCAAAGAGGCAAGAACGCTTCAAATGCCAGCGTGTGGGGCATGTTTTAGAGACGCACACATACTTTGGCATTATGTTGTGCAAAGAGGCAAGATGCGGCAACTACCAGTGCCATGGGAACGGACGTTCCCATCCCCCCCCCCCCCCCCCCCCCCCCCCCCCCCCCCCAAACCAGGCAAACTACGTACGCGCCTCCCCCTACAAGACGAAGGTCCGGTCTGTGCAGCTGCGCTGCCGCCGGTCGACGCAGTCTGCCATCTTCTCGCTCCTGGATGAACACTGTCCTGTTGTCAATATTGAAAGTTGGTTGCCAGAACTACCTTCCTAAAGCATTGAGCTCGCGCCCCGCGCCCTTCACGCCTGTGGCGATGACAAAGGTTCCTGGATGTGGACAACTCCATTGCGCTGGCCGCCGTGCTGAGGCCAAGGAGGCCCTGGCGAGTATTGCTGTTTCCTACGCTAGCCGGAAGTAGTCGTAAAGTGATGGTGGTGGTGGTGGTCGTACTTAGGGGCACCTGCCGCCGCGCCTGGGTTTGAAGAGCAGAGGGTGGCGGGGCTTCAAGTAGTTGTTGCAAGTTTCATTCCCGCTCGAGGCACCAAAGCACGATTTGCAATATCGACACATAGGCACCCGTAGAGTCGTAGTGGCATTGGTAGGGGTAGCGGTATCGGTAGTGGTAGTAGTAGTGGGAAAGTAGTGAATGGTAGGAATTTAGAGTAGTAGACGTAGTAGAAGTAGTAGTAGAAGTAGTAGAAGTAGTGAAGTAGTAGAAGTAGTAGTAGTAGACGTAGTAGAAAGTAGAGGTAGTAGAGTAGTAGTAGTAGTAGTAGGTAGTAGAAGTAGTAGAGTAGTAGTAGAGAGTAGTAGAAGTAGTAGTAGAGTAGTAGAAGTAGTAGAAGTAGTAGAAGTAGTAGAAGTAGTAAGTAGAAGTAGTAGAAGTAGTAGAAGTAAGTAGTAGTAAGTAGTAGAAGTAGTAGAGTAGTAGTAAAAGTAGTAGAAGTAGTGCTTGTCGTAGTCGCCGATTTGTCTTCTGAGGCGAAACATGTACCTTTTGGGATTCCTGCCTGGATCCCTGCATGCTCGGGATGGTAGCTCAAGCAGTGGCGGCATCCTTGCTCATTGCAAGAATGGGCGTAGTAGAGCAGAATCGGATGATGAGCAGAATCCGAGATGAGTAGTAGTAGTAGTAGTAGTAGTAGTAGTAGTAGTAGTAGTAGTAGTAGTAGTAGTAGTAGTAGTCAGTAGTAGTAGTCGTCGTCGTCGTCGTCGTCGTCGTCGTCGTCGTCGTCGTCGTCGTCGTCGTCGTCGTCGTCGTCGTCGTCGTCGTCGTCGTCGTCGTCGTCGTAGTAGCAGTAGTAGCAGCAGCAGCATAGAGTTCAAGGGGTCAGATTGAAGAGCGGGGGGGGGGGGGGTCAGACAGGGAAAGCGGACATGGCTTGTTGGTTGCAATTGTTGCTTGCAATTGTTGTTTGCAATTGTTGCCTGCAATTGTTGCTTGCAAGCTGAAGGTGAGGGCTGGTAGGATTTCGGATGCGCCATGCAGCTCTTTTTTACACGCAGCCCGACGACAACCCCCCGGAAGCAACTGAGACTCTCGCAAATCACGCTGGAACCTCTTCCAGTCTGCCAGGCCCACCAGAGAAGCCAGGCCGATCCTGGTCTCCTTGTCTGGCGTCGGAGTAGAGCCACAAGCACAGGCAGAGAATTCGCGAAGTCTTAGGGGTTAGAGCTTTCTGGAGACCAGGATCTTTGTGAAGCTCTGCGGCATGAACTACTGAACCGTGTCGAAGGGCACGTGAACTTAGTGAAGTGAGTCAAGCGGAGTTAAGGGTGTCCACATGTCCGTGTATGTGCCATCGCAATTCTGAAAACAAACGGTTCACCGAAAGGAAGGTTTTCCGGCGTCTGCAACGCATTTGGTTGGTACTCGTACAACAGCAACATTGTTGTCATCAAACCACTTAGTATCAGAGTTCGGAATTGTAGCGCTATCAATGGCACCTGCCTGAAGCCTAGAAAGCGTTCTGAAACAACAATCGCCCCTCATGAGTAGCATCACTGATACTACCATCAATCACATTACTACCATAGAGCACGTTACAGATGTATTCACCAAAAAGGTGGGCCAGTCAAGGAATTAAACGATCGATCAAGCTACACATATCATCCCACGTGTCACGTCTGCCAAACCTCAGCACCTCAAGGGTGTCCCGATGCAGGCCGATGCTTACAAGATGAAGCCTCCAAAGGGGGAGGCAGGGAATGTGAAGCCCACCAAAGATCCACTTGATCCACTTGATCCATTTGGCCTGCGCTCAGGATTACATCTTTGGGTACGAGGAGCTGTGGGTCCTTGCCCCGCAAAGAGACGGGCCGCCGCTTGGCAGAACGAGGTAATGTAAACATGTTTGCAAACAAGCTTGTTTGCAAACATGCATATGCAAGTCTGCGATGTAATGGAAACAAAAAAAATTAGATGAACCTCGTAAGAACTCAGCACCTTCAAAAACGGATTCGCCAGGCACAACTGGGAGGATGTTGGGCTGCGGGCTGCCCTGCGCGCCGTCGAGGTGCTGGCGGAAAGCCAGGGCATCTGGGTTTTGATTCGGGGCACAAGACATTTTGTTTTGGTTTAAGAGAAGACTGTAGTTTTTCCACGATGAACAGCTCCAAATCCGAGAAACCCGAAGTCCCGAAATCCCGACATTGAAATGCATTCCTTTGAGAAGGGTTTCTGATCACTGCTGCAAGCCCTGCGTGCCCGAGACTGCTGAGGTGCAGACCCGAACCGCCTCATTGTCCACGGCCACTCGCGAGGGGGCCACGGGGAGCCTCGGCTCGTCGTTCATCTTTGTTCTGATGCTTCCGTGCAGGGCGGGCGATTCAAGTGACCCCAGTGACCACCTGGACTTCGTTATTTTGGCTCGTCAAGTCGCTGCGGGGTGAGTCCTAAGAAGGAATGCATGGTGTCATTGGTGTTCTCACCTCGTGGTGTTGTTGTCTGCACTCAATCTGTGCACTGCACCCCAGCTTCATACCCCGAATCTTCTGAAGCTGTGCCTCGGCAAGGTCTGTGAGCGACATCATTCGTCTAACTTCAGCCATACGGTTTCCGTACAGCAGTACAGGCAAGATCATGCACGAATAAACAAGTGTCGCTGCCTATGAACCTCTAGTTCGGGTCGAAACCTTCAAACGCTAAGGCATGGGCTCTGGCCACGCGCGTTCCTGACCGAGTGCTAGGCGTAGCGTCGGCTTGCGGCTGGTACAGCCGCGAGGTGGGGGGGGGGGGGGGGGGCTGGAGAGAAGGGGGGGTAAAAACACGTAGTTGTAGATGCCTCCGGTATGCAGCCGTGTTTCATGGCAGTCCCAAGAAGGGGGCATATCTGCAGGAGTACGGCGATGCAAACAACCTTTGGGTCCACGATCCGGCCTTGATGCACATGGACACTCGAGCTGGCAGTGGTGGGCCCCGTGCAATTTTATGCAGTTTTATGTCTTTTCTTTGTGCACGTGATTGTCTTCTTTGTCCATCGTTTGACGGCGTGAATCAACTTTTGAATCGTTGCATTGCACGCACCGAAGTGTGACTTCTTGATCTAAGTCAGCTGGTTACTCTGCTCGCGAATGCCAGTCGTTTTTGTGAGGCGAAAACTCAGGCTGGGCTTCGTGTGAGACCTGTAAAGGTGTGAGGCCTGTAAAGCTGTGTGGCAAAGAGTCGTGAGCTTGGTGGTTGCAAGTTTGGAGCGGCTGTAGCAACCAGATTTATCTAGAACCCCAGGACAAGCTACTGCTGGGCATCCTCCACGCCAGTGTGGCGGAGAACGAGAACTCACTGCACGCATCGAACTTGAAGGCATCTCGGAGGGGGCAAAATTATGGGTCCTTCGGGGTGCTCCCTGCAAGCACCGAAAAGGCAACTGAGAGTCCAAAACGCAAAGCTGTTTTCCATGCTTGAGCCAACCTGGAAAAGCCCTGAGCGCGCCGAGTTCTTGAGGCTTTGCCTGCCCTGGTCCGGGTCGCGACACGCGATCAGGCGGGAAGGGTGACATTTCAGGGCTTCCCCACTTGCCCTTTCCGACGTGTTGCAGCTTGGGTTTCTCGCCCTGTTTCGGCCGCTTCAGCCCCACCCGATCTAACGAATGGGGTGCACATCTCCGCCGCTCAGCTACTCGTACCAATGCTCTGCCACACTCATCTATCGAATGTTAATACTACAGACTGTCGCGCTGCGAAGAGGTTCCTGAGACCCGACGGTAGTCGGCATTCGGCAACCTCAGATCTACGTAGCTCTACGTCTTCGTAGCCGCAACCGCCCTGCCCATAACTTTAAGGGGTTTCAAGGCCGAAGGCCCAAACCCTCTGACACAGGCGGTGCCTCCTTGGTTCGGCCGCCGCATGGCGCGGCATTTGGAGGAGGAGGGCGCCAACGTCACCTTCCAGGAGCTCTGGGGCTCTCATTCGGCGGGGCGCATATGCATGTTCGCACTACTGCGTCCGCAGCTCCCAATCGCGAGGAGTTCGATCAGGAGCACTGGTGGTGGGACAGCCAGGTGGCTTCGGCTTCAAAAAGCGGAGGTTTGGCAAGCTCTCTAGCAGGGCTGACCGATGCTTTGTGCCACGGTCGCCGAAGCCTATCTCAAACACTTCGGAAGCAGACTCTGACCATCAACCTAGCTTAGAGGGATCTGCAGGGTGCAAAGCTCTTCCGCGCGAAGATGTTTCTCGGACGTTCCGATGGATCTGCAACTTGCTCCAAGGAGCCGAATGATGGCGGCGTCATGCACGACCCGGGCCTCCGCAAGTGGACACTGGAGGCACAGCAGACCCTGAACCCGCCACACGTTTCCTCCGAAAGCCCCTTGCTCTAAGACTCAGTTAGTTGCACGGCCTGGCAACTCCAACCCCTTGCGCGATGCCTTCACAATGCCTTCGCGAGCCAGCGCAAATGACCGCGATCATCTCCGCTGCAGGCAGCGCATGCGCCGCCCGCAACACTGTCAGATCTCCTGGCCCAGGCCCAGTTCAAGAGCATAGGTTTCAGGGCTCGTTGTGGTTTTGGACTTGCTGGGTTTGTGTGTTTGTTTTGGTAATGTCGGGGGTTTCGATACACAAATGGAAGCTTGAAAAGGCAGCCTGCGCGATGATGGGTTTGGAGTTTCTGTGTCTGTTAGATTCAGATGGCCGAGCACGGCCCCAGAACGTTTGAGATCGTCTCGCTCCGAGGGCGACTTTGTGCTGGCAGCTGGAGGGCCAGAGTACGAGGACAGCTGGGAGCTGGGAGCTGTGAGGCGGTAAGGTGTGGGTCAGTTTGATCGGGGCATTTTGTCAAAGCGCACGTCCAGCTACTTGGTTTAGGCATTGTACTCTGGTGGTTCTTTGGAAGCTCTTAGTATGTCAATGCGCGCCGCGTAAACGTGCCTCCCCCCGACCAGAACGGCCCAGAATGGCCAACCAACTTCCAAGCTGCCATCGCTCTTATCCCGAGCATTCCCGAGCCCTACCGCCTCAGGGTCGCTTCGGGGTTCGGCTGCTGCAGCGCCGGGCGCCTGCAGCCCGGGCGTTTGTGACTCTGAGCGATGCGACGGGGGAGGCCGGCAGGGTTGGCAAGATTCCGTGTGCAACTTGATCCTTGTAGGCCACTCAGGTTCTGGGCGACCTTAGTACTTCGTTTACTGATGTGTCTCCTTTAGTGTGTTCCCCTCCCCCTTCCCCTGAAAAATCGAAGCTATCTTGTGCCCTCTTGCCGCGGTGTGAGGATCTTCCAAAGAGCCACAAGGTCCTCGGTAACGTTTGTTACATCTTACGGCGCCCGGAAAGCTTACCTTTGTACTGCAGCGGGTCCCTCGCTGGGCTGCCAAAAGCGGGAGGGCTTGCGGCTTGTAGACCTGCTGCAGAGCGTTGCAACGCTTTTTGTTCAAGTGGATCTCTCCTCGCCATGATGCTTCATGATGCTTCTTTTCCACGGTGACTTACGGCCTTCGAAGTTTGGTTTATGGCCTTCGGAATTTGGTTTCAGCCGAGCGATGCAGGTGGCCCTAACCACTGCCAACGTGCTGCGCTTTGCCGTGCGGATGTCTGGCGGCTTGGGGCGGCTGCTGCAAAAGGTGGGGGCTTAGCGGCTTAGCATGTGCCTTGGAGAGCCGTCGTGTTCCTGGTATCGGGTGTGGATTCTTTTGTTCTTCGTGGGTTGCAGGCTGCAGATTGCATGCAGCAATCCCTGTTGACTTCCCCCCAAGATTCTCCCAACAGGTGGGGAGAGAGCTGGTGGTGGACGGCAGCCGCGTGAAGCTAGGCGAGGAGGAGCAGGTCCACAACTTGGCCTGCCGAAAGCCCTTCAAGTCTGCAGGGCATGCAAAAACCTGACACAGCCAACCTCTGTGGAGCCCCCAAGCCAGTGTGCCTTTGAAGGTGGAAGTGTGCCGAAACGCGCCGTCATCCACCGCCTGCGCTGCGGGTTGGGCGCCGGAGAGCCTTTGGGGCGTCTGCGACAAGGGGGACCCGAGGCAGCTTGGGTTCGCTTGAACCGTTCTTGAACTTGAAACTTTTTAAACCTTTTTTGAACTTGGAGTTGCGCATGCCCGAAGGCCGTGGCTGAGCCCGATCCGGCGGGTTTTCGCGGAGCCCTGGGTGTCTGGGGCCGTGTTCAGTTGGAGTCGCTTCGGTTTCAGGATGTTTTCTAACCCGACATCAAGCTCTCTTTTTTTTGCCAGGGTTGCCAGGGTTCCACTTGCTCCAAGGTCGTAGTGATTGCAGACGCCCCCTCGGATCTCGAGGCACGGACGCTTCACGGGGGCTTGGGGTTGTGCGGGCTTGAGGACCCAGGCCGGTTTCATCTTCGCTTCAGAAGCAAAGTTGGGGCCCAAATGGCTCTAGGCCACACAAAGCCTCACAAAGCAAATTGGACTCACGCGGGTCGGACACTGCCATGACTTCTGTTGTACTCCCAATCAAGGAACCAAGCAACGAAAAGAGTGGCTGGAAAAAGAGCAAGCCCGCAGCCAGCCTTCTCCCGGGGCTCCTGAAAGTCCGATCACTTTCCAAGCTTCATAGGCCTCAAGCATCCTCAAACCCCAAGCCGAAACTTTGAACGGCACGCCCTGGCAAGGTGCGGCTGGCCTCCTACTTCGTGAATGGCCACCTCACGGCCGTGGGCACGGCCACGCAGGTGCTGACGCAGACGGAGGACCTTTGGGCCCAGTTCTAGTGATTCCAGCGCATATGGTTTCGAGATGGTTGCAGATGTCACGGTATTCTACAGCCTGCTGCAGTATGCTTCTGGCCCTTGATAGCTGGGCTTTTGGGGGACTTCAAGTGATCATATCGGCACATCTCAAAACCCAAGCGCAAGCCGCAGCCAGCCGCAGCCAGCCGTCTCCAACCAAAAGCCAAGGCTGGAGCCTTTCGGCAGTCGCACCGCTTCGTCTTGCTTGGCACTGCAGCACGCTTGCCCTGGGGTCGGAGCTGGCCGGTGGAGAAGCCTGGACAAGAAAGCATGATGAAGCATGATGAAGCATCAGGAAGTATCAGTCCGGTAGGGCCTGTCATGACTCCCTCAAGCTCTAGCCGAGGATGAAGGCAACCACTTCTGGGCATGAGCATCTGGGCTTTCAAGAAAGGAGGGAAAGCGGTTCGATCTTGAAGGCATTCTTTGCAAGTGCTCAGACCGTTGGGCCTTAACAGGCAACGTGCACGGGTGGGTCGAGGTTCAACTGAGTTGGCCACGATGCATATCCTGTGCGCTTGCCGTTAATCGGAGCTGAGAGTCCCAGAGTCCCCAGTGCCTCTCGGCTATCAGATTCCACGTGGGTGGCTGCCACTTCACGGGTCGCCACGGTGCCGTCTTCCGCGCGCCGGCACAGGCCCCTAGAAGGGTTTTCTCCAGCTTGGAGCCAGTCCATGTTCTCCATGGCAAGGCTCTTGCATACTCTCATGTACTCTCATGTATTCTCGGTTGCAAAGCAGTGCTTTTGGAAGGATTCGCCGGCCCTCGACCTGGTGGTCACAGCGCTGGAGGATGAGGCTCTGGTGCCCGGGCCCGGTTTCAATCTGTTTTGACATGTTTTGACATAGCAGTACAGGTTCAGTTTGCTTTTGATGTTGTACATCACTTGGGAATTCGAAAAGGTTTCTTACGTGGCTGAGGTGGACTTGGTCTCCTACTCCTTTGCTACGAACCAGCCACACACACGTGCACCGATGTCGAACATGCTGCCGGACTTCATGGTGGTGGGCCCCGACTTCCGATGGCCCTTTGACAAATGTGTGCACAGCACAGTTCAGTCAACAACTGCACAAGTTCGGGAACATTTTCTATCCCCAGGTCCCAACCTTCCATAGTCACACAGACGCGAAGTCTTGAAACCCTTACCCCGTGAGAGTGTGCGCAGCAGTCCTTTGCACTCGAGCACGCCCACCGCCTTAAGCGCCAACAATCTTTGAAGGAAAGGCTACGGAGGCGTGGTGGCTGCTGGCTATTGGGATGAGTCTTGGCAGCCGGCACTCAACTCCGCGTACCTTCGATGCTGAGACGAAAAAGGCGACAAGAATGGAGAGCGAATGGAGCTTTTCGCATCTTGCGCTTGGGACCAGGCTGGGATTCGCGTTTCTCACGATTTATTCCCGCCATGAATACAGACGCAATCCGCTGCCACAGCAGCCGTTTCAAAGCGTCTGCCGTGGCGAGTTCCCTTCCCAGGCCGCAGCACCAGGGCATGTTTGAGCTGTATGAATTGGATGTTGCTTTGGGGATTGCGATGCTGAGAGTGTGCTTCTAGACATGTGCCAACCCAATCCCACGACACGGGTTTTCTCCCGAACGTGGTTTTTCCCTGTCCCCATCTGAAGACGAACGCTTGCGAATCCGAAGCCCTTTCTTCCGCAGGCGTCCCGCCATGGCAGCCGCAAGGACCTTAGGATCTACATTTCCTTGGGTTCTTAGCCTTCGGTAATTTTGTGCTTCTTGATAGTTCGGATGTCGGGTTTCAGGGTTGACATCATCACCCCAACACGTGGGCCAATTCCTGTTGCTCCAAACCCAGACCTCAAGCTTCACATAGTTTAACCCTTGCAAACCTTTGCCGCAGAACCCAACAAAAAAAGGAGAAAACCGAGAGAAGAGTGGGGCACTTTCCTAGGCTCGACCGCTCCGGGCACTTGCTCTCTGCCGGGGTGCGCGCGCCTTTTCCCTTTCGCAGGTTCTGTGAGTTTCAGCCAGGATTTCATCATTTTATGCCTTCCTTGGCCTGCAGAGTGCTCTGTCCAACAGTAGTCGTGATTGGCAAACTCTCCAAGCCACATTTCGGTGTTTGCGCAAGGTCGGGAAGCCGAGCATCCTGGAAATGAGCTTTGACTTCCACGGCAATACGTAGCCCCAGGATTCTCTGAGCTCCAAACCCGAGTATGCTTACGACACGAGGGAATCTCCACGAAGCTCAAGCTCCATGTCCTGCCTTCACCAACAAATCGGTCATCTTGGGGGTTTTGCGCATCTCTGCCCTAGACCCTCCAAGCATGAATCTGAACGTAACTATTAACCATTAACCAGAAGAGTCGTCCAGATTTATCGTGGAGGCCAGCGACTAGCGCTCCGGTCCTTCACGACGCCTGGAGGGCAGGCGTGCACCTCGTGCATACTTTGTGTTGCCACCTTTGTTGTTTGCTTTCCACAAGGTGGCGCTAGGAGGCGAAACGGGCCCACCCTACCTCAAGCATCCGATGTGTTCCACTGTGCTATCCTAAGATTCGAAGCCCACAGAAAGCCCAAGCAAGCCCGAAGCACTCCCAGGGCAACCCGTTTGCTGCCTTCGAGCAGTTCGGACGGGAGACTGTGGGCCGGGCCACGGAGGCTGGGAGTTATATAGAGTTACATAGAGTTATTGAGGAGTTGAGAGCACCTTTGGTGGAAACCGAAGAGTCCCATCTGAGCTGTTCTGGTGTACCCATCACGTACCCACCATCACCCTTTCTCCCCTCCGTTCCCCTCCAAGACAAAAAACGCTCTCACACTTATTTCCCGCCTGCTTGCTTACCCACACTTACTTGTGGATAGTCGTATCGAACTCGATCCATGCAATGCGAAGATGGTACTCAAACACAGAGTAGCACAAGCAGGAACACAAGACGACAACGACAACGGGAGTGACTCCCTACTGTGAGCTAAGACGGTCCCCAGACACAAAATCAGAGAACCTCAAATGGTGACACCGAGAGAAGCGAGGGCTCTCGGGGAGGCGGCCAGCAAGCTTGGTGAGGCGATCCCAGCGCAGGCTCCAAAAGCGGTCTGCGCTTTGAAAGGTTGGGGAAATGTTGGATCCAGGGGTATCTCGGGCTTGAAAGGGTCTGACCTATGGACCCTGAACTCAGCCCAAAAGCCGAGAAGCTCTCGGAAAGGGCAGCATGGTCGGCATGGTCGAGGGCCTCCAGGGCTTCGCGCAGGCGCGATGTGGAGGGGCAGGATATGAAGTCTCGGCGTCTTGAATACCTCCATTCAGAGTCGAGTCGAGAGTTGGGTCCTGGGTTCGGCTGTGACTGCACCGAGTGCGTTTATGCCAAAGGTTCGCAATTGCTGGAGAAGATGTGGGAATTGAAGACGAGCAATCTTGAGCTTCTCAGCAAGCCGCAGCAAGCCACATCATTCCAGATGGCTCTAGCCAGGCCAACGTCAACGAACTGAGTAGGGCCACCGCTGGGCACCTGGCTTCAAGGGCTTCGGGGAACGTTCTTTTTGAGGAGAGTGTAGAGGCGTGGGTAGGTGGTGTGCTGAATTTTGCATAGCTGCTCTGCAGCAGGCTTCGACCACATGTACAGTTTTAGACCGTGCCCTGTGCGGAGATTTTGAAGGTGTTTGCAGTTGGGTGCTAGGATGTTCTGGGCGCAATGTTCTTCATGGCGAGACGGCTAGGTTCCACTTTTCGCGGCCCTTCTGACGCTCTCGCGGTCACCTGGTACCCCGCTGACACCGGAGCAGCAGGCGCGGAGGGAGCCGTGCTTCGGGTGCTTCGGGCCTCCAGGGTTTCAGAAGGGGTCTCTACGCAGCATCGCTAATCCTGGCTCCGAGGCCTCACAGCTTACGAGACCTACACCTTCAAAGCGCCAGCTTTCCCTTCAAAGCCTTCACAAGAGGAGAAGCTTGAACACCTGCTGCCGCCACCGGTCCTCGAAGCCATCAAGGCCCGGCTGCGTGGTCTTTGGGCGTTCAGTGCTTGCTGTGTACTTTGGCGTGTCTTTGCCGGGAAGTTTTGGGGTGTGTAGTGTGTGCAGCGTGTTGGAGATGAGGGGAGCCCCAACTCACAAAGCCGCCTGCCCAGTCCTTCGGTGAGTTCGTCCCGGAGGATCCGGCAGCAGGGGCCTCGGCAACATCTGCAGCAGGAAAGCAATGCTATCGTCCGAGACGCATGTTCGCCCTGCATCTCACCAAAGCGAATGGTGCCAATGTAATACACTTTTGTTCAACACGAGTCACAGTCAAGGTCATCTTCGGTTTCATGCCTTGGCTGAGGTCGTCCAGCTGAAGCGGATCGCAGATTCCCTGGAGAAAATCCAGGTCCGCACCCGCCGGCCATGTCTAAAATCCCCCCAAAGTCCCCAAGCCAATCCCAAGCTCCAGGCAGCGCAGGGCTCCGCGGCTGGGCAATCTCTCGCAGGCGCTTCCCGCAGTCTCCCTAAAAATTCGAAGCGCCGCAACATCCTCCAACCCAGTCCCAGACCATACCCTCAAGCCCCCGACAAAAGGGGAGGTGGGCTGCGGCCCATGAGACTCCCTTGAGATTTTGACGCCATCGCCGACATCCTTTGAACCCCAAAGCCCGCCGGGCCCGCCGAACACCCACAGCCCCGAAGCCTGAAAGCTCAAGCTCAAGCCCGCGGTGTGCAGGGGGAGCATCCAGTGTGAGTTCCTCTTCCGCACCCCCGAGTGAATGAAGGCTCTTGCAGGGAAGGATGTCTGGTTGTGGGGCTAGGGCCAGTATAAGGCCCGAGCAGCGGCCCGTTTCGGGGGTTATCGTATGTCGGGACTTGCTTGGGGCTCGTTTCAGAGGCTCCGTGCATCCCACAGCAGACAAGACTTTTTTTTTCAGATTCAAGGCCCAGACTCTTAAGGGTTTAATACAGCTCCATTGAGTCTCGCCCTTCTCTTTGGCGAGGGGCTACGAGGTCTTCGAGGTGCCGAAAATGTGGAAACGGCAAGCGCTCCAAAGCCTGGAAATGTCCTCCGGGGAGAAAACAGCTGACAAGAAGTGTTGAAAAGCAACACCACAAAGCAAAGACCTGCAAGATCCGAATGCTCCAGTGCAAAACCACTCTCATGAGTTGTGTACCGCCAGGTGCAGCTTCGGAGCTGATTTGCCCGCGGAAGGACAGTTATGCCAAGTCGCGACGTGTGAGACAGAGCCATAAGGTCAGTAGCTCGGGTTTAGGCAAAGTAGGGTCAACCATAAATTGCAAGATACGTAGCGCCATTCCTGAGCATTCGCAGACGTGGGTACTAGAACGGTCTTTCGCTCCAGATTGCTCAAGTCCTAAGTGGTTGCAAGGCCAGCAAGCGGGCTCGAAGTGTGCAGCCGGCCAAGAAAGCGCCGGATCATTTCGAGCAGAAGAGATGTAAAAACAACAAACAAGCGTGCTTTGGTCTTTGAGTTTTGCAAAGGGATTTTGCTGTAGTTGTTGCTGAGATTCTTTGTTGGCTAGTGCTGTGCCTCATTGTCCTGCACAGCTTCATGCCGTGAATCAAGGCCATTCGTCCGTCGCTCCAATATTGAATGAGCTCAGCAGCTACTGGTTGAAACTTTGGTGGTTGTGAAACCGCAGCACGTTTCCCAGGTTTAGCCCGAACCCTAGTCTTAAGCCCAATCCATTCAGCATCCCAGCGTTGCAGACACTCTGCTTGGCCGCGCGCGTCCAGAGTTGAATGAGAAACATCCGTAGGTCCTTGTGACAACAGCCCCGCTCGAGAGGAACGTCGTAAACCCCAGACAACTTCGGGTGTACTTCAACTGGCTCAGCCACCAGACTTCCCAGCCCTCCCCCATGCCGGGATACACAGAACACAGATCTTGAACCCTGATCCTCGCTCCGAACAACAGCGCGGATACTCTGAAAGTACGCCGGGCCGTAGAGCAAGCCGACTGCATGTCTCCCTCCAGGGGGCCCTGTTGAGGATGCCGCTTGATTTGAGACCTTGGGATGGACTCCACCCAAGTACTTCCCCTAAGCTCCATCCAAAACTTGTAGAGAGAATCCGATCCCGCAGAGGGCCGGGCCAGAAGCACGGGGTTTAGGGCTGTGATGAGGGTTTGTTTTGCTTTGAGAGTGCATGAGCTTCATCACTCCTTCATCCGAGCCGTTGGTCTCCGACGTGGCAGCTGCGATAGTCTGCGAACAGCAGTCCAAGCACAGGCCATCCTTACAACTCTTGATCGAAGGCACCTTCCGCGACTGCTCATCTATGCCCTCGGCGCACTGCACCTAGGCCCGCTGCTGTCATGCTGGGCATCGACCTCGCCTGTCGATAGGGTTGCAGGACAACGCCTGCGTCATGGGGGTCAAGTACGTTCAAGACTATGCCATCTGAAGTTTGCTCTTGATCCTGTTGAACTGTTTTGATCCCATCATGCCATGCGGATGGGGCGAGCGAGTGTTGTTGCGGCCTGGCTGTGCAGAATTGTAAAAAGCAATAATCCAACAATTTCAAGCTTTAACGATGAGTACCAACCTTCCAAAAAGTTCTGACCACTCAGCCGTACATCCCAACCGAACTTCAGACTCTGGTTCTTTTCCCTCACAATCCTGGGGCCTTGCAGGTAGCCAGGCAGCACCCACTGCGCGGGGCCCAGCTTGATCCAGATGAAGGAACCTTGACAAGGTTCTTTTGTTCCAGAGATGCCCCTCTGGCAGAATCTGATGCGGTCAGTTTGTTCTTACTAGTAGCCGCCGTCAGAATCTTCCGCCATGCAGACACTGATCACCCTCCTATCCTCCAGAGTTGTCGGGTGTAAGTTTAGGTTGCAGCACGTGCTTAGGGCAGCCATGGCCCACCACCGCCTCAAGTTCCGCAGACCAGCAGATCCGCCCAGACGGAGCACACCCAATACTTCGGCAACCATGTCCCCAACCTGTTACCGCGCTGAGGCCCTCGAGGCCCTCCGGCCAGAACAGCTCGAGGAATGGGTGGCAGGCGAGCTGATGACGCAGGCGTGACTTTCAGGAGCAGGATTCCTTTGGAGTTTGTTCAGCTACTTGCGAGAGGCGCGCTGCTTGCGAAGCCCGCATGCCAAATCCCAAGAGTTGAGCGAAAGGCTCACAAAACCGACCTCACAGGATGCCAAGCCGTCTGAGCCCCTCCACACGCTCGATGAGTTTCTCCAGGCGCTTGTGTTTTTTGAAGCGGGTTTACAATCTGGCCTCTCTCCCGGACTTATGAAGGCCGTTCAGGCTCAGAGAGTCCTTCGGCCAAGTCACGAAGTTACATCGCCGGGGTTGCAATGACAACTCTTCCAGATCCGCAGCCCATGACGCCCATGACGCCCATGACACCCATGATGCCGCCGCAGGTTGCTGAGATGGACTGCTCAACCCGCCTCTTCTACCTCTTGAACCGGCCGGGATGCTGACAGAGTTAATGTGCATTGTGGCATTGTGGCATTGTAGGGAAGGGTCTCGGATGGCTGGTCGATGGCTCCAACACATTCAGCAAGAACCATAGCAAACTGACAATGCAAGACTCGAAGACCCTTCTTAAGGTTGTGTTTGTAGGCGAATGCCTGCCCAGAGACATGCATTCCCCTGTTGCAGAACGGTGGTTTTGCGGGAAGAGCTCGCGAAACTGCACTCGGACTTCATGGGGGTGGCGGGTGTCTACGTGCAGCTGATGCGGCACATGCCTGGGCCTCTGAGCCCCGGGCGAATCTGTGAAGTCGGGGTCTTTTTGCAGGTCTTAGAGGCCGAACACTCACAGCAAGAGTCAGCAAGAGTCAACTCCCGTTCTTCAAGGCGCACGCTTGGAGTCCTCAAAAGCCCGAAGCCCCCGTCTGAGGCCAGAGGAGACGCTCTGGGTCTGGCTGCTTGCCACCTCGGAGGAGCGCATGACCGCGAAGGTCGGCATCCCTTGGGGGGGCTGATGCCTGGAAAGGTGCGACTAAGGGATTTTGGGCCTGAAGCCCGTCGTCAAAGTTGCTCAGCTCGCAGTTGGGGGGCTGCCTTGTGTTCTTAGGAGCCGAGCCTTCTCAGCCCCAGCACAAGGTGCAGACCTATTTCTTTCGCATCATGGCACTGGCGGTGGACCAGCACCATTGCCTAAAGGCCTTCTTGTGTCGGGCGTGACGTTTGCAAGAGGTCTGCTTGACAAGGTGGTTGCAGTGCAAACTCGTGCCTCATCTCTCAGACCCAGGGGTGAAGAACTCAACCGTCCTTGCCAGCAGGCTAAGTTGCCTCTCAACCCAAGTACAACAAGTACATCCAAGTACGACAAGCGGAGCATAGGGGAGCGAAGAGGCCATCGCACGCGACGCGGTGCTTCGCGGCGTGGAGGGCTGGCTGCATGGTTGCATTGCGTTTCTTGTCTTCTCAAGCCACGAAGCCACGAAGCCACGAAGCACCGGAGTTCAAAACAGCACCTAAAACCCTGAATGTGCTGAATGTGGAGGGTGATTCAGTGAGCGCGATCGCGCTCCGATGTGCCCATGGGCTTCCTCAGCACAACCTGGTGCTGCACCGCTTCTCCGGTTCTTTCACTTCCAGAATGTGAAGCCTTAAGCTTCCCCAAGTTGCCTGTTTTTCGTCATGATATCCCTATGCAACCCTTTTTCAGTTGTCCTTCCGTCCTCCCATGCGCAGCATTCCCTGCAGCTTTGTTGTTGAACTTTGCATTTGGTAGATCGTCTTGCTGATCTTGTCCTTTGGAATTCTGGGATTCTCCACAGCAGCAGCCGCTACAAAGGTGAATCCCCCAGACAAACAAGCAAAGCAGCAAAGCCGAGTGAGGAAGCAACTCCATGTCGACTACCTGGCATTGCAGTGGTGCGCCTGGCTGCCAGACGAGCATACGAAGCCCCAACCCACGTCAAGCTTTGCACGGGCTGTCGCATTCGGGTCCCTGACCCGCAAGCCGGATTTTGAGCTTATGGACTTTTTTGGGTACAGGGAGCAGTTAGTTTCGGCAAGCTGTTCTGCATCAGGGCTCGCGTAGCAGCAACCTTCAGGCTGAACTCTAACATCAAATTCGCCTCGACCTTGGCGAGCCTTGCTTCACTTGGCTGTTCTTGTAAATCAGGGTCCCTTGTTGTGGTTGTGGCACCATATACGGTTCAGAGGCGTTTGGATTGTTGGGTTTATACTAAACCTTGAGCCGTTCCTATGGGGAAAGCAGCTACACGGGACCCCCACTTGAACGTCAACTCAAACGTCAACTCGTGAGCTGTTCTGGTTTGGGAAACAACACGTGCGTTGTTCGCCGAGCTCGAACTGTTGCTGTGGAATTGGCTGTAGGGCTCCCTAGCCCTAATTCCCAAACCTTGAGCAATAGTTGCTCATAGGGATTGGTGATGCAAACTTGCGCTCACAGGCTTGTTGAGTCCAGGATGTGTGATGCGGGGTTAAGGAGTCTATGAATCCATACCAGCTGCGAGCATCAGTACAGTTCAGTGCGTCCATGACTCAGTGCCGTCCATGAGTCAATTTGGCAGGATTGTCCAATGGCTACTTGGGCTCAGCCCTTGAGTTCCTTGCGGCCCTTGGAGCCCTCGACCCTCATTCTCATTCTTCCTTAGACTTGAAACCATCTCGGGGACGGCAGGTACAGCTTTGCCTTCGGCACTTACAGCCTGCCGGACGTGACCGCCGAAGGAGGTGCACACCTTAACAGTTCCTGGCTATGGCCTTGCAGCCTCTGCAACGCGAACTCTCCAAGGCCCAACCTACAACCTTTTTTGATTCGTCTCCGATAACAACGGTTACGAGTTTTAGTTCGACGTGTGGCGCTTTAAAGCGAGGTGCATGAAGCCCTCCTGGAAAGGGTTCTGGGTTCAAAAGCCATCCTCGCCAGGAGGCCGTAAGGGGCCTAATGCCCAAAGAGTGACAAACGGCGCCAAAAGCGCAGGCCCCCAACCAGTTTTCCTTCTGCCAAGCTTCTTCGGAGGTCGAAGGTTTTGGTGTGGGGTCAGGGTTCCCCTGAGGTGCTCCCCCAGGATCGGTGGAGGTGCGGCAGGGCACAAGAGTCCGCTCGCCAGCTAGTGGTGTCTGACTTGAGTTTGACTTGCGTAGTAAACACATCCAATGTTCTTTCGCATGTTCAAGCAAGTGAAGAGTTCTGCATCCAGCAATTGCACTTCAGTCTTCAATTCTTTCAGTTCTCTGCAGGAGAGCTTCGTGGCCGGCAGCTTCTGGATCAGCAAAGTCTTTAGCTGGCAGAGACCTCAGTCGAGGGGTGCAATGTGCAACCGCGGCCAGTAACTGAGCTGCGACGCAGATCAAGCACAAATTTAGCAAGCGTCAACAGCAAATTGGTTCAGGGAACAGTGTAATTCTGGTCATTCACATTATTTGGAGCTTGCGAGGCATCACGGATGCTGTGCGTTACAGCATAGGTAGCTTCTGAGCCAGCAGAAAGCTGTGCTCTGGACCAGTCGGAGCTTATGAACAGTCAGAAATTCCATATTTTGCAGAACGAAAGAAAAACAAAAGAACCAGAACAAGCATGACAGAAAGAAATAAAGACCACAACGACAGAAATGACATAAAGAAGTAATCGACTTGAAATAGCGAAGGAAGAAAACCTGCAAGAAATGGAGGAAGGAAGGAAGGAAGGAAGGAAGGAAGGAAGGAAGGAAGAAGCCTAGAGCCTACAGGAGCCTATAGTGTTTAGCGGTTTCCGTCGTTGCAACGAGTGCATCCGGCTGCCCAAAACACCCGAGCGAGAATGTCGTCCATCTATCAGTGCATCCATGACTCATGCTTTGCTCAGTGTGCAGATGGGGCTCTGTTTGCAAATGAGCAGAGGGGGAGGGGGCTGTGCCCCCCCCCCCCCCCCCCCCCCAACTCTCTGCTCTTTAGCCATGCAAACAAAGCTTGCCTGAACGAACGTCTCGCCACCAATTGATCTGATATTCCTTCAATCCCTCCCTGGGGGGGGGGTTGATAGCACACTTGCTATTTGCAGCCGGTGGGTAACCGGAAATACTGTGAGGAATAGCATCTGCAGGAATCAGGAATCCTGCAATGTACAGCATGAGTGGATGAACGATCGGAATTGCTGCAATTCCACAGCGTTTGAAGCCGATCGACAAGCAGAAAAGCTGTAATTCACCTGTGTGCTGTCAGAAATGCCGTCTGTTGCAGCATTTGGAGCCTACAATGCTACATTGTTCAGCAGAGCCTGCATTAACTCAAAAATGCCATTGTTTGAAACATTTTGAGTCTGTGAACAGTTTGAAATTTTGGAGTGTTTGGAACGTGTGATGATTTTGGCATCCTGGTTTCTGATGTTTGATAGCCATTTATGGTCCGCCCCCCTAGTTGCGACTGAGTGGGATCAGGCTTTAGTTGCGTTTTTTGGGTTGGATTAGAGAACGTGCGGTTTTGCAGGTTTTGCACATTTTGAACGACTCAACGGCAACCCAGGTTCGAGACTTATGCGCGGGACCTCTACCAGGCTGGAGATGGAGCCCTGTTTGAGCGTAAATGATTTGCATACTCGAATTGTGTATTCAACGCGCCCTGTTTCGACAACTGTTGTTTTCATTCTCACAGCAACGCTTTGCTCACAAAATGTTAGGGTCAGGTTCAACAGCAATGCTGTCGTAGTTGTGCCTCGATGTCATACTGCTGCTCTTATTGCTATATGATTCATCATCCTAACGGCTTGTGACCAGTTTCACCGCAGTTGCTGAACATCAATGGCATGTATCTTCGCTTTTCTGCTTTTCTTAGAACAACCGCCCGAGCTGCCATCGGCCAACCGCCAACAGCAAGGCCATGCTCGAGCTGGAGGGCGCGGAGCTGCGACTTGGCGTGGTCAAAAGGTCTCTTCAACACCCGAACAGCATTTAAAAGGCCGGTAAAATACCCCCAAGGTCAGGGTCTAGCAGCTACACAAGGGCTTTGCATCGATCTGACTGTCGTCCTGGTGGTCGGTTGCAGGGCCCTTGAACTCGAACGAAGGCTTTTTTCAGACTCAGGGAGTAGAGTTTTAGGGGGATCTCGAGGCTCCTGACAGAGGTGTGACAAGATAATTGCCGAGTTGATGAAGCATCATCGTCGAGCTGAGAAGAGCAGCTTGAGAATGCTAGTGTCTGCTGGTGGGCTGCATTCTGGCTTCTACCGAGCGGGAGATGCTTCCGCTCACTGTTCGAATGCGCATGTTTGGTGCATGACTGTCATCCGACCTTGCCACCTGAGCATGCCGTACCCGCGTTCAGAACGTTTCAGTTGTTTAGCGTGACGTCTTGGCGAGTTCAGCCTTTCCAGCAACCATGGGTCCTAGGGCGAGCCGTTGCTGAAAGCCTGGCCCATCTCCTCCACATCTCCCAGGTCGTCCAGCGAGGGCCCAGTGCGCCTACACCACCAGGAGACTGATTTGCACCCGCTCTGTAGAGGTGAATGAGGCACCTTGAATCGAAGGTACCCCTCTCTGACATCTTGAGAAACGTTTGGATTGACATTCCACACTTCCGGACAGGTAGTGGGGCAGAGCCGCTGCTTGTGTGAACTCCTGAAGCAAGCAGGATGAGCAAGGCTCCTTCGTGACCTATGAGTTCCTCCGGAGGAAGGCGGGAGAAGAGAGGTGGCAGGACCCTACAGGGGTTTTAGCGAGATGTGCGTCCTTGGGGGCCGGTTTGGGTTGCAGGACCCGGTGATTCACAAAAACTGAATCCAAACGAAACCCTACGGCCGCGGTGCCCTTGGAGGTTTTTGGTCAGTGGGCCATTGACAAGGGCCTCCTTCGCCGGGAGCCTCAACGCATTTCCAAAATGAACGGAGAGGAGATTTCTGCAGGAAGCACAAGGATACAAGTCTCCCTGCAGCTGGAAAGTGTTTTTGGTGGAGCTTAGATGACTGACTCAAGATGTCCCTTTGTGCAAAGTGCAAACCGCTGTCTTCGCGGGAGTTCTGCCAATTTTTTGGCAGAGTGCGAGAAACCACGAGCCACAGCCAAGGTGGACTTCTGCGCCATGTTTGGCAGTAGAGCCTGCGCGCTTGCTTGTGCTTCGGGCTTCGCCGGGTAGCTTGGTGTAGTCAAGTACAGCAGTGCATGCCTTCACTAGCTAGTAGTCCAGACTAGAGTCGAGTTATAGTCATAAGAGCGCAAGATCGTGCAAGCGCAGGTGACACAAAGGAGCAGCAGATGCTGCTTAATTTGGTGAGCAGTGTGTGCGGCCTGGCGGCGCCTTACGGCTTGTCCAAGTACAGAGTGTCATTTGCAGATTCAGAGGGTTGTGACCATCCACCTCTCAGGTACTAGAAACTTTAAAAAGCCATCGTCTTCAGAAACAACAATTGCGGGGTGTCATGCTCGAGCGCGTTCTCCACAACCGGCTACTTGCTGCTAGGAGGTGTGGACCTTTTACGCAACCAGATCAAACCGAACACATCGCACACCATCTCGCATCATCTCGCACCATCTGTCTTGCACCTGCCCAAGCCAAGCTGGTGCCAGGCCCAGCTTTGAGGAAGCAACGGCCATCGGCGACTTCGGTGCCGGCGGCGCGGTCCTTTGAAGAGTCCGCGGGGTGAGTTGAGTTGGGGAAGGGAAGGGAGGATCAGCATAGAGAAGGTGTGCAAGGCTCATGTCTCAACATGTGACCCATGTGACCGTCAGAAAGGCTCACAAGGTTCAATGGCAGGAACGAGCCTGTTTGTCGAGCTAGAACTTGTTTGCTTTTGGATATCTGTAAAAAGTGTGAGTTTCCGGAAAAATAGAGCATTTGACGATCCGCCCTCGCTTCTCTCAAAAGCGACCTTGAGGTGGTCACTACAGCAAGTGGCTCCTTGGCAGCCATGCGGGTGCTCTTGGTGTTCGTGAGCTTGTGTAGGGAGGCACGAGTGATCGAATGTGTTAGGGTGCACTGCAAGGCCTCGTCTGTCAACACCCGCCAACCCTCCACGAAAAGCAGCCAAGGCTTAACGAGACAGGTCTTGTGGAGGCCTTTGCTTTCGATGGCACGCACCAGGCCGGAGCTAGCCGTCTCTGTGTCTGAGTGTGAGTGTGAGAGTGTGTGTGTGAAGAGTGCCAGGCATTTAGCATCAATACCTAGCCTGCATTTCACCTTCATCACACGAAAGACACGCTGTACATACGATCCCAAGCACATAAGACCAAAGGACCAGAGGGCGCAGGCGCCGAGGATACCAGTGCCAACCAACCTTCCACGATGGGGGAAGTCTGATCACTACCTGTACCTGCAAATGATTGTTCTGGACATCATGTAACCTGCGCCGTGCATACGTGAGAGCGCAGAGCATGTTGGTCAGCTAGACCGTCCCAGGTAACTCAAATTTTGGCCAGTTCCGCCCTTGCAGTCGCTTCTGCGTGATGTGTTGTGCATAGGCATGCGCAAGGTCATTGACACACTAAACTTGCAACAGATTGTGTGCGTGTGTCGATCAGTGCGCACAAGAACTCGCTTTACATGCAATCCCAAGCACAACATCCTGTCCGACAGCAGGGGACCTTGGGGTTCTGGACTTCAATGGGGACACTGCTACGTGCTCTCTTTGGTGCCTTGACCATGGCATGTACATACAGTACGAGAGTAGTCGCAGAACCATTCAGCAATAAGAGTCAATGAGCCATGTCTCTGCGTGTGTGTTCAGCTGAAATCCAGGCCCTGCGCCCCAAAGCCCCGAACGCCCTCACCACACAGTGGCATGCAGACTTTCAAAGGATCGAACGGATTTCTTGTCTTCCGGGCTGCAGGCCGCTGAGCTCACGGATGGCCTGGTGCAAGAAGTGAACCTTGTCCAGGACCATCAATGGCCAGAGGGATGCATAAGACGGGGGGGCGCGACACGGCATCGAATTTGTAGAAGGCTCCGATTCCTCAGTAGTGCTATGAGGAATCACCAGCGGATGTGTTCAAGGATCCTGTATTTGAAGTACTGCTTCACAGACAAAGGTTCCTGCACATTCTGGCAAAAGGGAATTTAAGCGATTCTGGGATATGATGGGGTTTGCTGTGGTGTCTTTTGGGACCAAGCCAGCTAGCTACTGCAACGCCAGGGTGCTCGGCACTTGCTTGGCAGGACCTGACCTTGTGGCGTACCTTTGACTGGGTGTTGTGCCTGGAGGTCGGCGAGCACGTGCCGAAGCAGTGGCCTAGCCGCAGATTCGCTGTCCAGAGCCAGGAAATCATGTCAAACCGCAAGATTCCGGGACCTTTCGGATGTCATGAGCTATGTGCGAGAAAAGTTCCGACAAGATCAGTTGAGTGGCCGGAGTGGAAGAGGTACGCCCCGACGCTTCTTTCGAACCTGAAGCGACATGCTCGGAAGGCCAGGGCTTTGCGTTCGGGAATTGAGAGAAGTTTTCGTTTTGTGCTTTCGGTCCAGGTCCTATGTCAGGCCGTATCAAGAGCGGAACTCGGGAGAGTCAAGGGAAAGGGAGAGTCTGCCCACTCCGACCCTCCAAGCGCTTGGAGGGCCTTGTGATGTCCTGGTCCGACGACTGGGAGGGCATTGGCCACGTCAACTGCCTCTCGCGACCGGAGTTCGTGGCAGTGGCGCCCAGAGTGCTCACGGGCAAGGGCCTGCCGGTACAGCGGTACAATGGGACTTGGGCCTTCGGTTTAAAGTTTCAGGCAGCTTTTTGTTGATTTGCAAGGGTAGACATGAGCCTGTGAAAGCACCCTCCCACACCCTGACAACGCAAACTGTTTTGGAAAAGTTTAAATTGCACTTCGGGGAGCGTTTGCCGCCAAAGTCAGTTCTGATCGTCTGGTATTCTGTACAGATTCGAGCTGTTCTGTTTCCAGTAAGGCAGAAGCGGTGGAGGGTTCGATGTTTCTGGTAGCCTTTAATTATGCAAAATCTGGTTGATAGGCAAAAGCAGCCTGGAGGTTAGTTGCTCCAGGCTCATGCTGCTTCAGGCACACGTGGAACAGGTGTTGGTTGAATTGCGAGCCTGCAGTCAAACGGTGTGGCTGTGAACGCAGTTCATATTTGTACTGTAGCCTGAAGAGGTGATGCGGACATTCGCGTCACATGTGCCGAAAGGCATCATCAAGCCGTCCAACAGGAAAGCATAGAGCAGGGCGAGTTTCTGAAAGCCCTTCAAAGAAGAAGCAGTTAAATTCGGCGCACCTTGCCACTACCAGTGCGCGAGAACGTGCAGAACAGGGAGAACAGGGTGCGTGATGTTGAGCAGGAGGTCAAGGACCTGGGCCGGTAAGCTCCCGACATGGCCCAGGTGGCACAGAAGGCGGAGGGGGGCGGTTGGTCCATGTTCTGGCAACCCGTGGCACCTGAACCAAATGAGTCTGTCAGTAGCCTTGATTCACCAAGGCCTTCGTCCAGGAGTCGACAGGCTTCGTCCTGGACGAAGCGGCCACAGAGGCCAGGGTGGGTCATGCTTAGATGCATGTTTTGAGCTTTTGCTTAAGCTACTGTCGGCCAAATAGGTGCAGCCGGTGCTCCGGGCTTTCAGTTGGACGGGCGGGTGCTCTTGCCAGGTTTGCCCGTGGCGCTCATAGCCTTCAACTTGCGGGGTCAAAGGTTGATCACGGGTTGAGAGTTCTTGAATCAATTCCGCTTGGAGGGCCCTGAACTGAAGGTGCGCAACGTCTCTTTGAAACATCTTAAGGCATCCCGGACTCAAGCCCTAAACCCGAAGATTTGCTGTCGGGGAGGTCGTGCGCGCAGCTTGCGAAATCGACTACATCGCCAGGTCCGGCGCGGGTCCGCGTTCAGGGTTCACGGCCCCACATGCGGTCCTAGCTCTGCCAACCCCTGGAAGCAACCAGAACAAGCCACCGAGCCAGGACTCTGGCGGTGTTCCGTGCAAGCTGACGACTTCTCGCGCGATCTTCTGACTTAAACAAATATGCTTGAATCCTAAATCACCCATCCCTCTCAGCACGAAACCTGAACAAGGCCGAAATCCCATGCTCTAAGCCACTGTCAGCCCTCTTAGGCGGGTTTCGGTCCTCGGTCCCGCGATACAAGAGTCCACGGCGAGTGGCACAAAGAAACTCTCGGGGCCTTTCGTGGCGGGGGGCTGTAGAATCTGTAGACTGTAAGACAGTGTAGGATGCTTGTTCATCATCCCGGCCATTTCCTCTCAGAGCCCCAAAACCTCACTTCAAACCCTTCAAAGCTTTGAGAAAAACCTCTGTCTTGGGGCTTGGGAGTTGTGCGATCACATGCACAAAAGCTTTTGAGGGTCGCCAGAGATCCACCATCCCGCTTCGCTTCTTCTTTCCCGAGCGTTTGAAGAAGAGCTATTTTGCAGCTGAGTTAAACGGGTCGTGGACTCTTTACCGACAGCTTGCATGCTAGTCTGCTGGTCTGGCCACTTTCTCAGCCGACGCCGCTCAGAGGTTCCATTAGTAAGCGAATTCGTGGTGCAGCGTAGCTCCGTTTTGTCCGTGGGCGGGTTCCCTGCTTTGGCATCACCGCAGCACTGGCCTTAGACACGGGGGGCACGTAGACCCCACTCCTACTGCCGTCTCTGCCCTGGTCCAACACGTTTGAGCACTTTCTGGCAGATAGCTTGGTCAATCGTTTTCGCCAGGACAGCATCAAGCAACCCTCAAGAAACCCGAAAGCTAAACGCGGAGTCGGCTGAGGACAGCGATGGTGGAGAAAATCCTGCGGCGGCCTCGTGGGGAGGCTGTACCCGACTCTTTTCCGATTTTGAAAGTCATTCTCCGCAGCCCCTGCATGATGGCATTGGTTTTCAGCTTCAGTGGGCCTCTGGGCCTCTCTGGGCCTCGCTGGGCCTCGCTGGGCCTCTCTGGGCCTCTCTGGGCCTCCTGTCGGATCCTTGGGTTGCTTTAGGTGTGCCGATTTGTGCAGATTCACTAGCTGCGTCTCGGCCAAGTTGCGACCCCTCGGCGAACTTTTTCGGCATGCTGGGGGTGAGCAGTGCGATCGCGGCTCGGCTGCGGTGCCCCCGAAGACTTGTTCGAGCTTTCACTGACAGAGAGAGGCAGGTTCTTGTGATCTGCGCTTGGCACAGGGCCCCAAGGACAGATGCTCAGGTCAGAATTTTAGCCTGAGAGACATCTACGCTTCATTGCTCTCCATTGATATTTGCCGAACCACCTAAACGACCTCAAGCCCAATCCCAAGCCCTAGCCCAAAGCCTGCAAACAACCCAGGTCCTGGCAAATCTGGGGGCAGCCTACGGCACCGCCAAGTCGGGGGTCGGCATCGCCAACCTGGGCGCCCGCCTGGCGTGGAAGCTGTTTCAAGTATTAGAGTTTGACATGGCTTGGAAGGCGGATTTGGAGGGGATTTGGAGGGGTTTGGGGGTCAGTTGTGTAGTTTCGCAGAAGAGCCTGAAGAGCGGTTTGGAGTGAGTCATTTTGCTGGCTGTTTCTCTCTAAGTTCTGCGGTGTGGCGTGTGCCCGAATGGACTCCCCGCGTGCCATCGAAAGGGAAATCACAAGTCCACCGAGAAAGCCGGAAACTGTCTTTGCGAGACTCAGATGGAGAGAGAGAGACAGAGAGTGAGAGCGAGAGTGTGAGTGCGAGTGCGAGTGAGAGTGAGAGTCAGTGTTCAGCCCCTCTTCAGCTCACTTAAACTTCCTCTCTACGCGCTTAAAGTCTAACTTCGATCGGCCAGGTTATGCGACCGGACATGGTCATGAGGCCGGGGGCGGCTCTAAATCCCAGAGCACCAAAGGCCCTTTAGCCCTACGACTCAGACCTTTGCGACGCAAGGCAAAGGCTTGGGAGCTTCGGTCTGAGCAAATGTTCATCTGTGTTGTTGGTCACTGCTGTTAGCCCCTCAATGGCGGCGCCACGTGTTTTGAGGATTACGTTTTCGAGGACACGAGAGAAAAGCAAGTCCTAGAAAGCGTCCCAAGCGGGGAGGTCCATCATCCCAGTAGTCATGGCAGGTGTGCCTGGCCCTCGATTGCGGTTTACGTCGATGTTTCTGGAGGTGCTAAGTCTTTTAAGTAGAGATGTGCAACCCTTCGCCCAGCCCCAGAAAGAGCTCCCGGAAGAACCAAAAGAGCGTTTGGAGCGGAAGAGACAGGTGTTTTTTTCTTCAGAAGCTTACGGGACGCAGAAGCCTGAGGCTCGGCATCTATGGGCTGATCACGAGCGTGATTATCAACGGCCCGCGCCTCAAAGAGCTTTCTTTTGTACGCCCAGCTAGCGGCTCTCTTGGTTTTAGAGCCTGCCTCACATTGGAGAACACCCGGACACGACTCTTCGTGACATTGGGAGAGAGTCCCGCAGCTCCTTGAGCCGAGGCAAGATCCATGCTCCTTCCTACTCGGCCGGGTTCCTACCACCAGGGTGCTTCCAGACATCCCCAGAACTTCAGAACGCCAGAACCCCGTTCCCTGCAACTCCGAGCCGCAAGCACAGCCTGCTGTTTCGGGGCTCCTCGATTAGAGTCTTAAGACAAGATGCAATTGCACCCCATGTGATCGGATCGGCTCCAGGTGCTTGGGGCTGGTTTTCGGAGGATGCCCCCCAAAACCCCCTCCCAACGCGCCCTGTCAGTCTTACTCCGGCTATGCGCACCTGGCAGCCTGGAGCCTGGTGAACACTGGGAGCTTCGTGGGTGCAAGCTTCCCAAGTTTCTTGAGACCACCTTAGGACCTTTGAAGGCTTTTGAAGTTTTAAGTTTCAGCTCTTGGGAACAAGGGGCGGCGAGCGGGTGCCCTTTTTTCAGAAAGCGAAAGTTTTGGGATGTGTCGTGGAAGTTGCTAGGTGGCGTTGGGTTGAGGCGTTCAGTAGTGCTGCTTGTGATTCAGTCCGGGGAAGAGCATGCAGCCGGACAAGCAGCAGGCCAGCTGGAGCCTTGAACAGTAGCACAAATCCGCCCAAAATGCATGATAAAACACACCCGAACCTACAAACTCCAAATGCCCGAGGCAAAACAAAAGAGACACAATCCCCCGGGATTGCACAACAAAACAGTCCGGGCGGATGTCCGAATCCATGAGCCCTTAGTATGGTCCGTTACCCTTCTTTGGAAGGGTTTTAAAGGGATCCAAAGTATGGGCCCTCATATGTGTAGTGTAGTGTATATAAGGGTTGTATAACAGGGGACCCAGATTAAGGGCCCAGAGCCTCGGAGCTTTTTTGCCTTCTGAGGCCGGCTTGACTGTCGGCATGAGCTCGTTAGCTGCAGGCGCCTCCGTGGGCGAAATGTTTTCCAGCTTCCCGTGTGCTGAGTCGTAACTCCAAAAGCTTGGGGCATCATGAAGTGCGGCATGGTGCGGCCGCAAGGCGTTGAGATATCATCTGCATGGAAAAGAGGTGGCGATGTGCCGTTAGAACGCTTTATTCCCCGATCATCGCGCTTGCAAAGTTTCATCCAGGCCTTGTGTCAAAGGCACTCGCGTCAAGGGCACACTCAGGTTCACCTCATGTTCGACTGATGTACCGACGTGAGGCATGGCGATCGGCGTCGTCGGTGATGCCGGAGTTCGTGCAAACGCCCAGGAGACGGGACCTCAGGCTTCACGAAGATCGGTTCAGCACTCACTGTAGTGTGCGGCATGCTCCTTGTTTGATGCATCCCCAAGGCCCAGACTCTTTGTGGGCATGATTTTGATCTTGATCTTTGCCGAGGTGGATCTGCATTGAGGGCTCCGGGGCTAGGGCAGGTTTCAAGTTACACCGCTGCGCCCTGCGAACATTCTCCTGTAAGCTGCCAGACCTCAAAACAACATTGAAGCCAAGCAAAGCCCTCAAAGGACGTCAAAGCCCTCCCAGCCCTCAAAGGCCCCTCCTGCACGCTCCTGCAAAAGCCCCCAACGCTAGGCGCTGGGCTTGTACGGCCTCATCGTAGGCCTGGTCGTGGCGTCGACAGCCGAGGGCAAAGGGTGGGGATGCCGAGTGTTTACGGGACATACGAGATTTCCCAATCTCCAGTGCCAATGCTAAATGTATGCTAAATGTTCGGCCTTCCCATACCAAACCAATATCCAGTGTTGAGCAGCGGGCTTGAAGCAGAATGATGGCTTGGGTTTAGGAGACCTGGGAAACTACACAGGAAGATCATCCAACAGGTGGCCTGTCGTGGTACAAAGCATGCACAAAGCATGCACCATCAACCCCAAAGCCCTCACCAATCCCACTTGTCGGACTTTTTGCGCTTCAGTGTCAGAGCCTCACCGCCCTTCACCACGCTTAGCTTGAGCATGAGTCCTCGCAAGCCCCGTAAACTGGGGCCCGGAGTGGCACCGGAAAGTAGGGGAGACCCCAGGCCCGCAGTAGGTCAGGCTCAATTGGGGCCATTCCTCTTCCTACGCCTCAGCTGCGCTGCCTGCTCCTCCTGCGTTTCAAGCGCTTCCCGCGCTTCGCATTGGTGGGATAGGTTTGGCGTATTGACCAGTGCCAAGGAGCGACCTCTGCATCCCGTGGGACCAGTGAGAGCGCGACCGCTGCGCCCCCGCACACCGGGGGCACTTAGCGAGTTCCAGTATCGAGTGCAGTTGGGTTGTACACAGGATGTTGCCGGTCTCAGGGGTGGTGCAGGGAAGCTGAGTCATATGCCCTATGTAGAGCAGGGCAGAGCCTGTCTTTTGGGGTTGGCTTTGAAACTTCATGTCTAGCGTGCAGAGTGCAAGAGACTGAAAGTAGAACCAAGCAAGTCTTACAAGGGAGTGGCGCCACTCCCTCCGCAGCAGAGACGACCGGCCAGCAGCATTGCAAGCATATCCCAACAGGAGATCTACATCAATCAACATCCTCTGAGCCCCGGGTATATGTAACTGTTCACCCGCATCCCCTTCTTTCCCCGTGCAGCCGATGCCCGGCTGTACGAGACACTCGCAAAGTGACAAGGATAACTAACAATCATGGGAGCAAAGGAGCAAAGAGAAAGAGAGAAAGAGCGCCTAAGGCCTAAGGGCTGGTTTTGTGACGTTTTGGGGAAAACACTGGGCTGCAGCGCCAGTACTCATCTTTCCTCTCCTTCCGACCACAAAAGATCAATGTAGTCTGGCGATGTTGGGAGCTCAGCGTTGACATACTGCTCACCGGTTGTGCTCTGACGTAGCTCGAAAGGCGAGTGGCTGGACGAAGGCAGGAGAGTCAAGTGCCAAGACACGTAGAGAGTAGCAGCTGCTAAAATCGCAGCCAGTAGAGAATTTGCACAAGCAGCCCAGGCCTACACCCCACCCAAATTTCAGGCGATCCTCATGAATCTCCGCCGAATCTCCGCTGCGCATTCGCGTCCCACGGGCGCTGCCTTTCGAGATGGCACCAAAGTTTTGGAGATCGGTGCTTTACAGTCAAGCTGTGTCGAGAGCTTGTGCAGAGCTGTCCTGAAACTGGCCGAGGAGGCCCGCGGAGGGCCATCGTCAGAGTTTCTTTGCCGACGGATGCCCAATCTTACCCTTGAACCCAGGCCCTGTCCTTCTAAGTTGCCCGACATTGAACTATGTAGCCCTACTTTGTTTTGCATTGCCCTAGCCCTACGTTGCCCCCTATCGAAAACCCTAAACGAGAACCGCACGTCTCCCGGCTCGAGCTTTCCGAGATTCCTGGGCTGCGGGTTCTACTTGGAACCTTGGGTGCTCGGACCTGCTCGGATGTCTCAAAACGGAGCTGAGTTTCATGCGGGGCCCTGGGCTTCAAGGTTCTAGTGTGGGCTTTTTTTGGGCATCACGGGCATGGTGAGTGGAATCCACAATAAGTTAAGAGGTGAGGTACGCTGGGGCTTGACGGTCCGCAGTCGGATCCAAGCTTTGAGAAAGTGGATGCAGCGCACGTTTTCGAAGATCTTTTGTTTGATTTGTTTTTGCATGTGTGGGCATCTCTCTTGCACCACGGTTAAGCGAGCAGTAGTCAGTGAGCCAACAGATGACAGATTCTTCGGTCCAAGACACATCCTAGCCCATCTGCGGTATGACCTGAATAGAGATCCGAAGCTTTTTGGCCCTAAGAAGTCTGAAAGTCTAAGAGTTTCGTAGAGGGATACATTAGACCCTGTTGATCCGGTTCCTGAAGAGACCTCGGAGGATCCTTGGGCGACCGCTAAGTCGGCTCAACTTCATCTTGGGTGTCGCGCACCCCTCTAAATCGAACCAACAAGCCAATTTGGCGGCTCAGAACTCTTTCAAGCCCTCTCCATGCATTCCAAGCCAATCTATCTCCCGGATTTCTGCCAATCATCCCAGGCTCAAGACTTCCATACCCACACCCAGCTTTTGTGCAGAACACCGTCAACAATGATATGGAAGGTGAGGGACATGACTCCTTGTCACGTGCAGCTTAGAATCTAACCTTGTGCTCAGAATGCTGTACAAGCATTCTGCCAGGTCGTCTGGGTCGGGGGCACGACCCACTGCCGGCGATGCTGCGAGGCAAGCGTATTGACAAAAGGTTGATGGACGCAACGTGACGCAACAACTTGCGCAGCAATCTATGCTGCAACGCGCGCAATGCCCTGGAAGACACTGTGTGCTGAAAGCTTTGAGCATGTTTGAGCCTTCCCTGACCCTTCGTTTCTAGCTCCACGTTGTTGCCTTGCAGAGGCGTGTGGCCGGAAGAACTCCTCCAGGACTCGGGCAACTCACTCGTCTTGTTTTTAACAACTCATAACTCGGTTGGGAGCATGTTGAGTTGCCGCATTGAGGGTTCAACGGTTTGAATGCATAATCTGAGAAACAATGAGGCGGCAGCATGTTCCAACTGACCCTGGATTTGACTATCTAATCAGCGCCGGTCTTTCCAACTTCTTGGGTGCTACTCACGAATCAGTAGGCACAAAGCTGACCCCGAGGACCCGGCCAGACGACCTCGCTATGCCACTTCGCCTGAGGAGTTCTTGTCGGAGCTCCTGACTGGGGAACACGTCGAGGCTCCTACGCAGCCTGTACTGTACCACCCTCTGAACCCTCTCTCCCTCGCTGAGTTTTTTGTTGATCTTCCTGAGCATGCCCTCCCCCAACGGCAGGATTTCATCGTTTTGCCGAATGGGACGGAACTCTTGGGCTTGAGCTACGAGGCTCCTCGCCTACCCAGCATGTGCCTCAAAAGTTTGGCAATGCACGCAGGACACCATTCCAGAAGACGTCCGGCTGTGCTTGCAAGATTGCGTGACACTTGGCGAATTGTAACGTTACGGATGGTTTTTGTTTTCTGGTTGTTGGGGTTCTTGGTGCACGAAGGTTGCAATGCACAGGATTTCGTGAAGAAAATCTTGCATCATCCAGAGGTGCGTGCACAATGTGTTTTCATGTGTTTTGTTTGGGTAGCGGCTGTTTGCCTGCGGTACCCCTGTGGTCAGATGCTTGAGAAGTATCGTGCTGATGTGGAATACGTGGATTCCAAGCGCACGGGACCCAAGAATGGAACCTGGCGAGGCCCGGGTTTGCTCCCACTGCCGCCGAAGGTCAGCAGCGCGACACACTGCGGAAGGATAAGCTGGATCTGGGTAAGCGCATCCGGGAAGCATTGCGAATGGTTGAGGCCATGCGTGGCCATGCAGCTTGCAGCCTCTCGCTGCTCCAATTAGGATTTCACCGTTTGTCCGCCTGCCAGGTTGGGGAGGTGAATGCTGATCTCCTGTATGTGGCCGAGATGAGGTGGGTAAGGATTTAAAGGTTTCAAGCAGCTGGAGTGATATTCGGATGATGGGGTCTGAGGCAGCACTGTTCATTCAGGCAAAACTTGAAACGTTCTGATGTGCAAGACCTTTGGTGCGCGTCGTGTTTGTGCTCGCGTGTTTGTTGCTTGGCTACAGTGCTCTTGGCACCTCGTGAGAATGTCAGGAAGTTTTTCAAGTTTCAGGATTCCTAAGGGCCCCCCTCCCCCACGGCATCGGTGGTTCCAGACGCCTCTCGGGAGTTCCAGACGCTTCTCGGTCCGGCCGAAGACCAAGGCGATCATAAAATCACTTGGCAACAAAATCCTTCCCCCCCCCCCCCCCCCCCCCCGCTTTTTGCCTCTCTATCCGCCTATTCAAAACAGAACCCTCCTACCAAGGTATTCACGAGGGTTGTAGTGTTATGAAAAATCCGTTAAAATAATTACAGGTGCCAGAAGCCCCCCGCTAAGTCTATGGGCTTCTGGGCAGCAATAAGCGCATACGTGAACACAGACGAATTTCCTGCATCATGTTCTATCAGAGCCCTTTTTTATATCAACATTCACAGAATTCTTTGGGCTCATTATCGTCATGACGCTTTTTGCCCAAGCGCGCACATATTCAATCACAGGTTAATTGCATGCAGAGCACCCAATCAAACTAGTCTCTTGCATCTTGAAGCTAGTGTTCAAATTGCTAAAAAAGAAGGATTTACCACCCTCGGTGTGGCGTTGTTAGATGTCTCTTCTGCTCTCATCCCTGGAGTGCCCAACCCCAGTGCGAGATTCTGAAGTCACGGCGGAAACGCATTTGCAGCTGATCGATATTTTCAGAAAGGACAACAAGTGAAAAAATGTAGCGAGATTCTCTGCCAGTTCTATCCATGTCTGTTGAGGAGGTCGGTGGCGCTCGAAGTGCACGTGCTCGCAGCTCAAGATCGCGAGAGACGTCCATGGAATCTTGTCGAAGCCATGGTTCACAAAATCGGGAGACACTGTATGAAGTCACTGAAAACTCACATCGTGCCGACTTTTCACACATGCGCCTCACGACTGTCAGCACTGTTGAAGCAAGGTTTACTGTTGGGTGACAGTCACGAAGATGGCGTGTCCCACGTGCCTTGTCTGCGTGACTGTCTGCGCTTCTCACCCAAAAGTCAGGACAGTTACGGGAATGACGCATCTCAAAACCTCAGCCTCCTAACTGTCTGCGCTTTTGAAGCAGAATTGGCCAAAAGTGACGACAGTCGCGAGGATGAAGCATCCCTCGTGTCTGCACTTTTTTGGACAGCCGCAGTCAACTTAAATGTCAAAAGTGATGATGGTTACGAGGACCATAGCATCGTCCATCATGTTCATGTGTGCCACCCCCGGTGTCTGGCATGCACAAGTACACAGCCATCAGCTTTTGCTATATTAAACAACTTTTGAACATTCATGCAACACATCATTCATCTTCTAACGTTGGCCTCTTCTTCTCCTTCGTCTTCTCCTCTTCTACCCATTCGACCCTTCCTCCAGAACTTGAGCACGTACCAGAACATTGGCATCATCCAACCTGTTAATCTTTTGTGCTTGCGTGTGTTGGTGTATGACTGCATGTGTGTGTGTGTGTGTGTGTTTTTTTTTTGTTTTTGTGTGTGTGTGTGTGTGTGTTGTCTTTGTGTGTGTGCGTGCACGTGCATGCTCTCGCGCAGCTTCACGTTCTAAGCATTGTGCTGCTTTGCGTTGGAGCAGGTTGAAGCAAGAAGCGCCGCATCCGATGGGCGGTGAGAAGGCTCGCTTGGGTGGTCTTCATTTTTGCTTCACTACTCTGTAAGGCAAGCAAACATGATTGGAAAACAATCCAGGTGGTGGCTGTGAGCTTGAACAAGACATTCTGTGGAAACTTAATCGGGGCGAAGGACTCTAAATGAACAGGATGGTACTTCGTGAGACGCAAGGGGTGGGTACGAATGCTAAGAGAAGCTGCCACTTGTGGTCCCTGTGCAGCACCCGGCGCTTTCATCCAAGCAGAGCTGTGGTAGGCGTCTGGCAATTGTGGCGAACTCCACGTAAAGCGCGAGGTAGCGCGAGGGAAACTTGCGTGTACGATCCAAGATGTTTGCCAGTGGTCTCGGTCACTGAGGCAGACCAGAGTTGCGCATCATGGATACCACTCGCCAACTCGCGCCGGCCGCGCAAGCGCTGAGAAATGTGCGCAGCGTCGCCCGCCCTGCTTCTGCTGTCGGGCTCTCTGTTGCCTGGGGTCTTCGTTGTTGCAAACGCCGCCGTAGCCTACGACTTCATCAGCCTAGAAGCCATGCTGCGTGCTTTCCGCTGCGCGCCTGACGCTGGCGCGCCTGACGCTGGCGCGCTGTTGCCTGTCATACTCTTGTGGTATGCCGGCGCCTCCATGTACGTGGACGCATTTGAGGCAGAGGCAGCCGCCCTGGCGCCTTCGCAGCAACCGCATCCGCACCCATCATGCCCCGGCGACTCCTGCCGCCGATGATTGCTCACGGGGCGGCCGAACGGGCCAGCAATGAGGCGATCGGGACACAGCTCAGCAGGGGCCGTGCGTTGCGGAGTCGCAGGTCGACGGGCGTTTGAAAGGTTGGGGTTCGGGAGGATGACGTGACTTGTGGCCTGCGGCCCAGCGCTGATCTCCCGACGGATCGCGGTCGCGGCGTGTTGCGACTCCGCCAGCTTACGCTTTGAGCTGCCCCCTTGGCGAATTCAATGGCTGCGACAGCGAAGCTGAGCTGCATAAGTCTGCTGGGATGAGCAGCCTCCCAACCCGCTAACTCTCCTGCTGCCTTCCCCCCCGCCCCCACGACTGAGATCCCGACCGGTTGAGAACAGGCTTTGCACGCTGCACATTGCCCATTCGAGTCGAGATTCAGACTGCCAGCAAGGACCGTCGCCCAGCTTGTTGGCAGGTGAAGTGCGCGACAGGGGAGGAAAAAAACGGCGATGATCCGCTCCAGTCGAAGTGCTTCAACAGCCTCGCCTGGCACGAGTCCCGCCCCGAGTTTGCCCGCGGCGGGCGCTAGGAGCTCAACACGTTCCTCGTCGTCCAGCAGCGTGTTCCATCGTGCAACCAAACGGGCTTGCAATGTGGTGACCGCGCAGTAGCGCAGAACCGTCCCGCCAACAGGTTCATCCTCCGGTATGACATCGGCCCGCCACGTTGGCAGTACGAAGCACCTCTAATATGCCCGTGGTCATCGGGGCAAGTGGCGCTGTCGCAGATTGTCTCCTTTCTTGCCATTTTGCACTGCGCCTGGTTGATACTGTTGCTGCGTGCTTCCCGCAGAACCAAACATGCCCCCGATGCGGGGAGTGAGCGACCACGAAACATCACGAAAGCACCACCGCTCTCCCACCGCAGGCAATGCATGTCGCTTTGCGGCGATGCTTGCGTTTGGCACTGCCGCTCTGACCTAGGGTATGGCGAAGCGTGTCGACGCCCTTGTCGGTGTGCTGGATAGACGTGCAAGAAGTTGTGGAGCGGGCATCGGTGCGCGTGTGAGGCCGTGGGCGCCGAAGGTCAACTCGTGCTGCAACACTGCCGCGACAGTGGTTCACACGACCGCCCCTCCGACATCCCATTGGACAACCGCAGGCGCCTTGACCTCGTGGTGTATGGCGCCACCGCCCACGCAGGCGCTTTGTTGCGATGACACATTGGTGTCCCCCCTTTACACCCACGGGTCACCCGCGGCAAAAGGATGGTTTTTGGATGTCTTGGAGTTTGATGGAGCAAGGCCTGTTGGTTTACGATAAGCAACAAAAGGCACGGACGCAACCTCATCAGCCGAAGAACCGGCAAACGAAAACATGACCACCACAGCCCACGCCTGCATGAAGGCCGGGTGCCCCACTGGCGAACCGAGGACGACACCCCAGGACGCAAACAAAGCTGCAGGGACGCGGTCAAAGCACTCTGCAAGCCCAGTCCGCTGTGCCCGCAGGGCCAACCCGTGGACAAAAGCTAGCAGGTCCAGGCTAGAGGAGCTAGGGCGGCAACAGGGCAAGGTCGGATGCAAGCATGCTTATCTTCACACGCAGCTGCAGCAGCTATGGAAAGGAAACAGAGCTGGCGAGGCGGGCCCCAGGACGGAGAGGTGACAGAGCTGGCGAGGAGGGCTCCAGGCATCAGCCAGCAACGGAGAGATAACAGAGCGGGCTCCAGGCATCACCACCCGCACCAGCAAGGGAGATGAAACAGAGCTGGCGAGGCGGGCTCCAGGGATCTGCACACGCAGCTGCACCAGCAACGGAAAGGTAACAGCTGGCGAGGCACCACCACCCACACCAGCAAAACAGAGCTGGCGAGGAGGGCTCCAGGCATCAGCACATCGCATGAGTGAGGTAGAAACGCAAGCATCACTACACTAGCTTTCGTGATGTGCGCGCTGTCGGATCTGTTGTACTCAACGGCGAAATGGGCAGTCAGCACCGGTGGGCTGGCTCTTTGCAGCTTGCGAAAGTTGTGATGTACAACCTTTTCCTCACGTGTTCAGGCGTCCAATAAACATTTATTGAAGCCACGATTCAGACATCGTTAGTTTAAGAATCCGTCGCAAAAAAAATCCGTCTGGGATCGTCAAGGCCGATGCCCACGAGGCGTAGTTGTTTTCGGTCCGCCGTTGGGGCACCCGGCCTTGGCTGCAAAAAGGCTGCGCGCCGAACAAGAGCTTTTCGACCAAATGCCCAAGCTTCCGACCTTCAATGCGCATAGCTGCTTTTGCTTACGTGCGCCTCGCCTCGCACTTGCCATGCCATTCGCACCATGCCCCCCTCAGCGTTTGCAGCGTACGCCGGGGGACATGACGATGCCATCTGGACGACGTTGCAAAACATATTTTAAGGGGCTGCGCCCATGGGCGGGCAGCGCACGCAGAAGCCCGGGGCGAGCAGTTTCTAAGCATGTTGAGGCCCCTAAACTCCCTTAAAATCTCTAAGCGTTAAGTTTCTAAGCATTTTCAGGCCCCTAAACTCCCTTCAAGTCTCTAAGCGTTTGAGGCTCCTAGACTCCCTTAACGTTTCTAAGCACTTTATAAGGCCCCTAAACTCCCTTTTTCCTAGCCCCGGGCTTAGACACGTCGCTTATGCCCGCCCTTTGGGGGCATCATGCTCCTGATGCGCCCCCGGGGTCCCGCCCCGTGAGCCGCTGATGCTCCTGATGCGCGCCTGGGGGTCCCGGGCTGGACCCGCTGATGCTCATGATGCGCGCCCTCTGGGGGCCTCCGTGGCGACGCAAAAAACCACGAAAAAAAAACCGTTCACCGGCGGCACGCGGGGGTCGGCGGCACTGGCGTCCGGCCTAATTCTGCTTCGCAGAAGGCCAGAGGCCAGCAAGGCTATTCCCGGGACGACCCGGGCTAAAAGGTCCGCCAATGCTCGGTCCTTGGGGACCTCGCGCTGCCCGATTTAATGGCTACCGCCAGTGCCGCCGACCCCCTCCAAGGGGGGCCAAGGCACTGTGGGCTCCGGCCGCGGATTATGTATATATATATATATAGATATATGCGCAGGGCTTGGTCAGGTTGTAGAGTTCAGGGGGGCGAAACATGGAGCCCTGATGCGCAGGGAGTTGGGGCTAAACCCCAAATCTAAAACCGCAAACCGCAAACCCGAAACCTGCAACCCTGAAACCCCAAACCCCCAAACCCTAAACCCCCGTAACCAGGAGACTTGAACCTGAGGCCTCGACGTACACCCCAAACTCGAAACCACAAACCCGAACCCCTAAACCGCCGTGGCGGCGGAGACCATGGCGGAAGCGCCGGGCCGCCCAGTCAGGGTTTGGGAGCCATGCAGGTCGAGGGATGAAGAATGGGACCAGGAGCCAATGGGGCCAGGAGCCATGGGTCCAGTGAAGGGCGGGGTGCGGTGCTCAAGAGATGAAGAAGGGGACCAGGAGCCATGGGTCCATGAGAAGCATGGCGGGGTGCGTGAGGGGCTTGGGCAAGGGGGGGAGTATGCGGAGCGGGAAGGGCGGATGGGCGGGGCGGGGTGCGTGGGTGGTGGGGGTAGGGGCGGAGAAGCCACCTGCTTGGGCTGGGGAGCCATGGGGCCAGGAGCCATGGGTCCATGAGGCATGGGCGGCGGGGCAGGGTGCGTGAGGGGTAAGGGGTAGGGAGCTGGGTCCATGAATGAGGGGTAGGTCAAGGGGATGGAGAGTGGGAGCATGAGCCAGAGTGGAGTAGGCGGAGCTGGAAGGGCGGAGGGCGGAGCGGGCAGAGCGGGCAGGGCCGGGGCATGCACTGGGGTCAGCTGAGAAGCCACATCCATGGGCCGTGGACCATGAGCCAATGGGGCCAGGAGCCATGGGTCCAGTGGGGGGGGTGGGGGTTGGAAGTGTGGGGGTGGTTGGCAGCCATGCAGGTCGAGGGATGAAGAATGGGACCAGGAGCCATGAGAAGCATGGCGGGGTGCGTGGGGGGGCTTGGGCAAGGGGGGAGGTATGCTAGGACCAGCAGCCATGCAGAATGGGACCAGGAGCCATGGGTCCATGAGAAGCATGGCGGGGTGCGTGGGGGGCTTGGGGAAGGGGAGAGCGGGAAGGGATGGCGGGGGGCGGGGTGCGTGGGTGGTGGGGGTAGAGCAAGCGGGCCAAGCGGGGAGGTCGAGGGGATGGAGAGTGGGAGCATGGCCAAGGGGGAGTAGGCGGAGCTGGAAGGGTGGAGGGCGGAGCGGGCAGCGGGCGGAGGGGGCGGGCATGCACTGGGGCCCTTTAAAGTCAGCTGAGAAGCCACATCCATGGGCCGTGGACCATGAGCCACAACC